GTTAGCAGAGGCCACAAGAGCCCAACACGGCAAATGGCATAAAGCGTGGCTGTGACCTCCGTCGAGCCTAGCACTTATGGCCTAGATTCGAGGCAATCTGTGTGTTGTTTATTTGATATCTCATGCCCATAATCACCTAACGTTGCCAGCGCATTCGGCAATGATGAATATACCTCTGAGCAACCTTCCATCTGTCAACATTCCCAACGACCTACACCCATTCCTTCTTTGCACCAGCAGTGGTTGTGGAAGCAGTGACACGTGCATTTGATGTTTCGGGATGCTAAAGACAGGGCATAAGAACTCAATATGACTCGATGAATGAGATACGGCATCCACCTGCTGTACATGGCCTAGATTCGCGACGACCTGTGAGTGGGTATTGTTCGGCGTCAAGTGAGTACCTCCCCATCTGTCGACATTCCAAACGACCCACGCAACAACATCCCTTCCTTCTCCCACACTTTGTAACACCAGAATGTGGTCCATGTAGAGAAGTCAGCACGGCAGTAGTGAGTTGTCCATCCGACCGCCTTCCATGTGCTCCATCTGACACACCTCCTGCGTTACAGAAGCAGACAATCATCAAACTTCACCCGTTGCTAACACCAAAGGATCCAATTACGAGATACCCGCAGATAGCTCGAGTACATATCATTGTGCGAAGCTCTCCCATTGGACGCATCTCTCATGTTCTAGCCTGTTAGTTATGTTTGCCAATATAATGTGTGATCGGCGAGGACTCACCATCTATCTACGTTCCCAGCGACTCCCGCGCCACCCCCTTCCTTGATAAGCTTCGTGTCGCAAGTTTCCAGCATGGGCAATGGTCGTGACTTAGTTGTAAGGCAGCTCTCCCGTTTGAACTGTTCCAACGCGCCCGAATGCACCCTGCATAGTAGATAATTGAGGTGTAGTTCGTTTGCAGCACTGTGTCATTAGATAGAAATGAATATGACTTTGTGTGCAAACCAACCGATAAGTGGGGGTTGTCAGACGGTGATCTTGAGAGCTTGATGGCACCGCAAATAATGAGTTGAAGTTCACACCACTGAAAGTATCATACAGGTGAGTCATGCGCAGGTCGAATCAATGTTGATCATGATGTCGTCTTTGTACCGTTGGACGACAGTTGCACAGTGCAGTCTACTACCCACTACCTGCTTGGCCTGTAGACAATATGGGATGCTGACGTGCTTCTCAAATTGCAAGTATCAGTCGAGATGTAGAATCACCCGACTGACAATGAGCCATAAAGCATCAGTGAATACCTGATCAACTATCCTAACATGGTGCAGTAATTCGTGTGTACTGTTCCCAAACTCGATCAAGTCCAAAATGGGTTCGGATATTGGTTTGCAGGCGACGCAAGGCTCCTGGGCAAAGAAGGTTATTCAATGGTAATTCTGTCGCAGTCTCAAGTTGCTGTCAGAATTTTGGCACTAGATTAAGATCGCATATGCCTGTCCCCAAAGTATACATGCAAGTAAATGTATCAAGCAGATCAAGCAAGAGATACAAGGTACCGCTGCACCATCCTTCCTGTTCGCTCTTTACTAATCTTTGTGATTACCTAGAGGCAAGACTTGAGAGATATTGATGTCTGTGGTAACGATGTGGCCTTGGTTTACTTGAACAGGACCAGGCCATCTCAATGCGAGCCACGAAGTTAAGTATGTTCAAGGTACTTGTGACCAACAGTTTGTTGCGATGAGTTTGACAAAATTCCAACACTGCAAACACCATGAAATGCAGTCAAAAATCTCCGAGCTTACTGTATTTACTTGAGGTCCTTCGTAGATATAAATTTATGAGCTGCCATGCTCAAATTATTGCAGACATTGCGTGTCAAAGTTCACAACAAATGTGTTCTCATTAAGGTAAGAGTATGTCCACATCCGGATGCCGTGGAGTTTACTCAATCACGCTTATGATTTACCGCACTATAGCACTAATACCCTTGTTCTTGACAGATTTCTCATTCAAGCCAACAGTAAATTTGAGTTCCTCAAAGCAAAGATACACTGAGCAATGCCAACACTCTGTACAACTGCGTTCAACGTACAGATCTGGTATACTTCGGGATAGACTCCGGTGAAATCAGTTGCTATAGTTCGCTTGGCTGCCTGATTTTTTAGGGTGGCTTCTTGATGCTGTAACGGCGCTGCGCTGGTACAGGTACATCTAGGTACCACAGGAGTGCGAACCTGTAGTAGGTGAAATTTGAGTATATTGCTGTAATTCCATGGAGGCAATGGTCTGGAATACTTGTTGTATCCTTACCGTTGCTGAGATCTGGACTCGGGCTACTGATACATATCTGTAGGGTATAATTCAACGGATAAATTTGCAAGCAGGTCTAGACGATGATATGGTGGCAATGTGCGGTTGCCACCATATAGTCTTCTAGATCTGCTTGCAAATCAGCGGTCAAGCGGCGGTGAACATTTGCTCACAGTTCACACAGAAGTGAATGTGGGATAGCTGTCCGTGATCGGAGACTTGCCGCCTCGACCATAGATTTATCTGGTAGGTAGCAAGGTACGTACACCCTTTGAAACATATAAATATTATCTGAGCAGGATAGAAGCTCACCTATTCCCTCGCATCAGCCGTCCATTATGCTGGTTAGGTGCGGGGGTAGCACTCGATTTGTCACCATTCATTGCCACAACACACTCTGCTGCTCTTGGTTGGACATCCGCACGCTCTCAAGTGACACCCCTTGCGACCCCCTGAATCACTGAACCCCTAGCAGGACACTCGGCGTAAGTTTTTGTCTTCATGTCCACAATGTTGTGCTCATAGTCTGCTCATCTTCAGGTTGCGAACACTGTGGGAGCACACCCTGTTCGCTGGTATTCATTGATCTATGTCTGTTGGATTGATTACAGGCATGTGGTGAGTTGCTCCGAGTTTATCAGTCTTACTGCTTTGGTGCTGAATCAATTGATAGACACGACTCGCCGCCTGGCAGTGACTAGTTTGACTGTGCTCTGCAATCTCAATGATACTGTTCGTTTTGCGATCTTCACACACCATCGCTATAACCTTCCCACACCCGGTTGCTGTATACTCTGTATACTGCCCACATACAAGATGGGACGCACATTTGAGCCTTGCTCCCAGGCTGTCGCATGCCTGCTGGATTGACATACACTCGAACGTTCAAGTTGTCAACATCCTTCGTCACCCTTCATCTTGCAGATCTCACGTACCCACATTGCGGAGCTGTTGTCTTGCAGCATCGTCACAGCACGCTGGTCCTTTGGTAGTCCTGTGTGTTTGGAATCAAGTAGAACATGTCGTACGTACCCTGGTTCACTGTGTAGTAGCGGATGCTGACTCTTTGTGTTTCCTTTCAGGGCTCTGTCTCATTGTCGACTCCCTCTCTGTGTTGCTGGTACAAATGGCGCCTCCGACTTTGCCTATACTCGCCGTCCATTATCTCCATCGTCACACATATTCCACAATCATCACAACAAAGACGTCTCTTTGGTAGTTCGTTGTCAACACTCTGTCAATTACAATGTCTGTGCTGTCATGGGGTTACGAATCACCTCATGTCCGCATGTCCGCCGCCACCTTACCTCTCCGGTTCACCGATTCTACAACCAATAGATCGCATCTGGTGCCCAACATCGCCGTACTTGTCCCCTGTACAATCCATGACAAAGATATCTTGTCAACAGTCGTCTGTGCATACGCTTGACACCACCTTCCAACACTTCGTTCCCTTCATCTACATCAAGGCTGGACTTGTTTGTCTTGCTGTGGACTTCGCAAGCCAGGAGTCTAACACACTGTTTTCCTCATTAGCAGCAAATAATCTCGCCTTCCCCAGACTCGTTTCGCCTTTGCGCACCATTGTTATCCTGCTCGCCATCTTATTCCATCACCACTAGCATGGCTAGCTCGTTAGATCGCATGCTGTGTCATCCCTCGGTGCTTCGTTCCCTTCCTCTGTATCGGTAATGGACTTGTTCTTGTTGACGTGGAGCCTGTGCCTTAGCAGCTGCATGTGTCGTCGTCCTTCGTCGCAGTGCATCATATCATCACCCCCAGTCTCTCTCCTCTTCATGTCAGCGCCGTATTATGGCATCAAGCACCTTCGTCGTCCTGCTTGTGATCCTTCGCCATCACAATGAGTCTGTGCACTCCCCTGCCCTCATCTTGGGTGTTGCATCACCCTGCGATGCTTCGTTCGCCTCCACGGAACTCGTATGCCAAGAATCGGATGCATCGCTGTCCTCAATGGCGGTGAATCATCTGGCGATGCCAAGACTTGTTTTGCATTCGAGCGCCGTCGTTATCCTGCCCGCGGTCTTGCGCAATCTCGACATTTAGGGTGGAACTCCCCAGTAGTCCTCCTTCTCTGCGAACCCTCCGGACTTTGCATTTCATAATCATGAGGTCCCAGTTTTGTTCCTGTGTTGACTTGTTTTCGACGCCTGCAGTGCCTCGAACGACGAGGGTGCAAGCAGGTTACAGGTGTCCGTTTCCCCAAACGAAGGCTTGGAAGCAGTTGACGCCGAATAGCCTTCTATGTGAGTTTGTTCATGCAGAGTGTCTTGGCGCGACTAACTTGGGATTTGCAGGTGGAGTTGCGTTCGCTGAATGGAGTCAACACGGCCACGTACGCCAAAACTAACGCAAGTTCGTTGCAGTGGGAAACTATGCCTCTACTCACCACCAACCTCCTCACAGGCCCGCTTGTCCGGTGTGCTCAACATGGGGAGACTAACGTAGTTTGAAGCCAGCTCGCACCCACTCGCTCGGTACACCAAACTGAGGAGACTATCGCCGTGTGGGGCCAGGAAACTGGTGCAAGGTGCTTGAAGGCCCCACCCGCTCGCTCGGTACACTGAACGCGCCGCATAAGGGGAAACTATCGCCAATTGAGGCCAGGAAACGGGCGCTTCGCCTTCAGTGGTTTTCGTTCCCACGGTCAAAAATAGCTCATCCATTGCCATCTATGGTAGTCTCGTAGTCAATAACCCTCAGCCCCTCATCTGTTTGACCAAAGAATCTAGCAACTCGATCACGAATGGCGTGTGCAAATGCACGTTGTTGAAGTTCTTCGTCATCAATGTTTCTGTCGAACAATCCAGTCAGTGAAGCCCCGGGTCGCACAGGAGCGCGCACTCTTGTTCTCCCGCCATTTATCGTGGATGGTGTCGTTCCAGATAACGTAGTGGGTGTGGTGCATCGCTTCGGCCAGCTGTAGAGACGTCAAACGAGGCCATCAGGACCGCCAGCCAACGCACCAGTTGATAATCCCCTGTGGTCACAAAATATCAACGAGACGACGAGACGACAAAAGCCGACAACTCACGCATAAAACCGCCTGTATCGTAGACTATCCGACAGTCAGCATCCGATCCTCGCATGAATCGTCCATACGCACATTCCAGCACCGTCCCACCCGCTTTCATCCACATCTGGTGCGACAGCCCGTTCCCATGCACGCCCACCATAATCTGCCCGGTAGTCGTGTCAAGCACAGCGCAGCGGAGGAGAGCGGCGCTTACATCCGTCCGTGTGCCGATGTCGAATTGCTCCGCCTTGGAGAGGTGCTCCATCTGCACGGAGTTGATCTCGACGTCGTGGTCCTCGCCGAACTTGGCGAGCGCCGTGACAAAGGCGTCGTGGTCTTCTTGGACGAGTTTCCGCCCTGTGGCCTGCCTGCGAGGGGGTGAGGGCCGTCGATCCGCACGAGGGGGAGAGCAACGCACCGATCGATGTAGGTGATGACGGGTCTGTTCCGCGCATTTCCTTCGATGCCGATCCTTTGCATCAGCGAGTGTCGGAGAGGCGACCACCAGTCGAAAGGCGCCGGGGAGGCCATGATATCTACAAACGACTTTGGTTCACGGCGCGAGCACAGAGGGACAGGCAAGCGCACCGGCGGTCATCTTGTTCCACACCTGCGCTTCACTCCCTGGGACTCGGTGTGCAGTCCATCGGTCGACAATGATGATCTCGGAAAATACATGCACCGAATTCGACTTGGCGCGGTCTAATCGTCGTCTAGTTACTGTGCGAGATAAGCGTCAACGCGGAGGTGAAATTCACCTTCCCATTGATAGATATCCTCCACGGCCGTGTTGGGGAGGACCGTGTTCAGGAACCATCTACGAATTGGTGAGTATTTGAGTCCCTGTGTGTACGGCCCGGACGGATGTATTGCAGGGTGAGGCAGATACGTACGTGTTAAGGTTGGCCCGGACATCTCTCCAGTCGTCCCCTCGAGGCAGCATGAAGCGTGAGGGAAATACGATGTCGGCAGCGGTATTCCGAAGAAGGGATAAAGGTGAGGATGTATATACCCGCCACGCACCAGCGAATGCTTCGGCTACAAAGTGACTAGAAGAGGTAAATACGTCGCCAGTGAGTAAATCAGTACGCATACAAGTAGTGTCCTAGAGCGAAATCAGTCGTGCTTCAACAAAATCGTCGGTATATGCGCACCCAAAAAGCCTTCCTTTCCCGGTCCGTCGTTGAAGAGAAATGTAGTACCAGCCAGAACTCCAGCTGAGCGCTTGCCAAGGACTTGTTCGGCCTCAGCAGGGGTGAGCACCTGCCATCGCTGGGCCGTTGCTGGAGGGTGGTCAACCCACTTTTCCCTTGGAACAGGCGGGTCGCACAGAACCCTCGAACTCTCGGGTATCGACTCTGGAAGAGACGTGATGGCATCTGAAGCCTTGATTCAGCGACTAAGCGATGTATCACCGTGCAATGTACCCACAGAAAGTCCCATTGTGGAGATACAGGTTCTGGAACATCACTTCGCCACCATACAGCGGGAGCACCTTGGGAATGGAGGCCGGAGGTACTCACTGAAACCTGGTCGCCCCCTGATGAATTTGGTCTCATGCTGATTCCACGTTCTGGCGAGTTCCTGAACATGCAAACCAAATGCAAGTTCACCTTCGGAGACCGACTCGTCGTCGCTGTTCACCGCCGGCTTCTTCTGATCAAGGTAGGCGCCTCCGCTAAAGCCGGCGGTCCCACACAGCCGTTCGAGGCTCGCATTTGCTAGACGCACGGACGTCCCTCCGCTGTGTAGGAGTGCCAGGGCGGCCAGTATGAGCACAGTCGCGAAAACGAGCAAATAATATCGAGTTGACTGGCGCATTTGAGGGCGGTGAGAAAAGGCGCATTTGTCCAAATAAGGAAAGCAGTAAACGAGAGGCACGTGACGCCGAGCGCGCTGGGCGGCGTTGTTCAGGATTAAAACCGTGAATTCAGGCCAAAGGCATCTAAGCCACATAGCACGTACCACGAAATGGAAACAGTATATCATAGGTTGGGGTCCCGGACTTGCAATAAGCGGCTACTCTATATGAAGTATATGGTGCGCATTATCGCGGCCATCATTCAAACACTGACCAATGGGGAACAGGAAGCGTTGATGGACCCGAATTCACAGCCATTCTCAACGCGGGGCGATAGACTCTCGATATCGCACTATCTGTAGTACTCGAGGAAACGACGATACGATGATATCTATGGACGAACACTTCAACGCCATGCCGCGCCACGACTGGCGGCAATTGCAATTGCGGCGTATTTATCTTCCCTCCTCGAACCGTTTCTCCAATGAAAATTTCGGATACCGCATGGGAGGCCACACCCACATGCAAGTTACCTCATCCTTATCTCTGCGCTTAAACCTAACTCTCAGATAAGAGCTACCTCGTCTGCCTGCGTTTTTCAAAGTGCCCTGAGAGCTAGGGTCTGACTCCCTCCAGCTTCGGCCGTGTAGTTGCAGTATATAACGACGATGTCTGGCCTTCTATCTTTGCGATCAAGTCCAGAAGCACCCCAGTCGCTTGCTCTGTCCATTCCTCGCATGTCGGAACACGTACTTCCTCAAGGCGCGGGCTATGGCGTTGGTATGTCACGCCATCTTATTATCATAGAGTCGCGAATTGATTCGTTCACATGGGTCTTGTTTCGTAAGTCGTCGGTGAGTAAGATCGTTTGACTCTCACTTCATCCGGATCCGCTTCTCGGTGGCTTCTGCCGCTTCCTACTTCGATCTTGATCGTGTGCTGACCCTTCGTGTTTAGGGATCGGTCTATTCTTCAGTGTGTTTATGATCGGGCTCACCGCCATACAATCTCGATACACTGCGTTCTCGCCCAAGAACTCCGAAGAATTCAGTAGTGCTTCGCGTAGTGTGAAGCCGGGACTGATTGCTTCTGGCATTGTCTCTGCCTGGACCTGGGCGGCTACCTTGGTCAGTACCTGCCTCTATCCTTGACTTGATGACGCCATCCTCACACACGCTTCTACGAGCACAGCTGCAATCTAGTGCTGTCGCATACAAGTTCGGTATCTCTGGCCCGTACTGGTATGGCGCTGGCGCCACTGTTCAAGTTCTGCTCTTTGCGATGGTTAGTGTATCTCTCCGCCATGCCGAGGTCCTTCGTTGACGAAAAACGACACAGTTGGCAGCCAAACTCAAGCTCAACGCTCCCTACGCTCATACTTGGCTGGAGATAGTTGGAGCACGCTGGGGAGCTGCCGCTCACGGCATATTCATGTTTTTCGGGTACGCTTCCTTCTTCGCCGATCAATCGCCCTCTAATACACGACCGTTTAGCCTCGCTACCAATATCATTGTATCTAGCATGTTGATATTGGGTGGATCTGCCACGGTCACGGCCCTGACTGGGATGAGCACCATCGCTGTAAGCCGTTGTTCTCGATCAATGACTACGGGACCGACTGTTATGATGTCTCTTCTAGGCGTGTTTCCTTATTCCTTTGGGAGTTGCTATCTATGTGGTCGTTGGTGGTATGCGGTCAACGCTTCTATGCGATTAGTAAGTCCCTCGCTCCGATACGTACATGGAAGACCAGACGCTAACTCTCATCTCAGCACGCACACCACAGTCCTCTTCGCCATTATACTTGTCTTCGTTTTCACCGTCTACGCAACGTCCGACAAAATCGGCTCTCCCACCCGTATGCATGAGCTCCTGGACGCCGCCTCAGCGGCCACCCCCGTCGATGGAAATGCCCATGGCTCTTACCTCACCATGCGCTCCAAGAACGGGCTGATCTTTGGCGTCATCAACATCATCGGAAATTTCGCGACTGTATTCCAGGATCAGGCGTATTGGCAACGGGCTATCGCGAGTCGACCGGGGAGCACCGTCAAGGCGTACTTGCTCGGTGGACTTGCTTGGTATGTCTCCCTCTAACAAAATTAAACTCCGGTCCTAATCTAATCACGTTGCTTATGATTCAGGTTCGCAATTCCATTCACGTTTGCGACTACGTTGGGTCTCGCGGCGGTTGCTCTTCGAGGCGACCCGGACATGCAAGTCCTCACGCCGGCAGACGTCTCTGCTGGGTTGCCCGCTTCCGCCGCCGCTAGTGCTCTTCTGGGGCAGTCAGGTGCTGCTGCCCTGCTCATCCTCCTTTTCCTTGCCGTGACTTCGGCGACCTCGGCCGAGTTAATTGCAGTGTCCTCTGTCCTAACGTATGATGTGTACAAGGTCAGTATGTCGACTCATATATCCATCCTGTCACTTACGATACCCCTTCAGAGGTACATCAATCCTCACGCGAGCGAGGACCAGATTCTCAGGATGGGTCATTACATGGTATGTTTGAATTCTATCACCTGAATGGGGCTCTTACGATCTATGTTCAGGTTGCTTTCTTTGGCATCGTTATGGGCGTCGCGGGAACGATCTTCTTCTACATCGGCGTGTCCATGGGATGGTTATACGTAAGTCCTTCGCGTCTCTCCTTTTCGCTTCCCGGTGTACTCACCCGTTCATTCGTACTAGACCTTCATGGGCGTCATCCTTGGATCTGCCGTGGCCCCCATTGCGCTGTGCATTACGTGGAGGAAAGCAAACAAGTGGGGCTGCATCGGAGGTGCCGTCGCCGGCTTCTGTGTGGGAGTCATTGCGTGGCTTGTTACCACCAGCTCTCTGAATGATGGAGAGATCAATGTCGTGGTATGTGTCATACTTGTGCCTACGAAAGCCGACAACACTGACGATCATAACGTACAGACTAGTGGAGGTAATCATCGCCGTAACCATTCCAAACCAACCGATGCTGATTATGTATCTATCTAGGCGACTATGAAATGCTTGCTGGAAACTTGGCTTCTATTGGTGTTGGTGCTATCATAGCCACAGTATCCTCGCTCATTGTGTGTACGAATCCCTTCTCCCGAGATGAAAGCTCACGACACCTATTGTTCAGTGGCCTGATGACTTCGATTTCGATATCACTCGCGCGATCAACAACCCCGCCCGCCGCCGTCACCACGAAGAAAAAGTCAACCCTTCCCTCGACGATGAAGTGGAAAAGAAGCGAGAAAACATGGACGCTCATTCCGTTTCACCTTCCTTCACTGACTCTGAGGGGACCGACGATCTCGACCCCGTTAAATTGCAAAGTGCTTTCAGATTTGCTTCCTATTCGTCTTTAGCTTTGGTATGTCTGTGTCGCGATTCCTATGGGAGGAGTTATTGATTGCTGCATCCACACAGCTCCTTGTACTCATCATTATTGTCCCACTACCGTTGTTTTTTGCGCAAACCATCTACGGCGTGGGCGGTCTTACGGCGTGGGTCGTGATCGGTATCATCTGGACCTTCCTCTCCGCGATTTCTGTCGTAATCTACCCTCTCTGGGAAAGTCGTGAAGCGCTCAGTCAAATCCTTTCGGGCATTGTCAAGGTACGTAAACATCCACTCATTGTGCGCCATCGCGCTGGCTGATGTGAATGGGAATTTTCTTGAAGGACGTATTCACGAAGGGAAGCGGGAAGTACGTCCCACCCTCCGGCCACATTTCTTCTGCATAGATTATATGTTAGCATGTTACGAGTGCGATTTTACGTCTTTATAACCACGACAAAAGCGTATGATGAGGACGACTTTACGATGTTTGGTGTTTTGTAATTCTAGATAGACTCTACATATGTACTCCTTCCCAACGTCTATGCTGTTACATCCGTGAAGTTTCGGAGGCCTTCCAGTCGAGTCGTCCCTCGGACGCACAATCTTACAATAACAGTGTCACTGTCGAGAAACCTAAGTTCGATAGGGGCTATTTCAGCCTTCCGCCATCATGTCTCTCACTCATTGGCAACCCAACTCTCTTAGTGATGCCTCATGGAGATCCGATGACGGTCCATTTTCCCGGCTCTGGAACGACTGGTGGGATAACAAAGAAAGGGGGGCACAGTTGGTGGCTGGCCAAGTCATTGATCTGGATTCCCTCGTCTACAGTGATCTATATCATACGTGAGGACGACTCTTTATCAGAGATTACCACGCCCCGAGTTTACGACAGCCTCCAACATGTGGACGAATGGCACCATGGAGTGGTGCTAACCGGACAGCCAGGAACAGGGAAGACATGCACACTCTACTTTCTGTTCCTCAAGAAGTTGGTCGACGGGGAGCCAGTTCTTTTCATTCCATCCAAAAACTATACACTCTACTTTTCGTCGGGGGGCGTTCAGTCTAATTCAGATATTACACTGCCAGACAAATGAACTCAACCAGGGGAGTCGACCTTGGACAGCACGATGTCAGGCTAGCTCCCTTACTTGGGCTCTTGTCAACACCTATTACAGAGACGGACTTCCACCCCTCCCCCATTGGGGTACTTCAAGGCCCTATATTTGTCGTCCAGGCCACCGCACCAGGTCCCTCGCGATACTTGGGTCAGCCGCCAGAGGGAACAGTGTGGTGTGTCGCGCTAGACTCGAGAAGAACCTGTGAAAACGTCCAGACTTGTGCTCATTCCATATTTGTCACAGTCGTCTATCGAGAATCTCGAGTCCTCTATTAATGAAATGATTCTGAAGTGGGGATCATACGAGTTGGGTGACTTGGGTCCGAGTTGCGCAGTGCATTCTGAAGATCGATACGGTGATAAAGTTCCCCTTTCCGCTCCCCGTAACCCCCTGAAAGACTTCATTTTTGAGTAATTCGCAAAAGTAGTAATCGACAACGTTACAGAACGCTTCCATGGTCAAGGCGAGCGCTACATTCAAAGAGTCAAATATTAAAGGTTCACGCTCAAACCTCGAGCTGGTAACGGCAAATTGGGCATGAAATCAGAAGTTTTGTGAGCTGGGAATAGTATCTATGCAGCCAGTTTCGTTAGTCAGTGGTAACCAAGGACGGTACCGTCCCCAAGTCCCACCCATCGGCCTCCACCAGTTCACCGCCAAACTTTTCCATTCCAATTATCCTGAATCGATCGCCGTAGCCTTTGTCATCGGTATGAACTTCCGAGCTGTCTTCATCACCGCCCTTTCCTTTGCTGACCCCCTTCTTACCATTCGCTCTGCTGCTGTCCCCGAACTCCCTTCGCCACGTACGGCTTAGGCCGTCCTCCCATGCGTATAATTCAACCTTCCATCCTCTCTGCAACGCGATGCGCACTGGTTCAACAAATCCTTCCTCGTTGAACTGCCCAGCGTTTCCGTCGCCTGTTGCGAGCACAATGGTCGATCCGGGGACAGGAGCTTCCGTCCTCAGCAAGACTTGTGAGAGTTTGAGTTGCAACAACTCATCAACGCCCTGCTCACGATATCTGATCTTCTGCGGTTGCAAACTGCTTCGGTTCCCCGCGAAGGACGAAGGCGAAGAACTCGATACCGGGGCGCTATTGTTGGTGAGCAACCTTGGCTTCCCACCTCCATTGTTTCGGAGGAATCCCCTCGAAAAATTTGCTTGATCGCTTTCAGTACTGGTACTTCCCGAAATTTGCCGTCGGTGGCCTTTGTCTTTCTGTACCGAAACGCCGTTGGGCTGTCGATCGCTGCCGTCGGTGGCAGCGTTAGCAGGTGGATCATCGTGCGGCACCCGCTTAAAGATATGAACTTCGTATCCTAATCGGAGGGCACCTTCCATAGGTTGGTAGAGGGGAGAGCTAGCAACCATCACTCTCTTTGCAATTGGCCTCCCTCGTTCAAGGAGGAGGGTAAGTGCCGCGTGAGATAAGTGTTTCGTAAAGTGTTTCGTGGTAGGAAGGAAAGGACGTGGATGGCGCCTCAGATAGTTTAGCAATCCGAAAAGAATGTTTGAGCTAGACGTAGTCAGATCAAGGACCGTGGATGCCATCAGAACGAGGTGTACTCACTGATCAATGAAGATGTGGACCGGGGGGTCATTGGCGTTCGGCAGCGGGCCTCGAGTGTCAATAAATCCTCCGTCCCAGATAATATCTTCCTCCTCGTCCTCGTCTCCAGCGTCGTCTGCGTCGTCCACACCCTCCACATCATCAACAGATTTAGCATCTCCAATTTTCCTCCGTCTCGTCCTGGTTCTCGACCTCTTCCTTTTGCGCGATCCTCTTTCACCAAGCTCCTCACGTTGGCCAAACCTATCGCTATCCCGCCCACTACCCTTTGTGCTTTCTTTGCCACTACCCCGGCTGTCCGTACTCGATTTCCCTCCCTTCCTGGCACCAAGAATGGCGACTTGGTCCAATGATTTGACATCTTCAGGGAACGCCTTTCTGAGTTTCTGACCCAAGACTCGGAGTTGGGCAATCCGCCGTGTATCGGCGTCTGACAAACCAGCGCCTCCATGTACATCGAATTTGTCCAGGTTAGCGGCAGGCTGAGATTGAGGCTTCGGCCGCGTCTGTCCCTCACTGGCACCACCGGAGTGACTAGGATCAGATCCCGCCAAGACCTCAGATGGCCTCAACAACGGTGAAGACCGCGCGTGGAGAAGAGATCGTTTTCCAGCGTTTCCCGGCCGGCCAAAGTCTGAACTATGCCTCTTGTGGTTTGCCTTCTTGGCGACTTTACTACCTTTCGGCGGATTGGTTCCCTGCTGGCCATCTCGGATATTAAGGCCATTATTTGGGAAGGTTGTGCCGGGGGCATCGGGGAAGTGAGAATCGCGTTGCGCCACGAAGTCCTTGATAGGAACCTGTTCGCTATTTCTGCCACCGGATCGAACCTGACTACTCTTTCTTGACCTCTTATTCTCCTGCCTGCTTTTGTGTTCGTTTAACAGGCGCTGTTGCCAGCTTGGTCCCTCTAACGCCCCCCGATCGTAACCTTCAGCCGACTTTGCTCTATGAATGGGAATGCGGTCAGAATGACTACCGAAGCCCTCCGTCCCGGTTGTGTGGAAATCATCGTCTGCGTCGTCGCCACCCAACCCACTAGATTCATCTGCATCCGAAGACAACGTAGAATGCTCTTGATCGCTAGCTGTAGCGGCGGGTACCGGCGCAGAGTGCAGCGTCTCCACACGAGAGTGTGCTAACAATCTCCGTCCGCTTGGTGTCACCGGTTCCGAGAAGAATGGTGCAGACGCCATGACTGGCGTAGCATCAAGATCGAGCTTTTCGTCTGGTTCTTCGAGGCTCGTAGCAGACACAGCAGTTGGGAACGGGATAGCTGGACGTTTCAATATACGGGGAACCAAAATCTTGCTTGATTTCTTCCCCTTGGGAGAGCGTCCATCCTTATTTCCCTTTCCCTTGTCTTTCGACTTCCCTTTCACATTTGCCTTCGTGCTGCCCGCATCATCGTCATCATCATCATCCCTATCTCTTGGCCCGAAGATACCATAACCTCTAACATTTTCGCCGCCTGAGGTGAGTGTTCCCGTTGGAGTAAGCGCAGTCACAAAGGAGGGTAACCGTATGCTTAGATTTAAGGAGGACAGGGGTGATGAAGGGGACGTAGTTGTATCGACTTCCAGAGACGGTTTATTGTATAGAGTCTTGGCGGGGCTTCTCGTGTTGTCTTTGCTCTTTTTCGAAGACTTTGGGGTCTTGCTTCCGGAGGGTGGATGTTCAGGTGCAGTGAATTTGGCGCGCGACTAATAAGAGTGAAGGAGCATTAGGAACAGTATGGCGAGCGGCAAAGAGGATGTTCACCCATGAAGACCCCGGAGGAAGAATCGTCGCCGCCGTTGATGCAGTAGATGCACGAGATGATTTCGACTTGTGCGTAGAATTGCTAGGCGAGTCGCTTCGCTTCCGTCTGCTCCGACGCCGCGGTTCTAGTATTAGCCCAAGTCAGTGCATGCTCAAATCGTAGCCGCAAGAGTCATTCGTTACCTAGTATGTCTCTCCACCCATTCCGCGAATCCTTTCCGCTGTCGGACAATCCCCCCGATCCACTAATACCCAATATACCTAACCCACCATTGCGAAAATCCTGCTGGCGTATATTCTCATCATCATCCACCAAATCATCGAAATGCTCTCTCTCCTTCTCCTTCCCCTTCGAGGCGCCTGCATCCAAAGGCGCATCCTTGCCGACACCGGTACTACGCCCCTTGGTAACCTTCTCCCTCTCCGCAGCAAGATACGCCAACGCGGCATCAAGGTAGCCTAACGATGGGTTGGGATTGGGGCTAGTATGGACGAGAGATACATGCGGACTCCGCTTCTTAACGTCCCCGATGATCTGGGGGTGTTCGTTCGGCTCGTCTTCATCAGGTCCTCCTCGCCCGAGGTTAGGCAGACTGCGGGCCATAACAGAGTCCCTTCCACCGATATACACATTCCCGTTCGGCCTTCCGCTCGAAACATCGTCGACCAGGGAGTCCCTTTCTTCAACATATTCTAGATCCTCTTCCGACTGCGACTCACTCTCGGGGGGATACTCAACATTGTCGTCAAAGCTGCCGTCGGGGTCGAATGATGTCGACTCGCCGCCGCCGTCGACTTGACGATATTCATCTACGAACTCGTCAACAGTACTGTCCGGCGCGTAATTTACACTATTGAGGTCATTATATGCGCGATAGAACCCCCCTTCATTTCCACCCGAAGTGTGCCCTTCTCGATATGCTGGAGGCGTATAGGGCCTTCGAGGATTAGGGAAGTGAAGAGTCCCGTTCCCACTGATGGTCAACGACCCGCTAAGCGTATTGTTGCGGGAACTCAACGTCGATCCAGAAGACGAGACACCACTGGCCCCACTACCCTGCTTTGTATGTCCAGAGTATTCAATGGGCAGCACGAGATCGCTTGCGGAAGAGTCTTCTCGAAGAATCAAAGGCCGAATGACTTCATGGCGTACACCACCTTCCGTGCTTTCTTCCCGCACAAGATCTAATCCACCGCTGCGCACTATATGTCTAAGAGCCGCCGTATGCCGACGCTGCTCTTGTGCTTCTTCGTCTTCAGAATATTCATCCTCATCTTCGGTCCGCGATAACACGCCCGAATCAATGGAGGAAGCAATTGGCACCGTCTCGGAGTCGTCTCGGAAATATGCCTCTCCACTACTCCCTTGCGGCGACGGCCCCGTGGATCTTTGTATAGAAGAAGATTGTCTTGAAGAAGAGGATCGAGGTGATGATAACAAGTTTTGAGATCGTAAATCGAGTGAAGGAACGCGCACGGAAAGGGGATCTTCGGATACGTCGTTGACTATGTCATCCGACGCAGAATGCCTGAGAGGGCGAATACTACGAATTGTGGGTCCAAGATAGTCGAAAGTGGATAAAGGAATCTCTGAGGCGGAAGGGGGGAAATCGGGAGTTGCACTAACGGGGTTAACGTGTAGATGAATATTCACAATATTGCTGGAATAGTCTGTAGGAGAGAAAGCTTCGCGAGGGGCAGATGGAGGAGGCGAAGGCAGAGCCTCGCGGTCAGGCGTGGACGACGGCAAAGAGTTTGATCGTAGAGACGACAGCGTATCCCGGATTTCTACCGCTCTCCCTTCTTCTATGTCTCCGGCATTATGAGAACTGGGGTTTTGTGATTGTGATCGCGATTCGATGTAGGGCATAGTTGTGGCGAGTTGTCTCGACTCCCAATCATTGATTCTAGCCTCATGTCAGATGAATCATGATGGCGCGTGCGCAAGAGTGAGCGTACATAGAAGAATGATAGTCATGGTGTTCGTAGGCTTGATGAGGAAATGGAGAAGAGTAGGCATCGTGGTCATCGGCAGGTGTGAAGGATTCTCGAATCGGTGAAGAATGTTTCGCAAGGAAGGCAGACTGAAGGATGGTTCGGGGCGTTGAATGAGGATACGAGGACACGTCACCCGCCATGTACTCCGGCTCTGTCTGCGACGGCGTGAAGGAAGGCGTGTGCGACGCAAGGTACGACGCAATGCGCCTATTGTCCCATACCGTCGAGTTATTGGCCTCTTCCTCCTGCATATCAGCAGAGTTCCCGGCTCTACGAGCGCGCTCGAAGGCACTTGGCGTGTAGGTGTAGCTGTCGTGCGTCTGGCCCTCCTCGCTGTCCTCCGTGGTGTCATCCCTCATTTGGGCGTTATGCCGCATGACGACCTCGCGCAGCGGGGGCTGCATCATATACGCTAGCTCCCGAATCACAGTTGAGAATGCTGCCCCGAGGTCGGGTCGCTCGTCGGAGGTTGGCTCTGACGGTGCCATGGATATGGAGTGGGAATCGAAGGATTGCGTCGACTGCGTGGACGACCGAGACGTGTCGTGCGAGTCTGTGCGACTGATTATCGGCTGGCGGGGAGCCATTCGTTGAAATGTTGAATACAAGAGATTAAGATTACAGTGGATGATACAAATTCGAAAGAAAGAAGGAAATGAGTAGCAAAATGACGGAGCCCACGAGGTGGTGAACAGGACTGATAAGATAAGATCTAGTCAGCATCTTATCAGCAATCGATATCCAGCTCTTGCTCATACTCTCACTATTAAATTGCTGATTTAGAGGAGGAAACTGCTAGATGGACAGCACCGGGACAATATTCGACCTTCGAGGACGCGGGCTTACGCTAGAAACGCGCGAAGATGCCCAGCAGTACCTCGATGAAATATCTACCCCCAGCGCCATCACCGAAATTCACCTCAGTGGCAATACAATAGGCATAGGCGCAGCCGAGGCGATTGGGGAGGCTCTCAAGGAGATGAATTCACTACGAGTACGATTTCACTGCTACTTATTACATTGATTGCTCATGTCCGCGCAGGTCGCCAACTTTTCTGACATATTTACTCGAAGATCGATTGCCGAGATCCCAAAGTCCCTCGAATCCCTCCTGACGCCTCTCCTGCACACATATACCCTGCGCTCGCTCGATCTCTCGGGTAACGCATTCGGCGAACGCGTCGCACCCGTGCTCGTGCCCCTCCTCACGACGAACCGCTCCATCCACACCCTCAACCTCAATAACCAGGGTCTCGGCCCAGCGGCGGGCATCATCCTCGCCGACGCCCTGCACAGATCCGCGCTGCTCTCTGCGGAAAACAACGAAGAACCGCAGCTGCGCGTGCTGATTATCGGGCGCAACCGCCTGGAGCACTCGGCGCACGCGTGGGGCAAGGCATTCAGCGTGCACACGAACCTGGAGGGCGTGCACATGCCGCAGAACGGGATCAAAGCCGACGGATTCGGTGCGATCGTGAAGGGGCTGGCAAACGCCAGGTCGCTGAGGCACCTGAATCTGCAGGATAACTGGGGGAAGAACTCGGTCGAGGGTGAGGACGAGGACACGGACAGCTGGCCGCATCTGACGTCCGCGTTGGCGTCGTGGCCATCGCTCGCATTCCTGAACATCGCCGATTGCTGTCTGACACCCGAGTCGTTCTCGCCGATGCTTGAGCAGCTGGCTGAGGGTAACCATTCGTCGCTACATACGCTCGTCCTAGACAACAGCGATCTGAACTCGGAAACGTACGAGCAGATGCGCGGTATCGTCAAGGACAATCTACCAGCTCTCAAGACACTGAGTTTGGCACTGAACGAGGATTTGGAAGACGACGAGTATGTGGACGAGATGGTGAAGGCTCTGGAGGATCGTGGGGGAGAGGTGGTACTAGACGATGAAGTTGAAGGCGAGAGATGGTCGCTGCCCACTTACGTGGAGCCAGCCGCCGTCAAGGCGGTACCGGCCGCAGAGCCAGTCGAAGAAATACCCAAGGAGGAGGAGAAAAAGGATACGTCTGCCGAAGACGAGCTCGAGGCGGCATTGGCTGGATTATCGCTTGGGAAGTAAGCGGCACGTTGCGTATTATGGAGTTGGGCGCGTTTCGGTCTTATACTATCACACTTTCCTTTGATTTTTCTCCATACATCTTCGACATTGATCTGGGTGGAGTTCTAGTTGTTCTTACCTACATGGTTTGTAGAACTGATGGCCCATGTACATCCAGACGCCTTCCGTGGACCCAGAGGGAGGCCTGCTGTCTTCTCGATGATGCATGGTGATCTAACCCACACGGATGGGGAAATCATGATGAACCCGATCATAATAGTATAGGCTACAAATTGGATGTATAGTAAATAGTATCGGTACATATCTGAGCATATGCCATCTCTAATGGGGGCCGAAACGACTCTTCAGCAAGCTGCTATAGCTTCGCTGCCACCTTCTTACTGGTATCGATTTGGTATGAAATCAAGCTAGAGGCTTTATACGCAAGCCGCGGGGTCAGCGGACGGCCAAGCTCACAGCACGAAGCCGCACTCACGGATCGTCAAGCCCTTCGTCAACTTCAGCAGCTTGATATGCGCGGGATGCGGCAGATACGCCTGGAAGCCCCTAATATCCTCGAATTCGGCCGTCAAAGCTACACACACAGACGCACATCATCCCGCACCAACCAAAAGCGAACAATCAGCATACGTAGATGATTCTCCGGTACGCGTAGAAACGCACCGAATTCATAGCCCCCCGCGTATGTGGGGTCCGCGGGGGGACCGGCGTGCACGCGTATGAGCCCCGGGACGTCGAGCTGCTTCACCAGCTCCCCGGCCTTCTGGAAGATCGCATCTTTCGCCGCAGCGTCGACCTCGGGCTTGAATTTCGAGAGCGCTGCACAAGATCAAACCCCGGTGTCAGCGACGTGTTCACCTTTCGCCTGCGCTCGGGAAACCGGAATCAGCGACTCACCGAAGTGAATGTAGGTCATGCTTGTCGGCTATCGATCCAAAGTGTCGTCGTGGGTCGGTCGGTCGTGTCGGCGGGGCGAACAAGATATCAACCCCGAGTCCACTTCGACGGGCTCTTGTATAAGGACGGGGGACGGGAAATGCCATAGCCGGTAGTACCTAAGGCCGATCGCCCACCCGGCGTCCGGTGTTCATCTAATCAACTAGAATGTACGTTGGACATCGACATCGACATCGCGGGTGATCATCACGTCGAACTTCGCATCGACGACGCGAGGGTGGAGCAGCGCTGCCGCCCTTGGCTCGCTGCCTGGCATCTGCCTCGCGAGACGCCCACCGACGATCATCGAATGATCGAATATCGAATACCAGTTACAGTGTCCGAAGAGGAGATCAAGGTCAGATTGCGTGACGGCGAACCAGAAGAGCGTGACAGGGCGTGATGTGTGCCACACGTGTATGGCATGTGGGAGCGCATTACGTAAACGCACTAGTGTTAGACTTTGCTTCAAATTCCCACCCCACGACGCCTTGCTTCGATGTCAAAGTACTGCTAGGATGGAGCTGCTGCGCCCGTGCGACGTCGGGGCGCCCTTCCAGGATGCGGGATGTACGAATCACATAGGAAACTCCCCAGGAAATATCACATATGAAGAGCAGGCGCACAGCAAGCCTTGAAGCTTTGAATATTAACGTGTGGTTGATGTGAGACAGGTGGAACGCACCGCTTCAGACTCAACTGGACTCAGAGCAGTGGCTGCGCCTCTAACATACGACATGCACTACAAGTAACGAATTCCACGAAAGAATAGACTCAAGGAAGGATAGAAGGCTTCAATTCCAACGTCAAACATCCGGCTCAGGCATTAATGCATCAGCACTGCGGAAGTAGATATTTGATGGCATTGTGGGGCTGCGCAAGTGCGCTAGCGCTAGCGAGGAGGCTCTGAAGTTGCGATGTTTCGAACGACAATATACCGGTTCGCTCCAATTAGCGGAAACATTGTACTAGGACTAAAGTACTTGCTAGTATTTCCACAGCTGTACAGCACGTATATGTTTGAGCCCAACGAAAGCTGTCTGCGTTTCGGATATAGTCGACTGCATAGTGTGCTGTTATACTCGTGCTTCAACTTCAGCTTCACGGTTAGATCGGATTACGGTCAAGGTCCCTTTGAAGGCGGGAGGACCGGTAGAATTTAATATACCTATAACATTTTTCGGTGGCGCGGAAACGAGTACTTGCTCAGTAGTGGTCATATCATATTTGCCTCCATGCACGTTCGCGGGTAGCGCAAGTACGTATGCTTTCATAGGGACTGCGAGCATAGTTCCATGCCAGCAGCCTTGAGCCCTGTCGATCTTCGAGAATGCGAACGAACCCCGGACTTGAACCAAAGTCCCGGACTCCCTCAGCCGCTCATTCAAATATGCATGGATCACCCGGGAACCGCAGCCGTCTGATCGAATCGACCAGGCAGGCAGTCAAACATTCCAACAGCCAGACATCAACCGACACAGTCAGAGGCCGAAAGCACACACTCAAGAGGTAACTGAGTAAGCAGCGTCCTGCCGCGCAAACGTCGCCATCCAGGATCATCCGTTTTCATGATACGAGCCCCCGCGAACCGGTATGCCCAGCCGCCAAGCATGTCAGCCTTTAGGTAGCATCATATAACATAAGAGAACATAACATATGTGCACGATGCACGAGGTATGATGCGGGTATTCCGGTGGACGACCATGTCACTGGTTATGGAAAGGCAAAGTGATAGTATTAGAGTTAGGGATCCCACGAGACATGAGGAGGGCACGAGGGGGCGACAATGTAGGGATTCGGGCCCAAATCCTAGCGCTGGAAAAGGCAGAAGGCAGGGGAGGCTGCTTGAGGGAGAGCACTTGACCGCCCCCAGGGGTCCGCTATTCGGATGGCCCTCGAATTAATTGACACGAACGGCATTCGACCTTATATTACGGTCTTCAACGGTGGATAAAGAAGAATACGCCGGGGATGGCGGATGTGGGAGTACTTGGAGTGCGATATTTCCCAATGAGCTTGTTCCGGAGGACGGATCCTGTCTGATCAGTGCTTGCTCAAGAGCTACTTACTTCCGCCTTGGGCTACACCGCTCGAGCCTCGTTCGGGCTCTGCATCGATCGTGGCTGAACGTCTGGAATGGCGTTATAGCACCGGAAGTTCTTCTGCTCGAGGGTTTGGTCCGAACGTCAGTGGCATTCGCAATCGACTCTGCATATCCTACGACAATAGGGCGCACCAAATATAAACACAAATAAGAATATATGGCAGTTCGTGACGAGGTTTTCGATGAGCAATGCAATGGAAGGTTTGAACCTCCTGTTTGGAATGTGGGCATCACGCCACCAAGTGCCTGAATGTCAGATTTGTGCATATCTCTGTTACGAGCTGGAAAGCTCCCGACGGTGCTATGGGCTGGAGGATCCTGAGATGAGGCGATGCCGTGAATTGATAAGTGCGCTCTCTGGGTTCTTGGCCGACGGTGCATTGATCTTGAGTGTCTCTGGGATGATCGTCGCGATCAGAGTCTCTTGTTAGTCGGGTGCAACACGTGCTAATTGGTGGTGGCCGATGGTAACTCCGACAATACCAGGGGAGGCAGGGGGCATGATTGGGTTTCAAAATTGCAAGTCCGCGAGCATCAAGAACGTGGTTCGGTTGTGATTGTCTGCACGCTCGGCCTGCTTTGCCAATCCCCGAATTTGTGCCCAATTCGGGCAAGATTGTGTGCGAAAAAGAGTTCGTCCCGCCGAAACTCCATGGCGACTCGAGCTCCACCCGAACATCTCGCCTTCCGGACAATCCCCTTGGCGCAGAAAAAATGATTTCTCGAAACCACTCTATCGGCGACGCGACATGTGGGTTTCTAGGAATTTAATGCAGGAAGAGCGACGCCATCGTGCCAGACGTCGAGGAAGATTGACAGCCACGAAGTCGCGTGCAGGGATCAGCACAGTGTCGGTTCATAATTCTCCAAGCATCCCTTCCGGACGAATTCCAGTCGACGGTCGGTTCAGATGAATGCTTAGGAACTCAGACAGGCACCGACCTGATTTGTGAAAAAATCTGGAATGGTAATTCGTGCCTAGATATTTCCGGCAGGACTTGGCGACGCTCCACCGCCATAAAGGTGCGACCTCTGCCCTTGCCTCTTTCTTCGAGACCACATCCCCAACCCGAGGTTCTTTCTCCATTACTACCACCATGCGTGTCCAAAATATTCTCCTGGTGATTTCCTCAGTTCTATCCCTTGCCCTTGCTGCGCCTGTGGTATGTCCCCTGCACTAGCCGTTTAATCTCCTATCGCTCACTGACACCGACTGCGCAGGCACAGCCAGACTCATCAGTAATCGTTACCAGAGATGGCGAATTCGAGGCTCGCGACATGGTATGTTGCTGATATCTTGATAAACGCCTGATGGTGTCACTAATCAGTACATAGTTCCTTAGCAGGGAAGCATCTCCCGAAGCCAACCCCCGCTTCAGATCGCCCGCCTGGAAGCGCGAGGCTGAGCCTGGTCGCTGGCCCCCTTCGTGGAAGCGTGAGGCCGAGGCCGAGCCAGAGGCATGGAGGGCCGACTGGAAGCGTGAAGCAGAGGCAGAGCCCGAAGCATGGAGAGCTGATTGGAAGCGCGAGGCAGAGGCCGCACCGGAGGCGTGGAGGGCGGATTGGAAACGTGAAGCAGAGGCAGCGCCTGAGCCAGAGGCCTGGAGAGCCGACTGGAAACGGACACCCCGCCCACCTGCCTGGAAGCGCGACGCCGCTCCCTCACCTCCCGACTGGTGATTCCCCTCATATCCCTCATCGCTCACCCGCCCCGATAGCGACGAAAGTACACTATATTCCACTTCGATATCACCTCCTTCCACCTTCCCTTCGACTCCCCGCCTTCCCTCGACTCAACGACTCCATTCGACTCACTATCACTGACGCCTATTGTGCGTATCAACTGTGCTCCACCTACCTCTTACTCCTTGCTCTTTACCCAACCGTACCGGGCTTGTATACGAAGTTTTCACTGTAGCAGATCTAGCATCATTTCGGACTAACTTATAGTACGGTATCATCCACCATGCAAACTCGAATTCTCATTTCTTTCTCCTCTACCCTGGTATCGACCTCCTGGTCACCCAACCAGTCCCCTCCTTAGTCAATCGTAATTCATCATTCTTCTCGCTCACTTTCTCTCTTCATTCTCTGTGACAAGCATTTTAGCAAACGTTTACCTGTTCGCTGTGATTCTCCCCAGATTGATTGATTGATCAAATGCATCTTCATCATTCCGTCCATGATTGTGTCGTGCAGAATGTGGCGCAACAACTGCGACGACGAGAGCCCTTGCTGTCACGATCACGATCACCCATAGAAACATATGCAAAACAACAATTGTTACGAGTTACCAAGGCCCAGAGATTGCATGCGGTATATTCGCCTTTGCATTCCTATTAGTCACAACATGCAACTTCCTACAGGAGGGCAGAAGGCAAATACAACCAACATGTACACGATAGCGGGTGGAGCACGAAACCCCGACATAAGCCCCTAAACCCAAGTGAACAACACACCGAACTGAGGTCTCCCTTTGAAAGGCCTCAAAAAAGTTCCAAGTGGGCCAGGGGCGCCTTCCCCAGGGGATACATCGGTGAGTCGGGTGCAGTTGCTTGTCCGACTGTCAGATGCGATGGGTAACACGAACGGGTCCCGGGAAGCTCCCTCTCAAGAAAGTTGAATTGGGATTCTTGGGGAACTCACGAGTCACGGCATCGAAATGCACAATAGGATAAGACGCTATAGGGCCCACTGACTTGCGTCGGGCGTTGAGAAAGGCATTTGGAATGCGCCGTTCGAATCGGAATCGACACGCGTACGGATTTAGCAATGAAGCATCTTTACAGTGCGGTGCACCGCACCATCTGCTTAAGCAGAAGCAAGTTAAATAAAGATAAAGGGACATGACAAAAAAAGAATCCCATCAACAAGGACGTGGTACGTACGTAGCGTAGATCCCCATCCCATCACTGGTCTGATCAACGGACCAGGAGTCCGATGCCAGGACCAATCAAAAAGCAATGTCCGTGTCGGGAAGCCGGAGTTGACGTTGATTCCTTCAGCGATCCGGGAGTGGCATTTAACGTTCAAATCTGTAAGGGTGTTCGCGGGTTTGGGTACATTCGGAGGGCTTAGGAAGGTTGGAAGGTTCCCAGGTCGTGCCATGCTTGATCAGCGGTCGCGCGTGTGTGAATTTGGCCTCAATTTTGGCGAACGACGAGCTGAGCATGACGATGAGGCTGGAAAGCTAGGCCTTCTATCTACGGACGATGCATAGCGATAACGAGTGCTGCTGATCAGCAATTGAAGCGAATCATGAATGTCGTACGTCGTCCACATGGAGGTGGGCTGCCTGGAGTTTCCTGGGCAGAAGATAACGACCAAAGCGTTGACTTTTTCCACAATGAAGTGGCGGTGGGCACATCGATGGGTAACGACCCACGGATCCCTGTCCATGAGAAGAACTGGCTTTATTCAACGATTAACCCATTTAGAGGAGATTGCGCAAAAAAGAAAGTCGCCGTGGCCCAGCGTGGCCCTCCAAGCACTTACGCCCAGGATCTCTCTGAGACAAGCGACCGCGGCGGAGGTGGCGGGCGCCGAGTAATGAGTAGATGCTACACAGTGCATGCATCAATAGCGCCAATCATGTAGATGCGATTCTTTGTCGAGGATCGAGTGCCTTATACGAAGATGATTAACAGCGATCCTCGAAAGATATGTCAAACCGGCGAAATAGGCACCCCGTTTCGGTTTTGTGGCGAAAACATATCCGTAACATATTGCCGGGATCAGCTCGCTAGACAAAAGAGATCGGCCTTCCGTGAGAGGAGACTCGACGACTATGGATCCAACTCTCTGGCCCGCAAGTTACTTCCTGAATGAGAGGCCGTCAGGAATCATGCATTATGTAATACGACGGGCGGGTCCTTGGAACGCACTTGGGAGCGGGCATATCGGCGTGGCGGGCTATAAATTCAGCGTCGCGAGCCGTCGCGCATATATTCGCCCAGAAAAGTCCCATGTCGTCGTCGTCGTCGTCGTCGTCGATTTCGATGCCCTCAACGACTGAAGGCCCTTCCCCCCACGATGCTGGCACCGCAGCTCATACATGTGGCTTGCTTCACATTACCCACGCAGTGAAGTGGTGGGCGAACAAAGAGGCCTTCAGCGATGAAATATAAGCCACTGAATCGCGCATTCTCCACGACCTCCTTTACACCATACTACCATGATGATGCCCATATTCTCAGCAACCCATGCCTCGCAATTGGACGCGTTGCCGGCCAACGAAGTCGATGGCGCTGGGAGACCTGGGCGTCGGAAATGGCGAACGGTGCGGACGCAGGAAGGATACCGGTCGGTTCCAGCGGCTCCTTGGGACTTCGACATGGTGGCAGGACACCATGAAGGTCTTCAGCGTGATCCCGACGCTAACGAGCAGGTCTCTCCGTCGACGTCGGCAACGCACGTGACCTCCGGCGCGAGCTTGGACTGGTTCCCGGACGAAGCTCCTGGTGAGCGTACGTTTGATCTCTCACGGCGTCCAGGCATCCGAAATCAAAATGGTCCCACAACCAACACAGCTTCCTCTTCACGACCAAAATCTCCATCCATGGCATACAAGACCCGAACCTGGATCTCGTTGTGGTTCCTGCTGACTGCTCCAGTCATTTTCTGGGATGTAGGCTACTGCTTTATGAGGTGAGTTCGATTCGACAGGCTTGTTGATAGTGGTTCTACGTGGGAGATGTGTGGCGTTGCTAACCTTTCTTCTCGTTGTGAATAGGCCTAGGTCGATGAAAGGCGGCGATCTGCACTGGATTTGGTCTCCATATGCGTTATACCAAGAAGTTGACTATGTGCGTGCACGAAATGCCGTTCGCAATAGAGTCAGCGTTGACTATAGATTCGAACAGATTTACGGTGTCAAGGCCCTTCAGGAAGGGAATGGATTCACCTTGGCCCAATGTGAGTCCAGCCATACAACATCGTGCACGGATTTCTCACCCGTCTTCCTTTTTTCATCTGGAATTTGCAGCTTCACTCAATGTCATTGAAACATTGATGAACCTCATGTATCTATACCTCGCGCACGTCCAGCACTCGCCAGCGGCCATTGTCGTGGGCTTCGCCGCCGTCGTCATGACCCTCTCCAAAACGGTCCTTTACTGGGCCCAGGAGTACTTCTGCGGCTTCTGCGCCGTCGGGCATAACAGCATCAGAGATCTGGTTATTCTATGGATTATCCCAAATGGGTACGTTCATCTCCAGGTGTTACTGATCGGTTTTGTTGAAATGTTTATAGCCTATGGATCGTGTTCCCCGCTATCATCTCCGTCGTATTGGGGAAAGATATCGCGCGTCAGCTGTACGCCGCCGATCGAGCAGCGAAGAGGGCTATGCTCGAGAAAAAGAGATAACTCATATCTGGGGGTTGACGGGTGTGGATCAGGGATAAGTTACCGAAATATCTGTGTTTATTTATGAAGTGCACCTGACTATGTGGATTTATTGTCGGAGGTTTTATTGGCACAGATGTACTCGCTTGTGCTACGTTAATGTATGTTGTAGAGATCTTGTCGTCAAGTCCTACGTAGCTCGAACTGGCCATCGAGCGATACCTAATACTCCCGTTGCGCCTCGACAATCTCTCTGGATGTGCAGTAGAGATCTCGACTATCACGGAACGAACTCTCATGACAAGCTACAGGAGAGGCATCTGACATTCTTTTAGAAAGTTCAATACACATCTTTCTGAATTGCTCCGACTACCCATCGATAAATTACAATTTGGATTACTTGAGTGGAGGTGACTTGAGTGGGGATGGGAGCCGTAAGGTACACAAAGGCAGACATTAGAAGCCAGCGAGGTCAAGGTATCGGCGTAAACCATTAGAGTCAGCAACCATCGCGCCAACTACGCCATCCGGGCGTACAGCTACAATAACAGTACCGGCACCGGGGACTCCGTACGCTCGATGTGCATTCCCCAGCTCATCTTGAATGACGAGATCAAGCCCAACATCCGGGCTAGTGGACGAGTCTGATGGCAAGACTTCGACCGACATAAAGAGGCCCGGCGGGTAAGCCTTGAGCAACTGTACGACTAGCGACGCTTCAGTGTTACCCTGCTGTCCGGTAAAGACGAGGATGGTGTGCCGAGTTGCGCTGAATAAATCGAATAGTCGATCGCTGGTGAGTGCGCCCCGAATGGAAACAAGCGACGAGGCGTCGGGCGCACGATCGCCCGCCATCAATACACCACTTGGTCTTGAATCATAGCAGTTGCTGGTGCTCGGCGGTCTGCCCTCGATCTCGTCCAGGACAAACGGAGTGCCACGGTAATTGACGCCAAGCTGGTCCAAGTGACTACCTCTATTCCAAACCCTCTCGTTGGGGCCGCCTTCGTATGTCTTATCGTGGAGCGCCGAGGTGAGCTGGAGCATTTCCGCGATGACGGGAAGCCGTTCGGCGTCATAAGAGTCGAGAAATCTGGGTTTTGCGAGGCCTTTGGCAACAAGGGCAAGTTTCCAACCTAGATTGAACTGTGAAGGATAAGATAATGACTACCTATTGTCACTGGAGGTTGCTCACGGCGTCTTGGGCTCCTGAATTTGACCCCTAAAGCCCCTCTGTTCATGAAAGAAAACTCTAACAAGTAGAATATGACAACTGACCTGGCCGCCAGCCGGGCTGTGGACATGGGCTGCATCTGTGAGTGTATTAGCTGTGGTTCTGTGCGCGATGCTTCAGCGTACGCACCTCCTGCTATGAAGACTCTGCCTTTCCGGAACGAATCGACCATACGAATGTTGGGACTGGGGAACCAATATGTTTTAAGTTGCTAGGTAAATAACATATAGTACCGACTCACGTATACGTGGTTAGCAAAGTAGACTTGTCGCAGTCTAAATCTGGCAAGCCAGTCATCTTTCTTAAGTAGCCGACAAGCTCTTCGTGGTCAGACATAAGGCGGACGTTCTCTTCGTAGGCAGGGGTAAACAGAAAGAAGAGCCCTGGGATCTCGCCGACAGGGCGAAGGGAAAGGCTGCATCGTGTACTGAGTTTATGCTGCGGGGGGAGGAGAGAGGAGAGGAGCGACAAACAAGGAAGAAGACATATCACCCCACACGTGAAGAGCCTACATCCAACTCGGGTGAGCGACGGGCAGAGTGGGAGATTTTGAAAAGGACAAACATTTTGAGACAAAGAGCCGCGAATGTAGATGTCACCAATGATCATTTGTTGAGCCTTTCTCGTCTCTCCTAGGAAGCTGAGGCCAAGTTGTTTGCGAGTCTGACTATGAGCACCATCTGCCCCAACCAGGTAGTCAAACGTAGTCGTTTCTTCAGTAGTTTCTTCGCCCTCAGGGTGTCTCCTCAATATAGCAATGACATTGTCGGAGGACTGCTCGAAGGAAACTAGCTCTACGCCGCGTTCCACCCGGCCACCTAATTTCTGAAGATGGGCTGTAAGGATTTCTACTTGCTTGTCCTGGCCAAGTAACACTGCCCGAGTCTATAGAGGCACAATCAGCGTGAATCGCTCCAGGCAGATATGTAAGCACCGTAGGAAATGCGTCTGACGGTTCTGCTGCGTCGCTGAGCACGTTTATGGTCTTGATCGGAGCAGTACTGCCTATGGCATAGGCCACCATCTGGGGAACCTGCGAGGCGGACGACAGGATGTCCGACGCTGTGCCGAGGAAGTGGTGCATTTCCAAGCTACGAGGCTTCATACGGTATGTCATTCGCAACCCACACGTTTCTCGAGATATAGGTACTTGCGTGAATCCCCGCGCCTCGCTGGCCAACCTTGCAGACGGGGTCCTTTTCTATGACTCGAACGTTGATACCATTCAGCGCTAGAGAGATAGCTAGAACAAGCCCTGTAGGACCTGCGCCGACCTAGGGAATATTGGGTATGAGAGTCACCGCCATACTTATTGTATCACCTACAACAAGGACCGAATGATTCATCTGGAGGCGTGCGGTGAAAGCGGAGGGGGGTAATCAAGATATGGATACTGTCTGATCTATATACTACTCAGCTATCAATGGACCAGACTCATGAGATGGGGTATGTCCCCACATCGCAGGCCGGCCATTAACTCGTAATTTCGGCTGGTTGGTAGCAAGTTCCACGACTGTGGTTGAATCATTGAAGTAATTGGCTAGTCGTCATGCAATTGAGTCAGAGAGACTCAGGTCTGATTCGGAGGCGAGTGCACGCGATACGGCATTGATGCGGTAACATCGGATATATCATCGAGGGCGAGAGAGAGAGAATGAATAAGGGCGGTGAGAGGAGTTATTATCAGTACACGTGTACCCTTGGACGCCGGCAGAAGTCTGGACGTAACCTTTCAACGCACAGAGGGTCGTGCAAACTACAGCCTTGTTCATAAGCACTATACAACTAATTTGAAGTCTGTCACCATAATGACTGAGCTCGTAGTGATTTCGACCGATTGTGCGGACCAATCGTCGAGGAAAGCATCGCGAACTTTGTGCGCGTCGCATACCTCCCAGGGCTGCGGAGAACATTGGTTTTCTCCCGGGACAGGGTGAAGGGCCATCCCTATGCTTTCTCTACGGGTCGTCCAGACGAGGCAACGATGCGGGGCGACGGTACTCCAGCTTTTGCTGAAAGAAACTAATCGCGAAGCGTGAGGAATATGCCCGTCGTCCGCTGAGATGAGGAGCTTGAAAACCCCTTCGGTGGTTGTAAAATACAGTATTACGTCGGTGTCCGGTGCCACATAGGTCGAGGATGGGGAAATTCCAGGCAGCAGTGTACCCCACAGGGTGACCGAGTGGAGGATGGGAGCGTGTTGCCCGAATGACGCCGGTCCAGATATAAACTGCATGGCAGGTATCCCTAGAACCTGAACCGTGTCTTTGAACAAAGCCAACAACCTGTTGCGAAGCAGTAAGTGAGCAGAATACTGTCACAAAGCAATGTCAGTGGAGGAGAACGTGAAGTTACGGGTGCAACGTACTGGATCGTCGTTATTGAGCGAAGCTTTACGATGGCATAGGGTCATGGAGTTGTGCCAATCGTATACGTCGAGATAGAAGTCTTTTTCTTGCAGTCGCAGAAATCGTCAGATGGCTCCAGGAAGCACAAAGTGTGTTGAACGATGTCAAATGCGTAACGGCGAGGCGGCCACTCCCCCCCTACTACGATGGTTCTGTAGATAAATATCCTTGCGAATTCGTTCTCTACAAAGGTATCACACAGTGAAGTGTTCGCTTGATCTACACGCCGCGATCATTACTCACGATTTTGGTAAGTTACAGCGAGGTAGAATTCAGGGTTAGGTCGTCGTCGGACATAGTGGATGGCAGAACCTGCGATTCTTTTGTGCGATCGTTTATCTGGGGGGATTGAGATGTACCTTCTACCATCCAGGGAGTCGAGGTCATGCGCGATGGTGGAACTACCGGAGGTGAAGCATAGCAGCCATCTGCCCCCTTCAACGAGCTGCACGCACGCGCCATCGTATGTGCCATAAACACGTCTTGCGGGAGGCTTAGAGGACATCCACCCTCTTTCGGAACGCATCCAATCTAACAGCTCGCTCTCCACTTCTTCGGCAGAAGATGTGGCATCGGTGCCAAACTCCAGGGGGACATCGTACTTCGCAGAGACTTTCTCGCATTGGCTCGCCCATATTACTCGAGACCAAGAGGCTGTGCCTAGCGCTTTGCATGTCTAATCCACGGATTAGTGTTTCTTATAGCAACCTTCATAGTCCAGGCGTCCAGGGCTTACCATGCGCAATCTCAGTATATCCAGCCATTCGAGCTCTATCAGGATCAGGTCTAAAACTTCTAGCGGTAGAGATGGCATACACGTCCGCATTCCTAAGCCTTGGATATCTGGTCGGTGTCGGCAAGGTGGAAATTGTGCCTCGGCGACGCTATGTGACCATAATCAGGGGAAGATCAACCTTACGACTGATTATATTATACAATCGCATGAACATTGCGGGATTAACATAGGAAGTGGATAGCGAAACACGTAAAAGAAGAGGCTGGTGGTGACAACATAGCGTAGACAAGGGATATACAGCAATCATGTAATACTGGTACAATGCGATGGAGGAACAGAGAGGATATAATGAAACACACAGACAACGGAACTAAGGGAGCGTGTGGGACACGAAGTCCTTTAGAAGAGGGAGAGAGCTATAAAACGCAGCGTACAGCAGGTTCTTTGCGAAGTTAGGCAGGAGGACAGGGACTGGGGATTGAACAACCTCCAGCTGTAGGCGCTTTACTTGAGAAGCGACATATATTCTCCCTTTCAAATGCTGTAACAAATCACTCTGAGGCTGGTCAGCTACAAAGAAAGACGTAGATATTCTTATGGCCGCTTACAAAAGGGTCCCCCGGTTGACCGGCCAAGCGCTTGAAGACAATTTCCACATCTTCAAGTTGTGGTAGTCGATGGAAAAGAGCGTCAAGGAATGTATCGTTCAACGTTTTGACCGTGACTCTCAACCGCTTTACTCCGCCACCAGGTGCAGGGTGGTCAAGAGCGGAAATAAGATATTCGACGTCCTGACTGGGCAGGACCCTGTTTTCTAAGAGCAAGGTATGGAGAGTCGTGGGGCAACTGTAGAGAACGTGGATAACATCGTCGAGGCGCTCCGAGTTCCCTCCCAGTGCCAGATGCAAGGTCATGAGCTCAGGGAACTTGACGCCTTTGATAGCCTCGACAGGCCATTGAGCGGGGGTCCGCTGGGTGATGTCGGCAATTGGAGAGCGCAATGCCAAGGATCGCAGTGTGTTCCTGTGTCTGCGCAAGAATCTCCCCAGGGCAAGAGGATTCGACAAGTGGTAGTTACCGGAAGGGATAGAGAGCGAGAAATGGTGCAGGTAGGACTCGCCTTCCAGGGTCTCGAAGAAATGGGTGAGGTCCACGTATTCAGACGAGCTCGTGGTAGCGATAGAGAGTGATTTGAGCGTTCTGAACACATTGTGGATAAAGACGACCAATGTGTCGAGATGGTAGTCTATTTCCGCTTTCGGTAGCGTACCGGTGGAGAGAGTAAGGGTGAGCTCCTGGAGTCGGCGTAGTTCCGGGAACTCGAACTTGCGCCCGATAGGAAAAAGTGCCCTAAAACTGTCCACAGGAACTTTCAGATGAAGTTTCTGTAGGTTGTGGGCTAAGTCCAGAAGGGGGGAGAGGAAATGGGAGAACAAGGCAGCATGGTACCGAGGCTGTTCATCCCAGTCAATCGAGTACTCGGTGATTCCGTGTTTGCAAGCAGCGACTGCGTCTAGCACGACATTCACGTCGTCGAATATGCGCTTCTTCAACTGTTCCTTTTCGTAGAATTCAGGGAATTCGGGATCGACGAGACTCTTCAGCCCAAGTTTAACCCGTGATCGCAATGACGTTGGCACAGCCTGCTCTTCATCAATTCGCCAAGGGCGAATATAGAGCGAACGAATACGACCAGCAACGAATTGGTTTCTATCGAGTGGCAACAGTGTCAACCTGTCGGGAACCTAAAAGACGAAGAGTAAAGCCAAAGTCACATACCTTAGTCGATCCAATTTGCGGCGCAGCTCAGCCTGAGGTCGATCGGGTTCATTGGAAAGATCGACGCGTTTGTACTTCAAGTTTAGCACAACGTTTAAGAAGGCAGAGTTGACGGTGTACAGCTTGAGGAGCTCGTCCCGTGGGATGAAGTTTGCGATCTTCTCCCATATCTCGGGCGGTACCTCTCTTGACTTGACACCGGTATAATCTACGCCATCTAAGCGTCGGCAATGGGCATAGGCCTTCACCATCGGGGTCGGTGCAGAATCCAAGGCTATGTGGGATGAGGGCGGTGGTGGGACTGCGAGAGAGCCAGCGCGACACTAGCGCCAAACGCGGGGGAAGAGATGACTCGATGCCCCGGAAACCTGTGCTGCGGATTCATCACGTGGGGCGGGATGTAGACGCGCTCTTTGCTAAGCTCGCGCTCGTCGGAAATATAGACTTCCATCGCAGTACGCGTCGTCGACGTTGGGAAGTGGCGGGGGTACGAGAGGAGGAGGAATGGAACAGTTCGAATATCCATCCCATTTATATATGGTTGCGTGACGCTGTTGTCATGTCCATGTGAAATGATCGTCTATTTGGAGCTCAGTCGCTCTTAGTAGCTGAAATAGGGTATCAATTTCTCTTAGCCCATGAAGTGAAATATCACTCACGTACTTAGGTGAGTGCGAGTTGTGAGATATATTGACCCAATTACCACACTCTCCTTGACAGGACTTGCTCCTACTGTGAGCCTCTGCTCGGACCCTACTAACATCGGCCGCGACGTTCGGTCGAGAAAACGGCGGGCTTTTGGCAGATCGACAGACTGCAAACCGATGTCTCGACTACACCAGGGGGGCTCGTGGGGCCATGCCAGTAATGCCCGTGGTTTATGTACGGCAGATCCAACGCCCAAGGATTAGAGCTGTCAAGAGTTGGCGGCTTCAGAAACGATGCCAGGTCATCAACAGAAGCTACTTACATACACGGCTCGTCAACCGGATGTTCAGAATAACCTTGCCTTGTGTGTGCCATGCTGTGATGTAGAAGATAAGACATGAACGTTTTAACAGCTATCGAAACCTTTGTGGGCAGCCAGGTAGTCATGAAGAGACAGTGGGCTTCCATGTGGAGTTGGATTTTATCCATTATCCATCCGATCCGCGCACCCACTATACTGTGCGATCAGCCGGGCGGTAGCCAACTATGCAATGGCGATGCAGAAACATACAGCTGCGCTCTTTCTGTGCCTTCACACTGATCGAACTTCCTAGGTTGCTATTTTCATCAGTTAGTAGTCAATCCACCTTGTGTGAAAGCTAAAGTCCCACCTTGATTTCCGGTTAGCTACTGCATAAAGTGGGCAAATCGATTGTACGACACCACAGTATCCACTAAATGGACCTTCCCCGTGCAGTACGGCAGCCGTCCCGGAGGATATGATTGCCTGCCAATGTTCCCTCGTTGTGGAAGTCTAAACGGACGAGACGCTTCATACAGTGGACGCAACTACACTGCCAAGCTGGATGCCACTAAACCATTGTGGTATTATAGCACCCTCCTTCGGGTTCATCGACGCAATATAAGCGGTGCCTCTATCTAGAGTGGAAGAACGTATCATCAGCCACTGTAGAAATCGCTAGAGAAGAATGTAGCACCTATTAATCATTGGGCCTTCCACGGCGCTTCCATATTTTGGGTTCACATGCTTCCTCGGAGCCTCTTCGACCTTGGTCACAGCGGTAGTCAGGAATGAGTAGATGGTCTTTATATAGTGCCGAACTGTGGGATGGCTGTGGGATCTGTTCCAGGAGCACTATACTGGTCAAACTTTAGACATCTGGATAAATTTATGAATAGAAGCACATTTGAGAGCCCAGTATACCTTCACCCAGTGTATCGCTAGGTGTTGATTGTATGGGCTCACGAGTCGGCATAACGGCGAGGACACTAGTATGGTGACACGCTCAGTGTCAGCGACTTGACATTGGGACGCGTCCAAATCGCGACACGCACACGTGACTTAGACCCACGATCACAGGTCCCGGTCCGAACGGCCCACATCACAAAATTTAAACATTTCTCTGCCGACGACATGGACGACGGAAATACGATAACGACAAGACTTCTGACGTTACTGAATGTGTCCGCAACAAAAGCCGGGAAACGAAAGCGGACGTACGAAGATGAGCTCCTAGTTGGCGAGAAGTTAAACAAACGCAAGTCCATACAGTTCGACGACGTTGGGAAGGAAAATAACGCTGCGATCTCTGAGGATTCGGATTTGGCTGATAAGTCAGAAAAAGATGCAGTACAGGAGAATGAAAACGGTGCAGAGGAGGAGGATGAAGAGGCGGAACAGATGGATAACATGGATTCCGAAGGTTAGCAAGAGAACTATTACATTTCATCCAGACTCACATATGCGACGTTCCAAAGATCCCAAAGACCTCTACGAGGCTCACTTTGGAGTGAAGCCTGTTGACCTGACAGCTAAGTCAAGGGCTTCTGTTGATGAATGCCTATGGTCAGATTCACAGACGAAACTGGGGAGGATAGGATCAGCGATCTTGTCAGTGCCCGAGGGGTCACAAAATCTAGTCTTGAACGGGACGAATGTAAGCGCAAGCATACTATCATGACTTGCGCTCATAAAGCTTCAATATGTAGATCTTGGAGAGACTAGCTACACCGTTTCAATCCCGTCAGGCTCAGCAGCCCAAAGGTACCGACCGTAGCTTTTTTATTTGTCTCGCAGGCGTCTGATATTATTCCAAGAGCACACCGAATACCAAAACGATCTACTGTCTGCTTTGGCAACACACCGAGATCTGTACTTGACGTCGTCTCCTTCGGAATTCTATAAAAGTGGCAGGGAAGCGATATCTCTGCACGCCATCAACCATGTTACCAAGTACAATCAACGTTACTCCCAGTGTTTAACGGCTAATTGACGAATAATAGAAAACGGCGGCGAGTACTGAAAAATAACGAACGTCTGGCTCACGCCGCAAAATCAAAATTAGACGCACCTGAAGATGTCCAAGACCAAGGATTCACTCGTCCTTCTGTCCTGCTACTCGTCCCTTTTCGTTCTTCAGCAGTTCGCTGGTTCCACGCTATCACCTCCCATACACCACCTCCTTCCTTCCAAATCGAGAATCAAGCGCGGTTCCTCTCTGAATATGGGTTGCCACCAGGTGCTATAGATAAAATCGCTTCAGCTGAGCCTGGAACCTACCCTCAAGACCATGTCGAAACCTTCGAAGGCAACGTTGACGATAACTTCAGAATTGGAATCAAATTAACAAGGAAAAGTGTCAAAATGTTTTCCGAGTTCTACGGCAGCGACATAATAATTGCCAGTCCCCTCGCCTTGAGAATTTCGATAGAGAAAGAAGAGTAAGCCATCTTTGCCGTAGCCCGGGAACTTAAGCTCACGCGAACGTCACTAGGAAAGACGATTTCTTATCGTCTATCGAAATGGTAGTTGTCGATCAGATGGATAGTCTGATGATGCAAAATTGGGATCATATCCAGGTCCGTTGAATATCTTTGCCGCGGTCATGATCTCACTTTCAGTAGTTCATATTTTCTCGACTCAACAAACTTCCAAAAGAATCGCACGATACAGACTTCTCTCGTGTAAAGCCATGGTATCTTGATGGACAGTGAGTGTTTCTCTCCCAGCAAACGTTCTTTCGCCCAATACCCAATACCTTAGTGCTGCTTACCTGCGACAGACCATCCTCATGTCTGCGTTCGAAACACCAGAAACCCGGTTTCTATACAACTCTAGCTTGAAAAACGTTTCCGGCCGACTCAGAGTCGAGACGCGGTATTTGCCCATTGCAATACCAGATGGCATCGATCAGGTATATTTGTATTATCGACACGGGTTATATGTTTTCTTAACGAGTACTCTAGAATTTTATTCATTTCGACTGCCCAAACCCGAAGGAAGAGAGCGATAGGCGATTCAACTATTTTACGACTCAAGTATGTTTTACGGTCTTGGATATTAAGTGGGGTTACTCACTTCTTCCCAGCTCCTTCCCACGGTGCTCAAGTCTGCTGTCCAGAGCGCGAATACCGTCATCTTCATCCCCTCGTCGTTCGATTTTATTCGGGTCCACAATTACTTCAGAAAGAATGCCGGTGTGACATTCAGCGTTCTCTCAGAGTAAGCGGTCCCCCGACGCCCTGACGGGTCGCCCTTGTGCTTGATACTGATACTCAAATCATCGACCAGGTACTCTTCAAATGCAGATATTTCGCGTGCTCGTCAAGCCTTTTTCTCGGGAAAGTCGGCCTTCTTGCTCATTAGCGAACGTTTTCATTATTACCGCCGGTATGTCTCCACGTTTCCGGCGCCTATGTCATCGGCTGATCATACTCTAGCTATAAGATTCGAGGCATTCGTAATCTCATATTCTATGGGCCGCCTGATCACCCTCAATATTTTACTGAACTCCTGTCTTACCCCTTCCTCGATGACGGCGTGGAAGCCTCAGATGTGACGTGCCGTGTCCTTTACAACAAGTACGATTGGTTCCGCTTGGAACGTGTCACCGGTACCGAGGCCGCCTTGGAACTTATCAAGAGTTGATGAGGAGGATGCTCGCCTATGTATGTTGGTCAAATCGTTCTTGTGCGTCGCCGTAGCTCGTGGTGGTTGCGTCGTATGTCACTTTTGCAACTTGCGGAACTATTGATTGCTCTTTCACGACGACAAATATGATTGACGGCCAGTCTGCCGCACAAAGCACAAAGGCCGGAGGGCACACGACGATGTAGAATAGTAACACTTACACCTCTTTCACTTCTACTGCCATCAATGTTCTTAAAGTTCTCTATACTCTTCATGATCACCTGTCATCACGAAGAAGATCCACGAAGTTGCACCGGGTTATCGTTACGGGCATACGACGCAGCGGAGCTACTGCTCTGTGTAAGCTCGCAATCAACGCTTACACGCTATACTTACTAGGTACCAAGAATCTACACCTAGGGAAGGAAGAGGAGAATATTCGTTCAATGATTTTGGTTCGTGCGCTTACTCCCTTGACACGGTACCGTGTTTTTGACAATAATTCAAGTCCAGTCATATCAAGAAGTGTGCTTACAAAGGAAATCTCACTGTTGAAGTTGGATCTCAAGAATTACAAATGGCAAGCCACCCAAGATGGGAGAGAAATGCAACGCTTGCGACAATCACTCCAACATCAGAGTCAGCAGATTGAGGACCTTGGTTCCAAGCTCTCTGATGCCAACCGGGATGCCTGTGGTCTCAGGCAGTGGCTCGCAGATGCCAATAGGGAGATCGAGGTCCTGAGGCAGCAACGTCGAGTTCGATACAGAGAGAGGATCCGGAATTACTGGGAGCTGAAAAGGAAGGAGAATAATGGTTCTCCGAAGTCGGATTCGAGCGGTGGGGCTCGGAGTACGGGTGCCGCCAAGCCGCCTGGAAAGCGGCTGGCCTGAAGGGAAGAGTCCGTCTTTCCTTTATGCTTGTATTCTGAAATTTGGTTCTGCGGAATCTAAGACAACGAAAGACGACGGAGGGGGGACTCAAGCAGAGGGTGTGATAGACCATCAAATCGTGCCTTTGATCCCTGGTTTGGTCTCTACCAGCTCACTCTCTCCCGCCTTCATTTGATGCCAACACACTTGGCGCCCATTCCGAGGGTGATGTATAATGTATTCTGTAACCGTACGAACTCGGTCAAGTTTTGGTTCCCGTATACTCTATAAGTACCTTATTCCGGACGTTGTATCATTGTAAACTTGGATTGTAAGAACAATTATATCGCGTATGTACTAGTTCGAACTACGATGTCGTCGTAGATTTATGTTTATATATGATCATCGATGTTTCAACTCGAGCCTAGTCCCCCCAGTGGTTGGTCCCAACACTTAAGGCTGCCAACGCACGCTGCTGTTCGTCGGCAACTTCATCTACGAGAACGCCATCCAGCTTCGACCGACATCATGATATAGTTTGCCACGCACTTGATAATCCATATCCTCATGCTCGCGCCTTTCGAGTACATGTATACGTCAAGCGGGCCCGGCGGAGGTCCACGTTACTCTTGTCATACGGTGCGTCCATGCCATTATCATCGATCCATCGATCATCTACTACCAAGATGAGAGATTAAATTATCATGATCGCTGTGCACACGCCACGTGGTCAACGCCTCTCCGGCTGCACACACCCTCACGCTATGACCCACAGTATACCTACGCCCTGGTCAAGAAAACGATACAAAGCAGCCCCCGACGCTCCCAGCACCATCTGCATATATAGCACTCGTCCTGCTTCGATGTACCACCACACGTCTCCATCCACCGCGTATCATTCTGCCACCGAATGGAAGCGACTCTCCGTTTCGTCGCTGCCAATCGACATCGACTCTTATCCCCGATAGGATGGGGACTCCTAGCTTTGCCCGATGACGGCCCCGTATGTGATGCACCCTCAAAGCCACTGTCTCCGATGGGGAAGGCTAACAAATCATCGCGTTCTCCGCAAGGAATTCCCGGGGCACAGTCACGCGCGGACTCCGTCGATCGGGACAGGAAGGGGAAAGGCAAGGCCGGGGAAGTCCAGGAGTACCTCTGGGAGGACGTACAGGAGAATGGATTGGACTACCCCCAGGTCGACAAATACAAATATGATCGGGAGGACGAGCAGGAGGCCGTCTTCCCCTTTACCTTCCGACCCCCAGTCGCAAAGCCCGGCAAGTACGCCCATCTCGGGCCCCCGTCCCAGTACTTTTCCTTCACCCATATCACACAGACCGGGGCAGACGCGCACGATACGCGTGTGTGCATCAACCCCGAGGATATCCACCGTGAGACCAGCTGCGTAGAGGGAGACGAAAGCGCAGATGCACCCGGCGACAAAGGCACTCCCGCCGTTCCTGCAGCCACCCCCCTGCCTCGCGAGATCGCCCCCCTCCCAAAGCGCGCACGCGCACGCGCCTCCCGTGCCCGTGCCCCAAAGACCGCAAAGTCCAAACCCCCACGAACGCGCATCAACCGCAAATATACGGAGATCCGCGACGGCGTGAGTGCTCCCTCCCTCCCTCCCAACGCTGATGCTGATTCGAGCTTAATCGCTTGCTTCCCCCGGCTGCGGTGACGTTTCCGTGTGGTGATACGGCGTGCAGGTATACGTGTGCTCCGTCTGTCATCTCGAGATGTCGAAGAACGCGAAGAACAGGCACGCGCCCGCGTGCGGCGCCCCGAGCCCGTACGCCATCTGCGAATTCTGCGGACGGAAGTGAGTCTCTCCCCCTCTCCCCCTCCTCTCCCTCCCTCTACCCCATACTGACCGGGCTACGCTTTTGCAAATACCACGTGCAGATCCCTCAACCACAGAATAGACAGCACGAAGCGCCACCAGCGGAGCGACCTGTGCTGGGAGCAGCGCACCGCGTACGCCGTGGCGTGCGTCCCGACCTGGTCGCCCGCCCCGCGCATCGCCGCATCGGAGCGGGGGAGCTTGGCGTCGAGTGCACCGTATAGGTTCGCAAGAGGGGGCGATGGCGGCGGAGGGGGCGGAGAGAATGGTGATGGGGACGGGTGGGTATACTCTGATTCGAGCGACGAGGAGGATGAGTTGGGTGGGCAGAATGTGGGGTGGCGTGATGTTGATGGTGATGTTGGTGAAGTGCTGGAGGACAAGGCAGAGGGGGAGGACGAGGAAGAGGACGAGGGCGCTGGTGGGGATAGAGATGATGGCGGTGACGGTGACGGTGACGACGGCAACGAGCGGGAATATGAGCACCCGTGCGCCATTAACGACGAGGGAGCGAGGAGCGAGGGTGAAGCTTGGGGTGGGGACGCTGGATGTCGGGAGCCAGAGGACGAGTGTGTAGCAGGACCGTCTTCGGTTACGCTTGAGCACAATGCCCCGGCGAAGCGTGCCCAATTCTGGAGAGAGGAGGGTTGGACCGTCTGGATGCCTCCTACCTACCTCTAGCCAATCGAATTAACCACCTGAATGTCTGATTCCCCAAATCCGACGACCTCATCTCTCCCATTGGGGAAATACATATAGATAATTGACCATGGATTACGGGCATAGGATTATAGGATAGTCACCGTACGCAGTCTATGTTGTGGAAACGGAAGAAAAGCACGACAAAGACCGCACCCTACGTGTAACAGAGTGTAGGCGCGAAGGGGAATTCGCAGGTGTGTGAGTGAGGACAGGGAATGGTGTGTTCCCACCAAAAGCGAAGAAGGAATGGAATGAAACTGAACGCCACGAGACGAACGGAACACACTATGTAACGTGGTTCCCCCAGCAACGAATGTATCGCGCTTACAAAATACAAAACATTACGAACGAATCAATCTGCCTGACCTCACGGCCGTACAGAATTGATGAGATATGCGGCAGTATCATGTGCAGCTAGCGTCGCCGCAACCGTCGAGTTGTGTGTATATGTCGTGAGATGGTCCGCGCCTGTCCACATATCATGGATACGATAGTCTGCGGCCGGCAAAAGTTCCGGGACATTGGCTATGGAGAACTGCATCGTGCGTTTATACGACGACATGTTGATAACAAAGACGTGAACGCCTTTCGATGAGCGCCCTACGTAGTATTCGGGAGGCGAAGTCGTGGGTGCGCTTGAATAAGGGACGAATGGGAGAGCAGGAGTTCCAACTATAGCATCTTGGTTAAACGCGAGGAGCTCCTTGTTCTTAATTATGCCGACTTGTTCAGAGGACAAGGCGCTCAACTTCGGAGCAAAAGTTAACATGTGTTCATATCAGCCCAACGAGTTAAACTTACATCAGTTCCTCTGTAGGGCGTATTCACATGATCAGGCCTTGAAAAACACCAGAGAATAGGCCACCTACAAGAGAATTGGGCTCTTGAGAAACGCCCATGCAGCGAAGTGTGTCCGCTGCTCAGGGAGGTCAAGGTCACCGTTCCCAGTCTCCATCATGTCCATGTCGTTGTGGCCGAAGAAATCTGTTTTCGAGAGGTGCGCGACATTCGTCTCAATGAAGGACTTGACGAAGCTCCATTGCGGCCTGCATGTGTAATATATGGTTACGCCTTCCAAGAGTACTTGAGCAAAGGCCCCACCTTGAATCCTTCGTCATTCGCCATGAATGTCCCTGGATGGCATCAGTGAATATTGGGGAGGATGTGCAACAAGGAAAAACCACTAACCACCCGGGAACCCCATTCCCAGACGTGTCCTTCACCCCAGCTACAGATGGCAAACTCGATAGGTCGAGGCTGAGAGGCCAGGGCATGTCTAATTGTTCATCGAGATCAGTAGCGTTCCTACGTAGGAAATAGAGCGAGGCCCACCCCATTTGGCGGTAACGGATAGCTGAATTAGAATGGCTGAATGTTCGCCGATTATTAGTTGCCACCAAAGACCCGTACGCTAAACACGTACTACCAATCACCAAATGGTGGTACCTATGTTCATAGTGGGTCAAACGTCATGCATCCATAAGCATACGGTGAGACCTACAACAGTGCTAGTGTCGGTCCAGTTCGCTGGAACATTACAATTATCTAGGCAGCCACGTTAGCTTTGCTAAGCAGGTCTGTATGAGTCTTACCATATTTGAGATCTGTTCTTTTGGTTAGACATGTGCTGCGAAAAAAGTGATAAAGACACTTACAGTCTACGCCCCATTCGTTGAATGTCTCCGCATCGATTGATTCGTATCCCAATGAACCGGGATACTTCTCGCACGTCGCGAACCCGGCATCGCTGAATACAGTCATCAAGAAGTGATAGGGTGAGGTAGCGTTCAAAGCATACCTGTAAATACCGAATTTAAGGCCCATCGCGTGAACCTTGTCCGCGACGCTCTTGATGCCATCGGGAAATTTCTTCGAATCGGGGACTAAACGCTTTGTTAATGGATCACGTTGCATCTCCGCCCAGCAGTCCTAAATACACCGGTTAAGCCACACACGATGGTCAGTTTGAGGGCGCATACATCGATGTTGACGTATTCATAACCAACGTCCTTGAGGCCAAGTGAAAGGAGCTGGGTCGCGGCAGCAATAATCTTAGCCTCATTGATGTCTACAAAGCGCATATAGACCGTTAACTGAGTGCAGATGCACATATACTGAAGACCAACCACATCGGTAGGCGTTCCAAGAGTTCCATCTGCCAGGAGGAACTCAACAACTGGGTATTACTCGCTGCGACCATCAACATACCCTAAAGCAGGAAGTCTCCCGATCAATTTCGACGGTGGGGTTGTAGGTGTCGTAGCGGCGAGGCCAGACAATGGTCCTGTAGGTATATCTCGTCTGGATTTCTCGACATCAATCGATACTGCAAGCTTGCTGAGAAGTACTTACTGTCCCAATACGGCTGCGATAGCTGCAAAGACGCTCAGGGTCACAGCGATTCTGCTACCCATCTCTGGGACCTGCGCAATCTGTTCAGGTAGGACGGTCGATGAGAATCGCGGATTTTGCACTTTAATACCAAGGCAGTAATCACGGACGACGGCATCCCACACGCGTCGCAGATTGCACATGGATTTAGGAGAATGCTTGATTTCGCCCAGGATTCCTGCAGGGCAGTATGCCCACTGGGGGAAACGTAACTGAGGACTCTGAGCGGCCCAATTCCTCATTTTGTACAGAGGGGAACAAAACCACCCACCTCACAATCTGCACAGCATGCCCGCAACATCCTGCGGTCGACCTCAGCCTAAGCGTATTCTCATCGTTGGTGGCGGACCATGCGGACTTGTTGCGCTCCGGAATCTGACCGAGCGAGGACAGTTCGACAAAGTCAAGTTGGTGGAAAGGCGGAACGACGTTGGCGGAGTATGGTAAATGCTCGACGCACTCGTTGAAGTTCAGGTCATTGAATGCGACGTCCGACAGGCATCTGGAGGACCCTGATGGTGGTCAGAATCCAAGCTGGGCGTCGCCCGCCTATCCCGGGATGGTGGGAAACGTCCTACCCGACTTCCTTTATTTCTCAGAACACCCATTTCCCAAAACAGACCGCCCCCATCAGCCATTCCCGACTTTATCAGAGACTCAAGAGTACCTCAAACGCTTTGCAAAGCCCTACCTCGATGATGGGAGTATCAGACTCAACACTGAGGTTATCACGGTGGACGAGTTGCCAAATTGGAGCGGATGGAAGGTCGTGATGAAGGACTGGAATTCAGGAGGCGTTGAGGTGGAAGAGGTCTGGGACGCTGTCGTGATTGCTGTCGGTTGGTTCGACAATCCTGTGTGGCCGCCTTTGTCTGGCCTCGAGAATCTGCAAAAGCAAGGCCTCGCGATTCACGGCAAATCGTGGAACGGACCCTCTGGCTTCGGGGGAAAGGTGAATTCACCGTGATTGTGCGTACAATGTTGGGCTTCGCTCACTAGTATCATATAGCGCGTCCTTGTTGTCGGCAACGCCAATTCGGCCAACGACATTGCTTCCCAGCTCGTGTCAGTTGCACAGATCCCTGTATTTCGTTCTGTTCGCAGGAGCCCTTTCCCTGGATTCGTAAGTCTCCCTGACGAACGCATTCACAACGTAACTGCTGTACGAGAATGCAGTGCAGTAGTTTCGTCGGACGGCAGGAAACAGGTCAAGGTCGTCCTCGAGGACGGCAACCAAATCGAGGGTTTAGACCTGGTTATATTCGCAACGGGGTACAAGCCCTATCCATCCTTCGTTAGCGTTCTTGACGACAGCAATCTCCAACCCCTGGTCTCCCAAAGCGTCGAACCTCAACGGATTCCGCGCGTACATCGCCACATACTCTACGCGCCGAATCCGACACTCGCCTTCGTTGGCGCCGTCATGGCCTTCACTCCATTCACCATCGCCGACGTAAGCAGCACTTGGCTGTCTCTCGCCTGGAGCGGGCAAATCCTCTACCCTGAAACGACCGACGGACGCCTTGAATTCGAGCGGCAAAGACTCGTTAAGCTTGGTGAAACAGCGAAATTCTTCCTTGAGAATGAAGGGACAGAGAGGGTCCCTGACGACGCGAAGAATGTCTGCGTCAATGGGCAACTGACATGCTTCATTTCGTATAATGTCCTCTCAATCGAGGAGGAACCGTACGCGCAAGGATTGCGGGACGACATCACCACTGTGCAACCAGAACTCGGCATCGTGCTTCCTGAATGGACGAAGGAACGCTTCGAGCAGAGGAATGGCATGTATCAGCTCAAGCTAGAGGCGTTGAGGGCGGCAAGGGATAAATCGATAACCGATGAAGCTTGAGCTTGAACCTTGGCTCCGCCCACTCTCTATAGACATCATAAGAACTCGCCGTTTGTAGTCATCGACCAGGCAACATGTGTGCTCTATCGATTCTATTCACATTACGTCCAGTCTTTCTACTACCTCCACCGTATAGGATCTTAAACATGCCGTTTATCCTACATCCATTAGTGGCCACTTACAGCATCGCCTGCTAGCATACTGGTGCTTGGCTGGGATACCGATTCTTCGTTTATCGAATGTAACTTTTGGCTCCGTGAGGCGTCCTTGCGTTCGTCAACGCTACATCGATGGAGTCGACTCTCGGGTTGCTTCGTGTACTGACCCGTCTAAGATATGTTGATTCTCTAATAACCAATGATAATGAGCGCCATGATCTCCGGGGAGCTTTTCCAATGCTGCCTTGATTTCTGGCAGCAAGCGACCATCATTTCTCCATTTGTGTAACTTCCTCGCCGGGACATTCATGTAGACAATCAATACTTCATAGACCCCCAGCAGTTTCAAGCGGGCTTCGGAGGTAGGGACTTTGGTGAATCCATAGTCTATGCGTGTCTGTGGATCCGCCGGGATCAGCTTATCGCAGGCGGCAAGCGCAAGGTGGTGAGAGGTGTTGATCGGTTGTCGCGGCTGGCATTCGAAGATGTGGCGAACCCAGTTAGATTTCTGGCAGGCCTCACTACAGTACCAGACCTTCTTGCAGCCGCTGCATTGCCTGTAGGATGCGAAAATGTGTGCACCACAGGTATGCCGGTTCTCGGATGTGTCTCCTTCGAGCCAACCACATGCGTAACACTGACGTCGCCTGTCTTTGCTAGAGATGCTTGACACGAAGGGTGCGAGCTCAAACACCGGGGTCGACGTTCCAAGCACGGACAAATTCTCCAGAAGCCACGGATAGTGGGGACCATGCGACTCTTCAGCGAACCTCTCGAACGTCTCGCATATGTTGGATAGTAAGACATCTTCCGACGCCCAGCGATGAATCCCCTTTGTCGGGACGTGGTATCGCTCCACCAGATCCACGTACACGCCTAGCAGCTGTGATTTCGCATACGCTGTTGGTGCCCTAGTGAACCCGTATTCCACCAGAGTTGCATCATCGACTGGCAACGATTTGTCGCGCACGGCAAGAGCAAGATGATGAGCAGTGGTGATCTTCTGATTCGTATCGCAGTCGAAAATGTGGCGGACCCAGTCGTCTTTCTGGCATTCTGGACCGCAGTACCACACCTTCTTACACCCTGAACATCGCTTGAAATCCTTGCACAAGGCGGATCCGGAGGAGGTACCGTTTCGTCCACCTGGCAGCTTACTGCAGCCCGCACACGTCTGGAGGCTCCCTGCCATACAAGTTCTCTGGGTTAGTGGACTGCCTTGATGGTGCAAAACTAACACGGGTTTATGGAGATCAGCACTGACTTCGACTCTATACTCCGACCTAGCGAAGCGCCCAAGCTGCTAAACTCTGAAGACAGCGACCAGTGTTCAAGTTCAGTGACACATTCATGCCAAGATCCTAATGTGTATCAAAAAGCTTCACATCTTGCTGGGACAGCAGAAATATACTAAAGGCGTGCTCGGAAGAAATAAATACAATATACAATAGCAACACCACAGTTTTACAGTACCAGCCTTTCAAACTTATGTAGTGCTAGATAATACAACAGGGCGCAATGTAGAGGCGTGTGTGCCCTTCACAGCTATATCGCCCAGTAGACATCTCCTCTCGAAGCCTGTAATCAAGTATTCAGCATTCGACCAAATATTACAAAAAACTGGAGAGGCATCGAAGACCCACTTGAACGCTGTCCGCTCGTCGGAGCCCCCCTTGCGAGCTGTTACTTAGCCCGACACTCAATCCGTTTATGATCCCATGCCCGCTCGAGTGCTGGTACACCGGGCTGGTGTTGTTGCTCGTCAGGGGACTCCTCCCGCTAACCGGAGTAAACCCGTCCGTCCGCGTCCTGAGGCTGCCGTGCGAGGCCACAGACAGATGGCGGCCGTTATTCAGTGGCGACGAAACCCTTCGGTGGGTGGACCCGTATGTGTCCGCCACATTTATGGTGGAAGGGCCGTCAAGCTATCAAGCAGATTGAGAAAGGGGGAAGGTTGAAGGGCGAGCGACAACTACTCACGCTACCGGCGACGAAACTCAGGATAGTCCCGTTGGGTTCTGGGTAGATGTCTACCCTTCGATTGTGGTATCGATCTCGGAGGGTGGAACCATCGGTACCCTCTCGGGCGCAAGGGCGGCTGTTCAGACTGATCGATGGCGGGCAGAGCAGAGCGAGGAGAAAGGGTCACAATACAGTGATAACGATATACTAAGATAGGGACGTACGAGGCAAGCAAGCAATTGGAGAACACTAAAGCAAGACAATTAGCCTGTGCGCACGTCGATATATACGATACCTACCTTTTGTCAAAGCACTAGATACAGCCATCCATATCACTGTGGAAGAGAAATGATATTACTTAGGCGATTCTGCGACACGCATCGTTTCTAGCGTACGGTATTGTCGGGCCATGAGAAACTACATAAACAGGCGGATCAGTTATTATTGTCATGGGGAGTTTTAGAGGCTTACTGACGCAGACAAGTGTAATCATGAACGAGATACTAAAGGATAAACATAAATTTTGATCATTTCAAACGGTAGATAGATACCTTGTGATAAGCCCCGTCTCTGGAATCAGCGGAATGTTCATTAGCTGATGGGAAAAGTTGCTGCGGCTGTGGCTTACTTATAGTATACCCGATAATGTTGTCAATTACCGCTCGCAGCCTACGCGGGGTCGAGATCAGGTTATAATGGGACAACCTCCAGAAAGCTCACGTATTTCCCCTTGCGTTTCCCGTCAGTCTCCTCCTGCCCTTCCATAGATACCAGCAATTGGCCACTGCGACGATGAGGTCCACCGCTGCGCTTCCACTGAGTAATATCTCCAGCAGCAGTCCATAGGTCTCGACAACGGACGTGAATGAAGGTACAGAGAGGATGGAAGAGGAGAGATAGAGCCAGCCAGCGAGGCGGGCGAGAGTTAGGACATATCCTACAAGCGCGGGTACGACGCGTGAGGAGAAGACTAAGAGCCGTGAGACGTAGAACGTCTACGTAGGAGACGGTCAATAAAGCCGATACTGCAGAGAGATGGCAGGCATACTTCGACCAAGGGCCCGACACAGCTGCTCAGCAAAAAGGCCACACCTACGGATAAAGGTGGGGATACTAAGTTTGCGTGATGAACGACTGTGAGGTAGTAGATTCCATGAAAGTGGGAGCAGAGCTGTCCGAGCTCGAGGAACCTATGAGACTAAATTGATACTGCGATTGAGGAAGGGATCAAGTGCGCCACACACCAAATCGTCGCGACCTTAGCGCAAAAGCCAGATGAGTAACTCATTCTATGAATGGTGCACTAGGCTACTCACCATCAGCTGTGTTAGATAACCGTCCGTCTGCTGGAACTTGCTGTGGTAAACGATAGCCTGGATTGTTAAAGCACCAAAAAGGCATCCTGAGAACATGAGTCCGATTTCCAGGGCGCCAATAGTGAGAGGGATGTTGATGGAAGGGGCCAGGGGAGGAGTGAGTGACATTGTACGGATCTGCGACCGCGGTCAGCGCCTGCGCCGTGAGCTTCAGGCCAGTCAAGGGTTGAAAGAGTGGGAAGGAAACGGAAAATGATACGATGTTGGAAAGAGTAGAAAGAAGGAACATCCTATACTCCCAAACCAGTGGTATATCATGGTGTTGTGATTGGGTAACTGCGTTGACCATGATATCAAAGAACACGAAAGATTGAGAACTGTTGGTTATTTAAGTACACGGCCGTTCACAGGATAGCGGAAGTAGAATCCATAAGTGATCGACCATGATCAAGATGAAAAATTCGTGATTCAAGCGTGGAAGGAGAGGGCGGCAGTTGAATCCACGGTGAAACCGGCGAGAAGGATGATCATCAGAGTGAGCGCGTAGTCATACTCAGTATTTTGCCCAAGTCCATCGGAGTCCGTCGCATTATTTAGTGGTGGAAGTCGCCAGTCGTCAATTGTCAGACGTTACACCGGTGATCGGATCGCTGAGTCATCATAGACGCCGGCCCCAGCACTGATGCATCGGCTTCATGTCTTCCACTGGCTATCTTTCAAGTCCTGCATGGGAGAAAGACGAGACGGGCCCATTCGCCGAGGTCTGGGGTCAATGGTGGAACAAAAAGGAAAAAGAAGAAGAGTTGATAGCGGGGAATGTCATCGACTTGGATTCCCTATTCGCCATCACAGCCATCGAACGTACTTCGGGGCAGCTGTACATTCGAGAACACTACATCCAAGTTTACCAGCGTCTTTGCGAACAGGCTGTGAATCCGAAATGCGGCGGGGTGGTCTTATCCGGACAGCCAGGGACGGGCAAGACATACTGCCTCTTCTTCCTCTTGCTCAAGAAGTTGGTCAAAGGCGAGCCAGTGCTTTTTTCCCTGCACCGCCGCGAGGTCCTGTACTTTTCGGCGGAAGGTGTCCAGTTGAATGAAAATATCGCGTCATCACACCTACGCCCACTCTACCCGAAGGTCCGAAACGCGTCGGTTAAGACCTGGGCTCTTATAAACAGTGATGAGGGTGACAGGAATCCACCACCCTTTGCCCTCTTGGAGTCATTCCTCTTCCCTGTCCAAGCCACATCGCCTCGTACCTCGCGCTATAAAGACTGGGTCAAACAGCGGGACGGAAAGGTCTGGTCCGTGGCACGCTGGACAAGAGAAGACCTCTCGCAAGCGTGAGCCTTTGCTTCACATATGAACTATTTAATGCTAATTGTCCTTCTTCACAGCGTCAAGCTCTCCATCGGATTATCAGAACAGTCTGATATCGAGCGAGAATCCCTAGTCGACAAGGCGATATCCAAGTGGGGTTGGGCTCCTCGGGACGTCAGAAAATACTTGCAAGGGGAGGATGATGAGCTTGAGGCTGCCCTCGGCATGGCCCTTTTCTCTCTAACTTCTTCCCAGCTCTTCGATCGACTACATGATCGCGAAGGCGACAGCGATGACCAACTTTCGCATGTCATTGTTTCTCAATACAAATCTTCCAAAACAGAGAACGCTGTCTTAGACCTCAAATCTCTTTATATTGCGCACCGTGTGCAACGGCAGCTCGATATCTTACATCGAGATGAAGCATTCAAGTTTATCAAACATTGTCGCGCACACGCAGAGAGCACTGCACTGGGCGGATGGGCATTTGAAAATCTCGTCATCGACATTTTATGTAATATCGGTCACAAGGATGATCTTTCCGCGCCTACCCCAGCCACACTCGTATCACCCTCGACTTGGTCAATGACAACTTCCTCGACTTCGTAGGTTCCCATCTCTGAGCCTCGTCCATCCTTAACCAATAATTTTCCCAGACTAGGTCTCGGACATTCGTCGTCAAATGTGATTGCTCTGACGCGCACCCGTTTCGACAAAACCCTCGAAGACGTCACGTTGGACCACACGAAGCTATACCTTCCGTCTCAGAGCAACTTTCCTCTCCTTGACGCCTTCTACCTCGTGGTGGACCACGAATCGAGGCATGCTGAAGTGGTCGTCCTCCAAATGACTATATCCTCAACCCACAAAGGATCGGCGAAGGGGTTCGCGTTTTTGGAACGTTTGAAGGACCGGCTTCAGTTCCTCGGTGACAAGAGACTCGGCCCCGTCGACAAGAGACAGGAGCTACCTGCTTGGCGCATTTCCTTCAACTATCGCCTCATAGTTCCTATCCCTACTGAAGATCAGGGCAGCGTTACCTTTACTTGGAGCCTCCCTATCAAGTTTCCTAGCTCAATTTCAGGGCCCATCTACATTCAACTTGCATCGTCGCAGGTGCGCCATATCTTACCTCTTTTGACGCTTACGAATGCCTTACCTTTTATCTCAAGCTTACCCCGTCATCTGCTGAAGAGGACGAGTCCAGTTTCGAGGAAGACTACAATTGAGCCTTGCGCCTTGTCTTGTGGATTTTCTATTTCCTGCATGATTGTTGATTGCATGCAAGTAATATACTCCTCCTACGGAAATTGCACGTATAATTACAATAACATAACTTCGCCTAACCTACATGGCGGGAAGGGAATGTAATGAACAATAATCTTGACCATTATTGATTGCTTTATTTGCGGGAGGAATCCTACGTAATATGTACATGCATGATTGTTCAGAGTTCGGAGAGTTGAGGATCGTGAGGCACGTCCTAGAGCTCATCTGCGTCGCCGGAGTCGCTGGCACCACCACTATTATTCTCGCTGTAATCGATGACATTGATCCCAATGTTCCTGCCACTTAGGTCTCCGATGCTAGAGCGTTTCAGGACACTAGGGGTGCTCGTCGAGGTTGGCGAAGTAGGTTGATTAATGGGGGATCCTATTATATCTGGCTATTCAGACAGGACTAAATGAAGGTGATTATGACACACCTTCTGAGCCTCCTCCATGTCGTAGGGCTGGGGGACGAGTACCGCAATTATTCCAAGAGTTGTCAGTGACATCGAGCCCAATGTTCCTGCCACTTAAGGCTTGAGTGATGGATGCGCCTTCGAGGACTGTAGGGGTACCCGTTGAGGGGGACGATGTGGTATGTTGGTCGTGGCAGGACCCTGATATATATAGGCTTTCGAACTGATAATTGAAAGGCATGAGGTGATCGTGACACACCTTGGAAGGTTGGGGCGAAATCCATGGGGTGGCTACAGTTATTTGAACTGTTGTCGGTGACGGTGTACCCAACATTTCTGCCACGGAATTTGGAGATCTTTGCCTCCTTAAGGAGGGTAGGGGCTCCATCCGACGAATTGATGTCTACATCTGTGTATACGGTCGTCGTAGAATTCAAACTTGAAAGACACTGGGCATATAATTGAGACCTACCTCTTGCGGGTAGTTCATATCGCTCGGCGGAGACCGAGGGATCACAATAATTATTGGAGCTGTGGTCGGTGACACGATCACAGTCAATATTCCTGCCACTGATGTTGGTGATGGTTTCGCTTTTTGCGAAAGTTTCATTCTGTCCGACAAGTTCATCTTGAGGGGATCCTAGTATAGTTTTCAGATAGAGTTGAAAGACACTTGAAGTGATCGTGACACACCTCCTGAGGGTCCTCTCTCGGTGGGGGGCTCGCAACGATTATTATTCGAACTTTTGTCGATGACAGTGTGCCCGATATTTCTGCCACTTACGCTTTTGATGCGCGAGTCTTGAAAGTAGGTGGCAGCTCTGTTCAGGGATCTAGTGTTTGTATTTTTGGTAGATGCTGGTATATATGGCCGTGAATAGAATTCAAAGATAGTTACGAGAAATGCGACACACCTCCTGAGGCTTCTCTGTTTTCCTGGCGGGGATCGCTCAGGGGACCATGAATATCATTTGAACTGTTGTCAACAACATGATACCCAATGTTCCTGAAAGGGCAGTCGCCGAGATTTGCTCTTGTGAGGATACTCATGATAGATTTTGCTGAATTATTCAATCAAGACTGAAATGAAATGAAGGCTGGGTTAAGATCGCTAGTGGCCCCGCAAGCAGTTTATATAGAGATAATAATATAATAGATTATCTTAGGTGGGATAACACCGGCAAGGTTTTAAGAACGAAAAGGTACCGTATAGCCCACCAGCGGGGCGAGGGGGGCGGGACAACGGCGTTTGCGCGCACCGACTCGGGCTTGAAAGAAAGGTGTGATCGCAACCTCCATATGGAGCCTGGGCTATTTCAGCCTAATGTGAGAAGAAGAACATGCCTTCATTCAAAGTTACTTTCTTCGCGCTTCTGTGGTTCAACATTGATGGATTATATATGGATGGAATGGAAGTTGGCGGCCGCCGAGATACGAGTCAGCGTCCAGGTCAGGTGTGCCAGTGAAGCCCTCCAATGCATGAATGAATGTTTGCACTCAAAGCCAGCCAGCGCTCATTTGAAGGTGGTGAACCAGAATGGAAATTGTTCATATAAAACCGACCCTGACAATATGGACTTACTTCCCACTTACTACCGGCATTCTGTTCAACTGGACCGTTTACAGCGACGATGAAGCACCAACCTATCTATTGAATTTCATTTCATCTCATACCCTCCTTCCACTACTTGACATCCATCCGCTCGTTTGGGATAACGAAATTGTATTCGTTGTCGCCACGAGCTCTCTCGTTCGGCGACTGGTCCACGGCCCGGGAACAAAAGGAACCCGGGAGTGGGACGCAGCCGAACTCCTGAGATAGGAGAAACCCCTGAAAGGGGCCGAACTCAAGCCAAGGGAGGTACGAAAGGGAGAATCGGAGGTTCGAAAGGTGGAGTGTGAGGATCGGCCATGTGGAGTCGAGAAGAAAGGTTAAGGATACGATCCTTGGGAGTATCTATGTAGAGTCGATACACGTCGCTTCGCCAGCGCCCCAGTTGTTGTATTTCGTGATCTAAGAACCCAGCTGCTGCTGCTGCAGATGCAGCGCCTCGTCGGAAACTGTGGCCGGAGTAACCCTGAGGTTGGAGTCCAGCATCGAGCAGCGCGAGCCGGAGACGAGCGATGAATCGAGAGCGGGTGAGCGGGCACAAATCCGAGGTAATGAATAATGGCGAGTTCAGGGGGCGAGGGTCAATGGTAAAGAGGCGGAGAAGGGCTGAAACCGGGCATGTAGAGGGGGAGTTAGGGGCGGCTGCGATGTAGATCGTGACGCCTTTGCAAAAGGGGTCAGTCTTGGAAGCAGGGAGGGTGAGGACGACGTGATCCGGTTCAGACGTGGACGGCACGAAGCGAATAGATGAGCGCGTAACGTGAACATTAGGATCGAACGAGTTAGGTTTGTCAATGGTGAATTCTCCACAACGAAGGAAGCCTGCGTAAGCAAGCTTCGCAGCCGTTATGAAGACAACGTCGTCGAAGGAGGCATAAGGGAGGGAGGTGAGTTTGTAGAGTATGGGGAAGGTGATAGGTAGCTTGGGATTCCTTTCGCGCTCGCCGTGGTAGCGTTTAATGCCTCGAATGAGGCGCTGCACGATAGGGGCCTCGCAGACTGTAAAGGGGGCATCCGCTTCCATGTGGAGGGAACGAACGGCAGTGAGGTAGGATTTAATGGTCTTTGGCTGTAAGCGACGGGTTCCAAGATCGGCGATCCATTCCATGATGCTCCTTTGAGTAGCGGGGATGCAGGATCCGTCGCTGTTGATAAGTGCTGGGTGTCCTCGAACAAAATTGATGAATGAGTTCTGACCAACGCTGTAAGTGGACCTGGTGCTGGACGCGAGACCGTACCAGAGGTAGAAGGCGACGACTCGTGAGTGCTGAGGGTGCGCTTGATACCATGAGTCTGGGGGTTGACTGAGGATGGCTGTTTGTCCAAGTCCGGGGCCAGCAGGAATAACCGAGCATATTGAAAACGAGAGGCAGCGTCAGCAAGCGCATTATCAGACGAGGAGAGCCAAGAAGAAGAAAAAGAGAATTCCAGCATTGCAGCAAGCATGAGAATGAGGCGCAGCAGCCGGATGAGGTGAGTTGAGCGGTTGGTATGGGTGGAGAGTGCCGCGATGACCGCTTGGTTATCTACGTGGAAGTGAACCTGTGAATGGCGCCAGAGATGGCCCCATCGTAGTATGGCCTGGAGTACCGCATAGAGTTCCTTGAATTGGATATCGCGCTTGGAGCCCCTGAAGCGGCGAGGGACTCTGGCGCTGAACCAGTGCTTGTTGTAGATTCCTCCTAACCCCTTGGTGCCGCTAGCGTCAGTGAAGACGTGGTGCTGCGATGCTGGGGGGTCGATGAGGGTCACGCCGGTCCATAATGACGCATAAGTCTGCCACCATTGAAGATCACTGCGAGCGTACTTGGGGATGTGACGGCGGGAGTGTGCTGTGGTGAACGTCGTTGAGAACTTTGTGAGACTGCGCAGGAATGCGCGGGAGTAGGGGATAACCTGGGAGGCGAACTGGAGGAACCCAGTGAGCTCTTGAATCTCGTGGAGATTGCAGTGACGCTTGGCTGACCATGAGCTGAGCAGCTCGTTTAGGTAGACCAGTTTGTCGTTGGGGAGGCGAGCCTCCATGGCTATGGTGTCGAGCTCGATACCGAGAAATTCCAGGCAGGTGGTCGGCCAGACTGTCTTCTCGGGTTGGAACGTGAGACCAAGTGATCCGCCCAAAGCTTGAATCCAAGTGATGGCATCAGTCGCGAGGGGGAGGGGGGTGTCAGGGGAGAAAATAGGGAGGAAATCGTCGAGGTAGTGCTTCAGATCGGCAGGGATGTGTCGTTGGATTATCCAGTGCAGCGCTTCGGCGAATAGGTTAAAAATATACGGAGCCGATTTGAGACCAAAGATAAGGACCATGTACTCGTAGAATTCATTCTCCCATGTGCAGCCTATGAGGTGGTAGTCCGCGACGCGAAGGGGTATGTGACGAAAGGCGTCCTTGAGATCCAGTTTTGCCAGCAACGCCCCACGACCTATGCGGCGTATGGAGCGGATTGCTTGGAAGACGGCCTCGTAGACGATGTGGCCTTCAGAGTCGGGAATGCCATCGTTAACCGAGTCGCCTGGAGGCCAGGACAGATGGTTAATGACACGGAATTTGTTGGGAAAACGTTTCCGTGTGACGGTTCCCAGAGGAGACGCACGGAAGGCAGGGTGGGGAGGAGAAGGTAGTGGGCCGTGGATCCTGCCGTTCGAGCTGAGGACGTTCATGTCCTTGTCGATGACTTGTGGATGTTCGACTGCTGTCCTTAGATTGCGGCATGTTTGAGGCTTATCTTCACCCGTAAATCCGATAGCAGCACCATACTTTATTATGTGTAATAATGCTTGTACAAACTGAGAATCGGGGTAGTCCGCTAAGTGATGAGCCCATTGGGAATAGATTAGAGTGGATTTAACGGGTACATCATCGTGGGCACGGAGCGATACATGATTACAGCGTGGATCGGTATTGGGACGAGCGGGAGGTAAGGGACCAGGGGCGAATAGGGATAGGGGACTAGGGGTGAGGGGGGGGCGCTAGTAGTAGGGATTGATGTAGAAAAAATAGGAACTTGGGGCTCATCCAGCTGGCGAGGACGAGGAGCGGATGCGAGAGGTATGTCCCTCGTCCCGCCGGATTCTCAAGCGGCAGGGGGGGCTTGGGTACAAGCATTCTTGCCGTGGGCTGAAGAGCCGCAAGTTGCACATTTATGAACACGTCCCGACTTGCAGGGTGTCGTGGGGCACCTTCCGTCATTGAACTTGTTGCAGACTTGTGTGGAGACGTCGCGAGTCGAGGAGGAGGAGGTGGATGCTTTGCCTTTTGCCGATGCGGACGAAGCCGACTTTACGTCTTGGTTCATGTTTGATCGGTGAAGCGGCCCGACGAGGGCCCGATCTTCGTCTCCCCACAAAGAGTAGTCGCCCCTGATCATTTCGCGGATGCGGCGAGAATGATGGGCGATATGGTAGGTGAGAATAGCAGGGTACGCGAAATAACGTGAATACTCGTGGAGCAGGTTAGCGTAGCTCTGGGTCGAAACTGCGACGTCTATGACTGCTTGCACGTTGCCTGTAGTTCCCACGTAACGGTAGAGAATTTGGAAATATACGCCGAGGGCACGCATGAATGATGAGAAGTCAGGGAGATCCTTGATCGGGGCCGTGTCCGTGGCACGAAGAGCGCCGTCCTCGAGGGCATAGGTAGTTGTAGTGGGTTTGGATGTAACGTTGGGTATGAGTTTACCCAGCTGCTGCGGCCGAAACTCATGCTTGCCGATTGAAGCCACAACCGCGGCATCGACGTCGGGGAAGAAATCAGGAATGGACAACGCACCGGCAGAGACGTTTGTCGTAGCAGGGGGTACATAGGAGATCAAGGGTGGGGCCACTTGAGCTAATTGCGCAGGGGGGGCGAGTGGTGCCGCTGGAATAGGTGGAACAGGGTGAACAGGGGGAGGTGGCGGATTGGATGCCGCTGCTCGAAGTAGATCCAGTATCTCTTTGACACTCGATTCCAGTCCTACAACGCGTCCTTCCAGGGGGTTGGCGTCCCCTGTATCTTCTGGAGTTGAACGGCCTTCGCCAGCCATGCTTGGGCTTGATGGGGGAGGCGTAACAATGGGAGAGTTGGGAGGAGGCGAGGGAGAAGGGGCTGGAGGTACCAAGGGAGTGGAGGACGACGAGGATGAAAGGAAGCGGCCACTGGCGTCGTGAGGACGAGCAGAGGCGCGAGCTGTTCTTGGAGGCGTCCTGGAAGCTAAGTGAACAACCTCGATAGACTATCGAGCGTGAACGTAAGAAGATGTGTTCACGGTGAGATAAATATAGAAGATGTACCTATCGAGCGTGAACGTAAGAAGATGGGGAGCAAGAGCGGGAATCAGGATATATATACATGTGTGCCAGACAAAGGGCGCAGATACTCAAAGGGAAGAGACAGGGGAACAGGGGCTTCACGTGCTCTCACTGATAGACCGAGGATAAACTCCGTCTATCCTCTCACCACTGGACAACATAGTGCTAGCCAGTCACGTGAAGCAGGGTGGCTACGTTGGACCATGGAAACTGAGGTAGTGCTGTCGAAGCTAAACCTCAGGCCCTCCTCGTTGCAGCCATGCCTTATTAAAATAAGCTGATGCGGTCGCACAAGATGCGAATGAAAATGTATTGTGTTTGGCTGGGACTCCAGCAAACACATAAAGAAAGAATACATGCGCGCGGAACGATGATACAGTAGTCATGTGTACCCCTATACCCCTGTACCGCCAAAATTGCTGAAATCCGACGTGCCTATGCCCTGCCTCCACCACTACCGTCCGCAGAAGAGAGGACTTGCTCCAGCTTCTTAAGATGTTGCGCATCTGGTTTACTATCACTGGGTAATGCAGCCGCCCCAGAGGATCCTAGCTGCAGATTTGGATACTTCTCACATAGCGCCTTGAAAATACCAATCAACTGTTGGGCATCAGAATTCCCCTGTTGCGGTAATTCAGTGCCCACAGTGTCGCATAGTTGATTGCCCCCCTCTTCATGGTCAACGTTATGTTGTTCGTAGGCGGGAGGTGGACTAGGAACAGAAGGTGGAGGTCCACCGGCCTTGGCGTGCACGGAATGCTTCATGAGAATGGCCTGGACTTCTTGCTCAGAAAGTTTGCATACTAGAGCTGCGCTTGTGAATGGCACTGTCCAATTGAGCATTTCAATACTTACCTTGCAGCGCATTGGATACAAGCAACTTTGATGGTACTGATATGTGTGGTCGTTCAGAGAACGAAAAGACACTGAATGTATTGCGACACACCTCCTACGGCTTCTTCAGTGGGTCGCTCGGCAACCTCGCGAATTTGGGTCAGGCTATTGTCGGTGACAGTGTAGCCAATGTTCCTAAGGGTGGTACCTTCGAGTTTTGCCGCGTTGAGAATAGTCACAGCAGCACTGTCGGGGGGTCCGGCTGATATGGATGGGTGTTCAGAGAACTGAGGGACATTGGGTAACATTTGAGGTGATCGTGACGCACCTGGGACTTCTTTGGGAGGCTGGGCTCGGACGAGCTTGCCACCAGGGAGAACTGAATGGCTGTTGTCGGTGACAGCCACCGCAATGTTCCTGACCTCCACGTTGTTGGCCACAATGTCTGAGGCGATGCCAATGGTTTGCGGCGGCATATTTCGGTATAGCACTGGAGTGAAATGAAGGCTTGGGCGAAACTTCAAAGAGTTTATATACAATGTGTTACGTCAGAGTGTAACATTGTGAGTTGAATTGATTTCCCCTACAATATATCGACACACCTCATCAGATCTGCCTATGCATCCTCCTTCCACGATGTGCGATGCTGCGGGAGTTCTCGCTTTGTCACCAAGCTGATCGGAAATCGTGTATCGCTTCGATGCATGTGCTGGACTCTACAGCTTCGTCCTCGTTTCCTCTATGTTATCTCCGCATACTGTACCCGACATTAGCCACGGCGCGCGCTAGAAGTCATCAAAGAGAACACACCAAAAATACACTTTCAACGAGGGCATGGGTGTATCCCACAATATGGCTCTGAGACGGAGCGTAAGGTGATCTTTCGGCGATATATACAGCCCAAAAAAAGATCTTGAAATCAAACCCAGCGAACTATCATTAACTTACTACCCCAAACCCTGACCGGCCCAGACCACGGTTCACACCATCCCATCTCGTTGACCTTTGTTTGGCTTCAAGGTCGAAGCGGAGCGAGGTGGGAGGCCTCAGGCCTCAGGTCTTGTACCTATAAGCCTGTTAGGAATCAGCAATTCAGTAAATCCCCGTCATGAGTAGAATCTTTGAAGGCGCTTCCATCACCAACTTCTCTGGCAGGAACATCGGGCACAGTGTCGTCGACAACAGCCAGAATGACACTCATAGCAACGAAGACACAGTGACTTTCAATAATTGTTCCAACGATTCTATGCAAGTCAGCAAGCAATACAGAGGTGCCTCAGGAGGTGCGTCGCGATTATCTCGGATGTAGTTGTATTCTCCGAATGACAACGTATTGCCAGGATCCACCTACAATGAAAATCATGGATCAGGGACGTTCAATCAGGCGAATGGATCCCAGCATGTGCACGCCGCGGCGCCAGGTAAGTGTCTGAATGCCCTGTCGGATAATGCCACTCACAACAACAGCCGTAGCCCCAGGCAAACCTTCTGAGCAAGAAATCGCCCAGTTCTTCCAGATGCTACTCCAGCTCGCTGGGGCAGGTGCAACGCCAGGACCCTCACCCCCCGCTCAACCACATCTGTCCCACCAGCAACACATCGATGAGGCAGCGCCACCAAGGAACAAGAGGAACAACCCATTCCTTAATAGCGTGGCCACCGCATTGCCGCGGGGTGGTAACTCGCAGGCGAAACAACAGGAGGAGTGGGATCGACTTTTCTCTTCAGAGGATGACCAAGTCTGTCACGATGAGGACGAGATTGGTGGGTCGCAGGCATGGCTGGGGCGCGATCGACCTCTCTGAATATCGGACCCGAAGCTCAGCTTTAGAGGTCTAAATATCATTCAATTGGTTTACAATTAGTATCTTCACCTCATCATCGCAGCCTACATGTCTAACGTCCGCATCTGCTGTTTTTTTACCCTTTGCTGTTTGCTTTTCACGTTCGCTTTCGCTCACTGCTCTGTTCGACTTTCACGACCTATCCGGTTCCATGCTTCTAATGTCTGATGTCTCATCGTTGTGTTGTCTATCTAGTGTCACTAACATGTGTAAACATATTCTCGTTAGCGCAACCTGTCTTCGATTGTGAGTTCCGGGCCCAGCTAACCGCACCATGTAATGTACAGTGCGCCAGAGCGCGTCCACTTTGCATTACTTGATGGCGAGCCCAAATTGACTCGTCGAAGTCACTCGGTCGAGCCGTGCCAGCGTGCCCATACCAGATGCGTCAGTGCGTGCTGATCGGTTGATATCCGAGGGGACAGTGTTAGTGCATAGGCCGTATTTTTGGTGGGGAGATCTATAGTGCACGAGTCCTGGCGCAGACTGATGGCCTACAACGACGTGCGACTTGTGCCCAAGTTCCATTCCCGGAGCTCAAGTTATGGATATACCGATTGGCGGCTTGAGTTGTTCTCGTTTTGACTGGTGGAGTAGCCGTGGATAGTGCGGTCGTGCAGGCATTTTTGGTGGCTTTCAGATTTGGCGTAGCTGTGTTATTATGATATGTCGGCCGTACGTTCGTCCCGAAGTATTGGGGATGTGGATGGAGGGCCTTCATAGTGTTTCGACGGCATGCCGAGATGATAACACAAGACCAGGAACACGAAGGGAACGGGGATCAAGCTGCTGAGTCATTGGTCACAGTGCAATGGATGTAGATTGCAACACGGTAGGGCGAATTCAAGGTTTGGACTTCGTTGTTCCACCTCAAGCAATCCCATAGGTGTGAGGGAAGCTTTACGTGAGTTCGTGAGTTTGTCCTCAGCATTCAACGGACGCCGTGTCAGATATAGTTTCAGACGCCAACATCATGAAAACTTACAAGGTGCCGAGCTTCTCTTTCAGCGCCTCAAGAGATATATTTGACCGTAGGTCTATGTGGGTTGCTCTCATTCGTCGCCAGTGTGTTGTTCGTACACATACCTCGATACCCCTGGCGTCTATCGATGCTTCGAAGCTCGGAATCGGGATGAAGGGCGCCTTTATTTCAATTGTAGTTTCGGCAAGCGTGCTGAGATGACGAGAATGAGAACAAGAAAGCAGAAGAAGCCAGGCGGGGAAGTAGAGCTGTAGGGGCAAGTAAGTGCCAATGTGGGGAATGCGGCGAAGAAGACATACATACCGGCCACAGTACCTTGAGGCCTTGAACTTTGAGGTGAGCGATGAGATCGACCAAACACTTCCATTGCAAAATGTACTGCCTTGGCAATTCTGCAGCGGGTTGGGCGGTGAAACTAACAGCAGGAACTCACGATGTCACGTACTTGCTGGTTAAGGGCATGTACAATAATACACGAGGCAGTGAGACCCATCAGAAGGCCCGGCCAAGGGGTGGGTATGTAGAAAGACAATTTGACCATGAAGGGGGTAGGTGGTTCTTGCAAAGGTGAGCGTGCTGAGCAATCAATGCATGGCTGCCCGCCGCGACTGGAGCAGCATACAGCCTCCCACCATAGGGTCAGTTCACGGCGGTCGTACGGCTCCTTGAGGCGGCTCTGTATATCACCTTTGCGTACACTCGAAGAGCGGATTGCTGCTCTCAACCCCCCGCCGGGACGGCGCATCTTCCGGTCAGGCTTCCTGTGGGAGAGGACGGAGGAGAATGTCGATCCACAGCCTGACAGCCGTGCGCCACAGGCTCCTCTGGCTACGATTACAGACTCGTTCTCCTTCAAGTTGGCGAAATATTTATACGTGGAAGTATTGGGATGCGAAAATTCGTCTGATATATGGCTGGGTAAAGTGCGAAGTTGGCGAGGCAGTGAGGTCGATGACAGAGAGTCAGGCAGCAGAGTCGGGTAGCAGAACACCTATGCTGTCTCGAGGAGCCCAAGCCCAGTCCACGATCGCTCCTTCCACTAAAACTTCCCAAGCTCGTTAGTAGTCAATTTAGGTTACTCGCTAATAAGCACAGGTATAGAGGCCAGAGGCTGGTCTGTACTAAACATACGTGAATGAGGCGGCGACGTGAGCTGTACGAGAGACGGGGGCCCTTGAGTTGAGCATTTGTGTGCCCGTTATCATAATAATTGTCGTTGAGAACCTTGTAGACAAGGATGCGCCCGGCCTCAAGCCGAATGTACGAATCCGTATACACAACTCGTCGTTGAGTGGATACTCCGAACGCCTTCCCTGGACAAAAGACTTGCGCACCGACGCCAATATCAGAAATACCGGCACGGAGCGACTAACCCTTCCCGTTCTCGGCCGTTAGCTGCTATCCAAAATCGGCGAGCCCCAGTTGATAAATGATCTTGTTCTACCTCCGTGCTTCTTGTTTGCGACCTCTATGAGAGAAAGCGTCCATGATGATAGTCTGTCGGCCAGTAAGAAGTCTACCGTACGAGCAGGAGCACGAGGCGCGTTTTCGTCATGAGTTTTGTGTGCATTGATATAGGCTATGAGGACGTACACTTCAGGCCGTCGTGATATTGGTCCTTGAACACCAAATCGCTTACTTCCAGCTACGACCAACGACTCGGAGGCGGCGGCATTTCAGAAGCCAAAAGCCAAACAAATGCAAACACACTGCTCCCCATTGGAGAGATCATCGCTGCCACTGCAATGTCACGCGAGGCGTTCAGGCCGGCGACCGTCCTGTCTATGAAACACCTCGAGCCAGGCGATCTGTTTCTCAACCAAGTCTTTCGCACTTGCGCGCTGCGTGATGGGATCATGTCGTGAACCCGTACGTAGGCGAAACTCGTGCGAGCAGGCACCAACTATAATTCAATAGCCTCAGCGCTTCGCAAATTCTCGCTGCCTTATATTGAGGTCGAAGATGGTTCCCCAACCGTTCTCCCCTTCCTCTAAACTATGTACAGGTGCGTTGTCAGTAATCACTGGGTGTTGTCAAAAACTTACTAGCCCTAGGTCCAAGAGAACTTGGGTGGCAGATGACGGTCGAACCTGCGCGGGCTGCAAGCTGCAACCCGGTTCTAGTGCCACATCCTCGCAAAAGGGTTTCAAGCGGTGTTCGGCTTGCAAGAAGGCGTGGTACTGCAGTCCAGGCTGCCAGAAAGACGACTGGGTTCGCCACATTTTCGACTGTGATACAAATCAGGAGATTACTGCTGCCCATCATCTCGCACTTGCCGTCCGCGACAAATCGTTGCCAACAGATCACGCGACGCTAGTCGAATACGGCTTCACCAGGGCACCAACCGAGCATGCAAAATTACAGCTGCTAGGCGTATACGTGGATCTAATGGAGCGGCATCAAGTGACGACGAAGAAGATTCACCGCTGGGTATCGGAAGGCGATCTAGCATACTACATACAGGCGACGTTCACAAAACTCCCCGACGTGTCACGCGGTTCCCACTATGCGTGGCTATCAAAGAATATGTTCGTGCTTGACACCTTCTTGCCGGTCCTGGAGCTCGAACCCGCGCTTTCGACGTCGACGTTAAACAACGCACGCAATGCTCAACGACGCCGCTGCGATGGATGTCACTCGATCGCGGGAGACACAACTGATGACCAAGAGTGGCATGCACAAGGCATGGGCCGTTTTGCAGCATACAAGCAGTGCGGCGGCTGCAAGAAAGTCTGGTACTGTAGCCCGTCCTGCCAGAAAGACAGCTGGGTCCATCACATCTTCGAATGTAAACCACGACAACCCATCAATACGGCCCATTACCTAGCGCTTGCTGTCAGGAATAATCTGTTACCCGAGGATCCACAGACTTGTGATGATTATGGCTTCACTAAAGCATTCACAACCGAAGCGAGGTCAAAATTGTTGGGAGTCTACATTGGGTTGATCGAACGGATGGATATCCCGCCGAGGAAAGTACATATATGGCGAATCGAAGGCCGTTTATTGCGAGAGATCAAAGCAGCATTCGAGACCATGCTCCCTCCTGGTGCGCGTGGCGGCTATTATCCTTGGCTATTAGACAATCAACATCTCCTGGACGAATCAGTACCCGACCCACGAAGCGACCCAATAGTCGAAATGATCAATCGGGGGTTGAAGTACGCCAACATGCGCCTTCTTCCTCCTAACGAAACCACCGATGGGCTGCAACGTCGACTCTCAGAGCTACCAAAAGCTCAAACTGAGTGCCTCATGTTCGCCGCCAAATTACTTTCCAAAGCCCATCCCTCGCCTCACGATGGTCCCCAATATATGGCGTTTGGCTTCTGTGCCTGTACCTGCGAAGAGGAAGAATCGATCCTTGGTCGTCGGTGGCAGGAGTTATTGAGCAAATCCACCTTCAAGGAACTCTGCCAGGCGTATGACTCTGGCTCTACTCTTTCGCTTTTCAAAACGAAGAAGATACTCGTCCCAACACCGACTATTGAAGAGTTCTTGAAGGGGTCCAATTCGCTCTATTCCGTATGGAAGCTCAAACAGTTTGTCCTCGGCACGGACGATTCGGTGCTTCGGGCTGCTCGTTCCGTCTGGGTCGACTACGGTTTCATAAACTGTGCCTCCGACGCTGAGAGGCTAGACCTCAAATCCATATACAAAAGCGTTTTCCAGTCTACGAAGTACCCGACCATGGATCCCCTCGAGCTGCATCAAGCGTGCATTTCAGGGAAACTTTTCGACTTCGTGGGGCAGTTTTACACGTTCAAGGAGAAAAAGCGCAACAAATATATCCGACTATTCGAAAATCCGTACCCTCTTCCTGATCTATAATGACTGGTCTTCGAAGAGTTCACACATTACAATCTCTGATGTAAAATATTGCCCGAGTTGTACGTAGCTTGTTCACCTGGATGTCCTGCTCGAAAAGGAGACGACGATAAGGTCACCAATGGTGTAACTGACAGACCGTCGACGCATGAGCTTACCATGCTTATCCTTAAAACGAAAATCACTGTCGCGGAAGCTGTTACAGGACTCAAAAGGAGTCAAGAAGAGCCAAATAAACGTCAACTTTGCTCTTCAACATGTTGGGCATCGAACGGAAGTACCAGCCAGAAGCGCTTCCCATCGAACTCATTGCAGAAATCATCGCTATTGCTGTAAACGGTGGCTCAATTCCTCGCGAAGTGTCACGGTTCCTTGCAGCTAGCTCGCTGGTGTCTCGCACCTGGAATGCACTCTGCCGACCGTACATCTTCCACACTATCACCATATCGTTCGAGAGAGCGCATCACAAGCTCTACTTCCTTCACTTCGAGGCTCCACACCTCAGCCAACATATCCACGCACTTGAGCTTTATCTCTGGCCGTCTCACCCATGCACTGCTGAGGAATGGTTCCCCGAATGTTGTGGTCGGCTGAAGAATCTGCGTGTGTTGCACTTCGAGTCTCGGCCAAGCTTTGACTTGTCAATGGCGCCAGCGCCGCTTGCCGCGGGGATTTCAACCATGCTTTCTGCACCTCGCCTTCGCAAGGTGGTGTTACGTGGTTGGAGGTTTCGCGGAGACGCTTCTGATGTCACCAACATGCTGTCTCCCACTCTGGAGGGACTAATCATCCAAGACTCATCGACCAGATCCGGTGAGGGGGAGGGGTCGTCTACCATACGTCTGGATGCTCTTCGAAGCCTAGAGATGCTAAATGTATCCGACCGTCTGCTCCGATTCGACAACCTCATCCAATGTCCGAATCTCCATAGCTTTACCGTTGAATGGTCTCCTTACCAGCACTGGGATTTACCAATATGGCTCTCAGACAGTCTTTCAGAGCTCAGGTTGAAAGGTTCGTCCCGCCATTGTTCTCATCGTTTGGGTACCAAAGCCCTTAATTTGCTTACTTAGCTGTACCCGGTTGCGATATTCCCAACTTTGGGATGGTCGTAAAGCCATCTGTGATGGTCATTGACCTGGTCACTTGGAGCTCGTTCCTCGACATCTTTACTTGGATCAAGGATTGCTTAAATCATCTTCCATTTCCCAACTCCATTCAGACACTTACACTCAATATCGAGCGCACTTACTTCGACCTGCTTCATACAGAGGAGCTTCACCCTGAAGCATCGGATTACATGGTGTTATCACGATCCCTTCGACAACTTGTCGAGCACGGAGAGTTGAAATATATCAACCTCGATATCAAGATGGACGCAAGGAAGTTGTCGAGATCGAAGGACTTGCATATCGACGAGGGGCGAGGGCTAGCAAAGCTGAAGACTGGATTTGCAGGGTTGTTGGAAGCAAATGTGCTCAACATAAACTTAATCTTATTGCAGCGATCAGGAAACAGAGTTCTCGAGACGGCTTTAGCCCGTAGACGTTAATGTTCAAATAGGAGGTTCAAATAGACAATTCGTATTATACGCCATACCATGCCAGTTATGGTACGCTAAATGCAACTGGAATGATTAAGGTCATCCAAATCATCAGCCACTTCGTCTGCGCAGTCCTCGTCATCATCAGATTCTTCCGGCAACGTCTCGTCTACGTCTCCTCATCTTCGCGTCTCCGTGGATCTTGTGTATACAGAAAGGCTACCTGTACTAAACAGATTGCAAACACACGCGCAGCAGCAAGCGTACTGAAGCAGTCAGCGGCGTTGTTCACCAAGATATAGGCTGGGCCAACTCTCCGATTCAATCCTCCAACGACAAGCGATACGACGCTACTTCACAAAAATCTACAGTACAAAGTAACAAATCTCCAGCATGGGCATTTATGAATATATCGAGTCGTACATGGCCGATATCTGCCTAAGAACACACACATCAGACGTGGTTTTAGAGACCAAGTCGCTGACTTACCATCTTCACGTCGTGCTCAGTTCCTCTTTTGCCTCAGAGTTATTGATATCGATGGCGCGTTGTTTGTGCGGTGCATGCCTTCGATGCCTTTTGGCAACACCCTCACTTGGGCCTCAAGGTGCCCGATCACTGCGTCTAAGCTCGAAATCCGGGGAGCAACACGGTTTGGTACCTTTGCTTCGGTCACGTTGAGAGAAGAGGAACATGGAAGAAGCGAGGATGGAGCTCTAGAGCTGTAGAGCCGTATGTGCACAGGTTGTATGTGCACAGGTGAACAGGTGAATGGACAAAGCCGACGTGCGAGGAAGGCAAGGCAAGATGCCGAGTGATACGCATTGAGGCCCGCAGAGCTCGAGGCCTGGAAGGAACAGGTGGTCGAATGGGTCAAACGGCACAACACGTTGTGCGGATGCACTACGCGGCATCCGATCAGCGACTAAGGCATGCGCAGAATTGACAGTGAGGACTCACGACGAAGCATATCATGGAACGGAAACGAGAAAATAGACGCATTGGATAATTAGCGAAAGGTTATGGATACTGGGAAATACATGTCGTATGTAGTGAAGACAGCACAACAACGAACAAGGCGATAGATCGGAGAGTGTGGTGTTGATATCTATAGAAATAGAGTTCGACGGTGACAAAGCCAACTAATAGAAGAGAGAACCGAAGACGAAAGCAGAGATACGGCAAATGCGAGCAGGGAGGAAAACATGCGGAATGCGATGGAGAGGTGATAAGTGTTAGTGAAGTGGATGAATGGTTCTTGCAGCAGTCAACGTTCAACGTCAGTAGCGCCTCCTGCTACCTAATGGGGCGCTGTATGACCGCTCGTCGTAGAGGGGACGCCCCCCCTCAGCCTCAGAAGCCCCATCGAGTTAAGCAAACCAGTCATCGTCATCCCCATAGTTGGTCGTTGTCTTGGCTTCCCAGAACGGCGGTCGTTCGGCCGCGCGGGGCTGCTCTGCATAACCTTGGGCCAACTTGGCGAACGGATTGTTGCTCTTAAACCTCGGAGGAGGCGATGCATATTCCGGCCAGGCCTCCTGAGGAGGCGGGGATGGAGGAAGGGAATAAGTAGGGTTGTAGGGACGCTGATCGATAGCCTGACGAGGGCGTGCCACCCCTCCTCCTCTGGCTGCTAACCTGGCTGCCCCCATGGTTCGTCTAGGAGGGTTGGCAACCATCGCTCTTATAGACCTCTCCGGCCTAGCCTGTGGAACTACGCTCATAATTAGCCTCGCAACCCCGACTCGCCATCGGGCCGAGCACCTACCTGGCGGCGATGCGTATATGTTCTGCTCTCCATTAGCCTGGTAGAACGACCCCCCTCCGTTGTTATTATTGGTCGTTTTCCCTACACAGCGATCAGCACGGCCATGCGGGAGCCACTTGGGTCCCAGCGACACACGCACCTCCTGCTACGACCTTCTTGGAATGGTCGTTGTGAGAGTTCCTGACTGTCGACTGGCTCTTGTTGTTGCAGTTGCTGCGATTATCGTTCTTGGTGTCGTTGTTCGTGACGTAGTCGCCCGCCACGTCGTTCATGGTTCCACCATCAATGGTGAAATCAGATGCCTGGTCGAAGTAGCCCATGGTGAGTCCTTTACGCAGTGGGGAGTGGGTGTAGAGGAAGGTCGCTTTGACCGCTTGTGCCGGTTGGTAAGTGCAAGGTGAGTGTAGAAGTAGAAGCCACAAACGGTGGCATAGCCGCAGAAAGATTTCCTATCGCGGGAACAGATCAGTAACATGACAGAAGGCGAGGCGCTTACGGAAGGTGAGGCGCTGCAGCCTGCAGGCTCTCCGCACGGAAACAAACGTTCGAAGCAAGTCGTCGCCTGCGAAGTGTTGGGAGCCAACACGAGTTGGATGCTGCAAACCTTTGGGGCGTGCAAAGGACATGCGACGCGCAAGCAACGCGTTACCTGGCACACGCGACAATTTAGAGTCCCATTTAGCTTCTCTCTGTGCATCTAGATGAAAGCATGATACCAGTCCGAGCGTTCGGCGTTCAGTGATCATTGCTGACCCCAAAGGTTATGGACACGCAAAGAAAAAACACGGTCAATCCTGGCTCCAATTAAAAAAGCGCTTCAGGCGAGAAGCTTTGTGGGGATCGTCTCTTTATTTCTGTGCTGAAGTCATTGTGAAAGATATTTTCGAGTCTCCTGTGCGGTGTGTTGAGCTGAGTCACGTTGTTTGTTCCCTCGCTGATGTTTGACATGGGGAAGCTTGAGCTTGAACAAGTCATTCAATCGAGGCCAGGACATATACGAGCACATGGAGCGGTTCACAACCAGCAACCCATACGAAGCCGCCTTTGGGTACTCCCGAGCCATTCGACGGGGGCCACACGTCTTCGTCTCCGGCACAACGTCCATCGATCCTACTACCGGCGCGGTCCTATTCCCAGACTCCGCATATCTTCAGACTCAGCAGATATTCAAGGAGATCATACGCGCGTTGGAGGGTCTGGGTACTAGCAAAGACGACGTCGTCCGTCTGCGGATCTTCGTGACCGAGCAGAGGGACGCTGGTGAGGTGGGTCGGGCGATGAAGGAGGCGTTTGGGGACGTTGGGCCGGCCGCGACGATGATAGTGGGCGCACAGTTCGTTCGAGCAGAGATGAAGGTCGAGATTGAGGCCGACGCCATCACTTTGTAGAGTAAATCACTGATTCTGGATTTTTGATGATGCTTTTCGCGTGCAAGTGCAAACAAGCGCCCGTCACGCCCGCCTCCGCCAAGAAGAATGAGTTGCGGGCAGAAACCAGACCATGACCAGGGACTTGACTGTCAACGTGAGACATACCCTTCCCTTTACTCGGCCACATCGTGCGCGACGGCGACCATAAGCCTCATATTTTGCTGGTCCCAGCCAGTCCCAAAATAGGTTGGCAACCGTTACTCCACTAGGTTCCTCAAAGCTGTTAAGGTCGTGTCGGAAATCAGATACACCGTCGCAGATTCGCACCATATCCAGTTACAGGGAAAGCTATCATGCACCTCTCCATTAAAGACGCTATTCTCCCCCAACCGCCTAGTTTCGTGAAGAAAAAGTCGTACGAGGTGCATAATGTGCTCGGGGAGGGGACTTTTGGTCAGGTGGTGGTGAGTTGTTTACTTGGTCCAGTGTCAAGCTAGCGTTTTTCGGCTTTTGGGACTGACGGTGGGCGTTCAGAGGGCAACTTGGCACGTCCCACCAGAGCAAGTAGCTGTTGCAGAACACGGAGCTGCTGCCGGAGAACCCTCTTCATCGTCGGCCAGCGTCAGCACCAAATCGTCGAAATCGGCTGCCTCTTCGTCGAAACGACAATCCACATTCTTGGGAAAGCCAAAGAAGAATAAAAATGGAGACGGCGCGAGCGATAGCGAGAAGACGGACAGTGGGATGGTTAAGGAAGTCGCGTTGAAGATCATCCCCAAGAAGAAGGTCAAGGGAAACGAGGCCTCTGTGTGGGGAGAGATGGACGTTCTCAAGGGCTTGAGCCATCCGAATATTGTAAGCGAACGCCTTCTCAGTTCTTGCCTAGGCACTGTTCACTGACCACGCACGCATCCCCACAGGTAAAGTTCTATGAATGGTTCGAGTCTAGATCGAAGTATTATTTGTCCTTCGAGCTGGCGACGGGCGGAGAGCTATTCGAACGTATCCTCCAGAAGGGCAAATTCACTGAGCAGGACGCCGTCGCCGTCGTCAGGTGAGTCGAGCCCAGTCCGGGTTTAACGTTCTCCATGCTGATCATGGTGCAAGGTCTATACTCTCGGGCGTACAATACCTACACGATCATGATATCGTACATCGCGACCTCAAGTGAGTACCTATGGTTGTTCGTTCTTTCATCTTTTTCATCTCATGTGTCGTTGTAGACCTGAAAACATCCTGTATCGAACCAAGGACCCGGATAGTGACATCGTCATCGCAGACTTTGGGATGTGAGTTTGATATCCCTTGTCTTTGCACACCAAGATACTAAGCGCGAGAAACAAAATCTAGCGCGAAACATCTTCATTCCCCCGAGGAGCAGCTGCACTCCCTCGCTGGAAGCTTTGGGTACGTCGCCCCGGAGGTCCTCAACAAAGAAGGGCATGGCAAGGCCGTAGATATCTGGTCAACAGGGTACGCGTTACTCTATTCGCCTTTCAAAAACATCCCTAACTTCAATCTTTGTCCCCCTCATACAGCATCGTGACCTATGTCCTCCTCTGTGGTTACTCACCATTCCGCTCCGATGACGTGCGTGTCCTCATCAGGGAAACGACCGAGGCAAAAATAGAATTCCACGAGCGCTATTGGAGAAATGTCTCCATTCAAGGTCGGTGAACCGCACCGCCGCTACCGAATATGTATTGACTTCCGACACAAACAACAGCCAAAGATTTCATTAGATCACTGCTGAATCCCAATCCGAAAGAGAGGCCAACGGCGCTTCAGGCCCTCCAGGACCCGGTGAGTCGACATGTATTTAAGGTGTTTGATTTTCTCAAAGTTATGATCGTAGTGGTTAACAACCCATGAACCGTCCACGGAACACGATCTCAGCACTGGTTTACGGGAGCACTTCGATCCCAAGGCCCGATGGCGCTCTGCCATCGCCTCTGCCCGCGCCATCAGTCGCCTCAGTAGCTTGGCTAAAACGAATACAAGTTCCTCATTGAACAGCAACGGGAGTAAGCTCGGGCGCAGTGATACAAGCGGTGCGAGCTCTGGCGGTTGGCTGGATAGCGACGATGAAGACGACGAGGGAGTGCAACCGAAGAAAGTTGATGGGTCAGCATTGTCGAAGATGAAGACGACGGGGACGGCGACTAAACTTGGGCGTCCGGCAGAACCTGGGTCGAACGAAAACATAACTGTGATTCCCCCGGACGGCGAGCCTGCGGCGAAGCAAGTGCAGGTGCCAGACGTTGGATTGCCCGCGGACGCTCATGAATTGAAGCACGAAACTCATGAAGGGGCGCACACACCTCTGCACCGCAAGAAGGCGGAAACTCTCGCGCAAATAGGGATATCTTCGCCCCCGCCTTCTGGGAGCCAGACCGACGCGCCGCAGACTCCAACGACGCCGAGAGCGTTCGCGAAGAAACGTGAGTCGGCTTCAACCACGTCGAATGCGAGAGGTGCTTCCGCGGAACGGCTACCGGCAGCCAACGATCTCGGACAAGAACAGAGGGAGCAGGAAAAGGCTGACGCGAGGGCGTTGAAGATGCCTGGCTCTTTCGACTTGTCGGACGACGAGGACGATACACCCGCGCGCGGCCACGAGCATGGGCACGGACATCACCACAATCACCATCATCACTCTTGGGTGAGTATGCTCCGGAATCTCCATGTCTCGAATAAGTAAACCTGAGCTCCACCCCTTCTTGAGCTGCCTTTCGGTTGGTTCCGATGGACTCACCATCCCTCGTGAATGGTCTCTACTCGTGCCAAATGCTCGGCCCTCACTGGCGCAAACCTGGTTACATATTTGGGAATCAAGGATGTTTGTTACATATACCGTTGGGATAACTCCTTGATAGGAAGATAATATAGATATATTTATACACCTTTCTTTATGATTGTTGCAAGCGAGATCGGTTGATCTCAGTTTGTCCTTTACTTCAACATCTCAAACCTCCCCATTCCTTTGCTCGCGCTCTGGTCTCAATAGTCAGATTTCTCCTTAGACTGTCAGAGCGTTCGAATTCAACCTATGTCCTCAATGCTACGCTGCCATCGCGCGTGACAAATCGAGCGCATACATTGGAGAATTTGGGCGAGCTAACCGAGATCATGGCGCATAGGCATCCTGTTGCAGAAGGTATGCTTGCTGTTGGCTAATAATTGGTTCTTGATGCTGAGATTTGAGTGGATTGCATAGCGGCGAGCGCGTCTTCGAGTTTTCGCAGGCTGGTTGCAAGGCAGCCAGATTCTGTTCTACGAAAGCTCCTCTTCTAAAGCCAGGATGACATGGTGTCCATCTAAGTCGTCAATGTTGCTCGCGTGTTTCATGTGGCCGGGCGGAGAGTCGCTTGCGATGCTTTTGATGACTCTTAATCATGTCTCTCACCAAGAACCATTGGCAACCCTACTCTCTTGCTCACCCTGCCTGGAAGCCGTATATCGATAACAGGGCGATATTCGAGTGGGGATTGGCTTCTCGGGACATAATCGATTGATCAACTACTTGCACGGGGAGGAGCATGGAGTTGAGGGGGCCCCTTCAAAGTGCGCTTTTCTCTGACTTCTTTTCGGCTCTTTCATCACCTCTATGATTGCCACGGCAATGACGAACCTATCGTTTCCACAAATGAATTCTCCACCACGGAGAAGGCTGTCTTGGAACTCCAACCTCCTTATGTTGCATACCGCATGCAACAACGAGCTCGATAGTTTGTACCCCGCTTGTTGTGCACGCAGAGAGAGCACTGCACTGGCCGGATGGGGTCTGAACACTTGGTCATCGACATCCTGTGTAACGCCAGTGATATGGGGGGTCTTGTCCCTGCCAATTCTAGCCATGCCTGCGCCTCAAGTTGGCCATCCACGATTGGTAGGTGTTTATCATCTGAGCGGTGATATCCATTGACTTACTACTGGTCATCCACCACCGAACTCAGTAGGACTTATGACCACCCGCAACGCTCAGGGTATTACCTTGGATAACACCACGGTGTATCTTCCGTCTTCAGTGCCTTCTATCTGGTGTTAGACCCCCAACCGAGACATGTTGAAGTGGTGGCCCTACACATGACCGTCTATTCGAGGCACAAAGGATCTACCCGGAGGTGTGCATTTTTGGAATGGCTGAAGGACCACTTGGAGTCTGTCGATGCCAAGAGACTCAATTCTGTCGATAAAAGACCGGAGCGAAATCTCCCGATCGAGTTGCCTAGCTCAATTTCAGGGCCTGTCTACATTCAACTCGTATCGTCGCAGATGCACCACACCTTACCTCTATTGGACGCTTCCAAGCATCTTACCTTTGTTTCAAGCTTGCCTCATTCATCTGGATGAGTCCTGTTTCAAGGTGATTGACCACAAGTAAGTTCGGTTGGTTTGAACTACAGTTTGTTAATGCGGAGATCATTCAGGATTTGTAAATAACCTGCGTATAGATAAAAGAGACAACTTGGAGATATAGCATTGCAAATTGAGACATCAGAGCTGAATGCACTACCTCCGACGTCGCCGCCTTGAAACCATCTGACAGAACCTCCTCCGGACCGTAGTCAAGCACAAAGCCCGACGCGTAGTAGGTTTTTTCCTCTTCTTCGACATTGGGATAGGGCATGCCGTCGTACAGCCTCCTGGAATCCAGGCAACCCGATGCTTTCGCCCTCGCTACTGTAGTGTTCCCGCGGACGAACAGGCTTTTAAGTTTCACTCGAGTCAGCGTATGGTGAATGCAACAGTCGATCCAAGCCAACCTCGGGTAGTCGGAGAAGTCCTCCCCGATGACCTTCTTTGCGATTTTCCACGTTTCACTGATGCTGGTTTCCCCGTCATAGGCTACGACAGTCTGGTTCAGTGTTCGCGAATCGACAATGATGTGTGCGACCATTCTTGCGGTGGTTGACAGTGTCGAGTAGACGAGCTTCTGTGCGCGGTTGCCAGCGTAGTTCTTCTGCGTCATGAGCGTATTCCTCGCGGAGTGCAGAGGGGGAGCATCCCAGAGAGCCACGCCCCGACTTCGATGCAGGTATGTGGAAACCTTAGCTCTTTGATGTAGTCACGGACTTCGAGTTTCTAGCAACGAACTTGAGTGTTCAACGAACAGGAGGATTGGGTGTACGTACGAGATCGTGCATGTGCATGAACATAACGCCTCTGGCTGTCGGCCCAAAGTCAGAAGGAACGTCACGTCCGACACCAGCTTTCTTGGCCGCCAGAAGCAAGGGCCTCTGGTCCACCATCATGAGGACCTTCGAGATTAAGACATCTACACCCCCCAAATAGGATTGCAGCTTCGCAGAAGGTCGGAAATATCTCCCACTATACTTGACGGCAGGCTTGTCGATGGATGACTTTCGGACCAGGATGGAAAGGCGCTACGAGCAATCGTACTGCCCTCAAGAGGAAGGAAAGGGAGCGAAGATCCTCACGAAGTTTCCTGCTTGAAGAAGCGCTTTGCAATGGCGCCTAGTGTACCCTGATGCGTCGGGAATGGTTTTGGACCCAATTGCCTTGTTCAACGGCATATCCGTACTACTGACCGTCAGTTTCATCCGCCAACAAAGACAGACTTACAAAGAACGTTTCTCGTGACTAGTGTCAGCCGAGTGCAATGCTCGAAACCCATTTCCTGCATAGCTCTCTTTGCAAGACGGGGCTTTGCTTCGACCTTCCATCTGACTCAACGATGGCGTTGGCATAGTCTAGGTGGCGCGGTTTCCAGGAGGCCTCTCAGGTTTCAAGTGTCTATTTTCATCACTAGGTTCGTGGCTAAGGTGCGGTTTGGCTCGATCTCGTTCCATGTCAAAGGACAGGTACAGATAGCACACTGCCTCCAGCCCTTCAAGCTTCGAGCTTTGTCCTGTAGGCGCCCATCGTCACGGATTCAATTTGGTCCAATGGTATCTTCCCGATATGAGGTCTTTCCCTAGCAAGAGGCTATGCTTTCTCCGAGGTCTATAAATCCACAAGCAGTACAAGCAGTACGAGGAACCTTCTCCCTCTCCGCTCACCAGACTCCAGAGCACATCGCTCGCCATGGGCTTCTTCAATAATGCATCCAACTTCACCATCAAGGACGCGACCATGAATGATGTAGGCGGTGACTATATCACCAACAACAACACTACGAACGACAGTCGCAACAATTGCAACAACTGGAACAAGTCGACGGTCAAAGGTTCTTACAACAATCACTCCAAAAGAGTTGTCGCAGGAGGTGCGTGCATCGTCGGGTAGCCTCCGGAGTCTGAATGGTTATGCTCATCTCTGCTTAGGAAACACCACCAATAATAACAATGGAGGGGGGCTGTTCTACCAGGCTAATGGAGCTCAGAACATAAATGCTCCCCCGCCAGGTAGGTAGTTAGCCTAACGATGATTGAGGCAGGGAGACTCACTGATATGGTAGTTTCGCAGGCTAGGCAAGGGAGGGCTAGGCAGACAGCAGCAGCTCGGTCTCCTCGAACAGCCACGGGGCCAGCCAATTTAGCGGCTAGAGGAGGGGCACCCCCTCGTCAGGCTATCGGTCAGCGTCCCCACAACCCCACTTATGCCATTCCTCAGCCCCCTCCTACACGAGAGAACCAACCCAAATATACCCCGGCCCCGACCAATTTGTTCGCTCGAGACTCTCGAAGCTACTCAGACCAGCCTCACGCAGGCACTCGGCCCTCGTTCTTCCCGATACAATCAACACCCAACTTTGGCGATGACGATGACGAACGTACGTGGGCATCTGAGGAAGAATACGAGGACGTCGACGTCGACGATGACGCACAGCCATTCGGGAACCGACCTCTCAACTCCTAGCTGCGACCCAGTCGCATCGCGCAGCCGCAGCAGTTGAATGCTAAATGTTTAAACCGTTAAAAAATCCATCTTGCACCCTCGTATCATTCCGCATGTTTTCCTGTTTTCTGCTTTCTTGCTCTCCCCTTCGGCTTTCCCTAATCTAGTTCTATCTCTCTACACATACTTAACGCATTGTCCCATATTTCCAACCTAGCGCCCCATGGATTACTGCTGCACATGTATCTGAGTAGCCTATATATTTATCGTCACTCCTTGAATTGTGTGTCCGCGCATCTTCGCTCCACGATGTACATCACCTGTGAGTCCTCATTGCCGGGTTTGCCTTCGAAGTTGCTGATGTGCATCGCGTAGTACATTCGGCAGTGCCATTGTTATCACTGGCATGCTTCCTTCACGCTCGCATTACCACCAGTTTGCATCGCCTCCCTCAAGTGTGGAAACCTGTTCACCTGTTCACCTGTGTGCAACTCTACAGCTCTACAGCTCCACAGCTTCCTCCTCCATGTTATCTCGGCATGTGGCATGTCTGTCGACATCAACAAAAAGGCGCCTTTCACCCGGATTCCGAAATTTAAAGTGTCGATCAACCACTGAAGGCCATCAAATAGATTGCCACATGTCAGATACTAACAGACAAGCAGGTGTACTATCCGCAAATAACACACTAGATAAACAAGAACAATTCAAGCAGAGTGCGGATGGGCCGTATCTACCAATGGTTCCAGACAGAAGTCAGGCATGTTGCTCTTTTGGCGTCTCTACTATTACTATGTCTGATCATTGGTGCGCTGGCCAGATATACTGTTGATCTTGATGGGGCATGCGCACGAGATCGTGTAGAACATACATTTCCTCGTTACATTGAACTAAAAGTCCTTTCCAAATATACGGCAAGGAATTGCTCAGGATCGACGAACAGACGTACATCAACACAGTCACGACGCGTCACGGCATCTCGGGATGTCAATAATCAAGGGATGGACGCCATCGTAAAACCGATATCTTGGCAAGGATAACCATACATATTCGTCCTGATCTACTTACGGCGAGCGCGGTGTCCAGATCCGTTCCAAGCGCAGAAAGCAGCCAAGGGCGTACCGTTGTTTCGATACAGCAAGAAATGCGATGTTATGCATACATCCATCTCTCTACTCATGAAACATATCAACGACAACCACGGCCCGGAACACGCAATGGACAATTGTTCCCGCTGATTAGGCTTCATTTTCGGGTACAACGATCTCAACTGATTCGTCTACGCTCCATCTGCAGCATAAAAGATACTGCAAGAAATCCCGCCATTTCTCGTCCCCCACCTTCATCACCCATCTTGCCCTCAGAACCCCAGATACGTCCATATGCCCGATATTATCAGTGTCGCAAACGTTGAAGTCCTGATCGGCTTGAATATGCGCGCGGTAACTCCCCTACTTTTCCCCCATGCTCTACCTAACCAACATATCGAACAGTGCTTCTCAGGTCAGTCCAACCGTTTTAACCTCGACGCAGCCAATCACATGATGCCCACTCCTCCTCTTCAAGTGGCATGTGCCGTATTTCTTGTACGTCGTTGGATTGCTTAGGTGCGCTTGGCTAGGTTATGACCCTATGACCCGAACCAGACATATGACTACCTCCTGGTGCTCTCAAGTGAGATTCAACATGTGTGGCAAGCTAACTGGGGTCTTGGCAAAGCGTTGTACTTGCTGTCTAGATATCCCATCCTAGTCATCTCACCCACGAGAATATATAGTATGGCGTTCACTGCTACTTTCGCGCTTACGGAGCCGACTGTTGCCCTTCAGTGATAACCGGCCACGTTGCACCCGGCACTGAGTGCCGTATACTGTCTTCACTAAATGGCTGTACGTCTTAATATCTCTGACACAACTATCAATGGCTGACAGCGAGATTCTATAGGCGCCTCTGTGTTTGCAACATTTATCGCAGAAAGTAATAGGTCTGACCTGTCCACCATGTTAGACTTGTTGACAATATCTAGTCATCCTGATGATTCGTGTATGGTCCTTGTGGTTCCGAAATATATGGGTGGGAGTTGTTCTTGCTGGCATGGCTATCGGCGGTGGAATACCTCCTCTGGTTGCCCTAATAAAAACACTAGTAGCACATGACCTGAACTGTGCGTGTATCCCTTTTCGTTGCCTTCTACCTTGCTGACGCTCTGAATTAAAGCTGTCCCCGACTATATGATACCGTCGCTCTCGTATTCAGTGTGCCGCACCGGGGACGACCGTACCACATCGGCCATTTCGTGTGTAATGTTGCTAGTGACCGGGACAAGTCAGTCGTCAGCAACGTCGAGTCTGCTGAGTTGTCTCAGACACTGGTCAATTTTATAGCTGTTTTCTCGTTGATGGTTATCACCTGGGTTGAATCTTATTGTAAGTACTTCCAAACACGTTGCTTCTTGCCGACCTCAGCAAAGGTTCGTAGCTCGTGGCATCCCCTTCTCTTCAATGACATATACCTTATATAAAGATGGTAAGCCACGATACACATTGCATCCGCGATGATTTTCATCCTTTGCCCACACAAGGTCTTGTATACTTCGCTGCTCTTCTTGGTAGGTATTTTTCTCATGTCCGATCGGAATGCAAATCAATATGACCTGATTTCTAGCAGTTTCGATCCTCAGTGTAATCGTCAATCTGACGCAGCCTGTAAGAATATTCACGTACTTGTGTCCTTCGCATTTTGACCTCTATCCACAAGTCGGAATATGCCAACCTACTTCTCTCGTATGTGACGAGACTTATCCCTTTCGTCCACATTAACCACCACCCCGAGCGAGGGCTGCAGGACACAGGCTTCTCTTCTTTCCGCCCTTTCCACGCGCATGCTCCTCAATATTCGACAGAGTGCATATCGAGAACTCCAGGGCGTAAACTCCGTATTAGACCCCCAAGCGCGTTACAGAGCCAACAGCATCACAGCGTTGAGGTTCGCGGCGACGAGTGCAAACGAAGTCAACAGTGCTGGCCCTGTTTGACCGGAACGTAGATATACTCGGCTCGCTTTGGACTTGATCGGAGATAGCGTTACGATGTACCCGTGATATGAACTTACGGCCTGCAATGAGTAGCAGAAGTGATCACTCCAATCCTTTAAATCCTTTATATTCATGACTTCTATGACATCGTCACCAGTCACACGAACCTAGCATATCACAGCGGGGGCCTCGAAGCGAGTCGGAAGTACCCGCCAAGTTCTAGACAGTGGCAAGCACGCTAGTCGGATCCATGCGATCGTTTGGGACTTGCGAGGCATTCTAACCAAGCAACTACCGAATACGACCCGCCCACCTGCTGATGGGGCGAACAGGAATTCATTCCCGTCGAGGTTCGGCCATCCATTTGATAGAAAGCCCCTGCCAAACAGACTTAATCATTTATTGACGGTCATTAGACCAGCATAGCCTTCCATTTGACGGTGCTTAATGGTATACGGTTCATGACACTCATGGTAATACAATGACATAACAGAGGGGAGAGGTTGCAACGCAGAAGATCAACGTCCACAGGAAGGAGAGGAAGGAATGCGACTATATGTATTACTGTGCCGTGATTTCTTTCTGCGGCGGCACTCACGCCAGTCAGAGAGAATTTGATTGTCCGAGGAAGGCTGAAATTCAGAAGGAACAACTTCTCACTCGTTCGTCGATTACCTGCCTCGCGCGTGACTGTTGTCATACAGGAACTGCAGACTAACTTAGGCTTGTTTCGCTGAACACACTCCACAGATCTTTCCAAGTGGTTCTCCAGCCTCGAGAGACAAACAGAGGCCCGTTCGTGCACATGGTCGATTGAAGGTCATTTGTAAGTCCGGCTTACGTCGCACGAGGTGAACCTGCACACCCACCTGCAGACAGACGGGGCGGACTGCAGCTAGGTACTGTGTTCGAGCTCTGGAGTGTCGTCGAAGCAACGAAAGACGGCAGAAAAAGCTAAGGGACACATTGACGTCTTATTCGCCGTACACAAATTTCAATAGTAACAACATTTAAACAAACAACTCTATACGCGAAAAACAGAGATGAATCAACGTCGACAGGAGCTGACGCTGTTTACGACGAGACCTCTCATTGGGGCCATTTACCAGCCTCCGTGGAGCTTGAGGAGGGCAAAGACCAGGGTGAAGCCGATGGAGCCCAACAACCCAGCCACCTCGAACAACCTACACGAATGTTTAGTCCACGAATTATACTAGTTTGAGAAATCAGCTTACAATCCAGCGATGAGCTTCAAGAGGCCAACGGCGACAATGTCGACACTTAAGAGTAGCTTGTTGATAGCGATGTCGAGGGCGATGAGGAGGATCGAGAGTGTCGGGATGAAAAGTCCAACCTTGAAGATGACCTTGGTTAGGGTTTTAATAACCGCCTGAAGACCAGGTCTGTCAGTTGTTCATTGTCACGGGGAGCTCCGACTCACAATGAGAATAAGCGCGATGATCTTGGCGAGTTCATCCTTGGAGGGGCCAGGCTTCCCTGAGCCAGGCTTTCCCTTTAGCTCAGTGAGCGACGCGTCCGCGGTGGAGAAAGAGGTGGTAAGCTGGGTGATCAAAGGGACAATGTTTCCGCTGTTAGCGTTGCCGCTATCAACCAAATTTTCTGCAGAAGAAGTTAGCTGAAGCTCATGAACCGAGGCAGGAGCTAGACTAACCGATTTGAGGGAGGATGCTGTCGGTTGAGGACTTGAGAGTATTGAACACCGCAGCAATATCAGCCGTGTCGGCGTCGGCGCGCTTGATCAGCCCAGCATCAGCGACAGGCTTAGCTACGGCTCCGAGAGTGAAGCTGAGGGCAAGAGCGAAGAGAGGGAGAACGCGAGTGAAGATCATTGGCGGTGGGTTGGCTGGTAGTCGTCGAAAGTCTTTGAACTGAGCTGGACTGGGGATTGTCTTCACCCAGCTATCACATTTATACGTTTCGCGTATTCGTCGATTTCCCTTTTCGTTAGATGAAGAACGACGTTTGTCTGCCATCCGTGGTTTGAAAAACGTCATTTGCCCGTAGAATGTATTGCGGGCAGCCTAAAACCCGCATAGAAGATCTTGCACCATCTGTCACTCGTATAGCGGGATGGAGAAGCTGAAGGAGAGTGTCAAAGTGAACCTCCGCTGCACCAAGGCTGGGAATGTTCTTCGATACAGCATAGCCACCAATATAGTAGTTCTAAGGGATGGAATCCTTTGAACAGCCTATAGGAAGTTAAGCTATTTGTGATTCTAGACACGCGGTAAGGTCAATAATAATGGCGAGTCTGTGAAATGTGTGGATGAGACCTTCGTCAACGCGTCACTTGTGACAAGCACACATTCGATCGCACCGCAAGCGATTATTCATTCCTAGTTGGATTGAGTCCGGGGAATCTTGCTCCACTCTCATTTGACACGCGTGTATTATTTCCCGGCCCAAGCCACTGACCTCGGAGGTCCCTTCGCCTGATGTTGAAGAGGTCATTGAGGGCTATGGGTCAATGCTGTGGCGTGTGGGTGGTGCGAACATTAATTTTCGTAGCACCGTTCGAGGCCCAAGCGGACGTCTAAAATTATTGCAATGGAAGGACAAAAGTTAGTGCTTGATCTTAAAAGCCGTGATGATCACGATCGACTCACTACGCTCACTATTCTTTAACTGACCCCTATTCGTAGGACATGACATGGGAAATCACTTCGCCACAAATCAGAAGTATTGTGCTATAGTCGTACCGTAAACTCTTCGCAGGGTCGAGGCGAGATGTCTTCATTTACGACACTAGGACAAGGAGACAAAGGATCGTGGAGCCGTGATCTTCGACGATGCCATCTTAGTTGAAGATAGGAAATTTTAGTGAGTCCCATAGCACATCCGTTGATTCAATGAGGGACGCACTTGAAGGGGACGAATAGGATGCTCCATGATCGCTTGGTAGGGACAATAGCTTCATTCCAATTGATTTGAGGTCTGTTTCACAACGGTGCGTCCGAAATCTTGGACAAACAGCAGTCAGAGGGTTGAAGGTTGTTTCGTAAGGACCAAATGTGAGAAACAAGTCAAGCGAGAGGGCTTCTATTTGTCTTCACAAGCGGCCCATTGGTTTAGACGGCAATGCACTTCGGCCGTCAACTTCTCGATGCCTGCCCAGAGGTATGCCATTGTACCCGTAACTCGTTAGATTGCTGTTGCGGACTAGACTATAATCCGCAACAGCAATCATAGTGCTGAACGAAACTCCAGAAAGCTGCACCTCCTGGAAAATGCATGTTAAAGTTAGCCCATTTTAAAGTTAGCCCATTGCAAAGTGTAACCGCCCAATCCCCCTCACACTTGTGCATCATCCCCTTCATCCGAGAAGGTTGATGTTCGGTGGAGCATCACTTACGAGTGACTTTCCGTGGGACTTGGGAGAGTCGCAGTGTGGGTACGGCTATGGTTGATTAATTAAACCGTTAAACGTGGCGACATAGCAAGACCGATTGGTGGCTTACAACAAAGAATCCGCGGGAGCGAAAGTGCTGTTCACCCCGATGTCAGCTGAATCGGACTCCGCACGCGGGCGCATGAACACTTCCGTGCTAAATTAAATTCGTGTCTCGACATACAAGATGGCGTGCTTCTTACCTCCTTGGAATGTCGCTTGGTGGACTCGTAAGGGCCAGCCACCCTCAAGAAAGCAACACCTATACGTAGAGTCCGGAAGCAATAGCCCTCGCAATTCGCGTTCTACTTTATCTTCGGGGCCTTTGAGGCGTAGGCGATAGCACATATTTGCTCGCAGTTCATGGTGGTTCGTAATGCGTAAAGTCCAAGATTGCGCTATGGCATAACGTCGATTCAACAATCTGCCATCCAAATTCGGTATGTTTCTCACACACCAGTGGGGCGCCAAGCACTTCAACACAGTTGTCCAGTACTTGGTCGTCATTTATGAATAGGAAATACTATGAAGGTGATACACGTATCCACGTCATGTTCACTTTACCGGAATCATTCATTTTGCCTCTGACCACGGGGACCATGAACCCCGCTGGGAGCCTTGGTATCATCACGCAGACGCTCCCAATCAATGGGACTTCTCCATCACTTCCATCAAGAGTGCTTATCACTCTATGAGGCCGTTATGCACGCAAAATCATGATGCGTATAATCGCATTTGAAAGCAACGCACAGATGAGACAAGGGCGGTCACGCAAACCCCCAACTGATACATCCTTGGACATCGTCAGTTAGAACAGTGAAAGGGGAGAAAATGAGCGCGCTAGATGTATCAAATATTCTTTTGGTCCATATACGGGACGACATCGTATTTCAACCCTTTAGCGAGGTAGGAGATAGGGAGGGGGAGAGGAGGACATACAAGTTCGCGTATACCCCGAGGGTGGTTTACTTTTCTTTCCGAAATCCCAGACATTCGCAAATTCCATATATCTGCATCATCGCCCCCGATGGATGCCGGTGAGCTCGCTATGTTCCTCCCCTGTACAAAGCAATGATCTGACATTTCTTGTCGAGTTTGCCTGTTGTATCCGCTGATGGACGTCGAGAAGTCCTGGCCCTTCGTTACGAAGATTTCTTTGATAGGTTACTGCCCATCACTCGTGATTATGGGCAAAGACAAGGGGACTTTCTCTTGCCGTGCAGAATGTCGCGGGGAGGATGGAGTGAAGACGCAAGGCTTCCTATAAAACCCAGATTCACTACATATACATTACTTTGGGGGTACTTAGAGGCGAACTTCAACACACCTTGGCTGTGGCACTTATGAACGGCGAACGGTCAGGGCTCTAGATCAGCGACGGTGAAGGCCCTGTCGACGGGGAGTTGGGATTGACGGGATCGAATCTCGTCCCTTATCATCTTCTGGTCGTTTGGGTGTCTAACGAGTTCGTGTAACATCTAGCTGAACGAGGAAGCGACCATGTCTTGCCCAGCCAAGATCGTTCTGATCGCGTATCATATATGTCAACTGAGGCTAAACGTACGCATCGATGGGAACGAGCCGAGCCAATTTGTCATAATACTTCGTCTTCGTCCAGTTGATGCCTAGGGTCTTCAAAGGCGTTGGCTCGAGCCGAACACGGGGAAAACATCAGCACACAGAGAGATACATTGCGGACGACTCACGTAGAACGCTCATGAAGCCCCGTCGGGGGTTGTCCTCTGGGACAAGGGCCATACTCGAAACCTTCCCCGTAGTCAGCTCCTTGGCGACGTTCTGTTAGAGTATCGGAATCGGCAATATTTCCTTGTCGGCATGTATTCAACGGAATGGATGATGGACGGAGGTTCGTAGCGACATAATGCCTTGAAAAGGATATCCATTTGGAGGGGGCAGTTATGGACTGGGGAAACGCCATCAAGAGGGTCACTAGGACATTGGAAGTGTAGTCAAATGATGAAACCTACAATAGGTCTTCCAAACGATTAGTTAGTCGCCTGAAGCACTAAAGTGATAATCAACGTAAGCTAGCGTGTTCACATCGTTTGAGAGGGAAGAGTGTTTGGCGCACCACCTCCAATAGCGTCTAAGGCAGCCCGAGAATATATATCTAGTTTGTGGTCCCCGTTCTGAATCCGATCTTCCCACTTCCACCTGGGAAGAATTAGCAGGATTCGATCAACCACTGAAGAAAGAAGAACTTACACGCGAAGCTACGTTTAGAAATATTGAGTGTACATCGCCCAACGGCGGCCATACAGGAGTTAGGGCGTCGGCAGAAGGTTATTCTGCGGGCTCTTGTCGTCCCCGGTCTCGCGGGGTCTACTAATATATATTTCAGGCGGGGGAGGCGCTGACGGCCGGCGGCACTGTTAACCACGTCACGGGGGGACTAACGCGCTGCGACGAGTAGATAAACCACCAACTTTCTCCTTGGTTGTAATCTATCTGTGCAAGTATTTGCATTACGTCGTGTATTTTCCAGAAAGGACACGGAGAAGCTATCAAAGTGACAGATTCGGGAGTCCCGGCGCGTCGCTGTAGTAGATGGCACTCATTAGATGAGAAGCGCAGCCCTAGCAAGATAAATAGGTTTAAGTTTAGATGGTACGGAAACGTATAGTTTAGCTATACTCTGACCGTATTCGTAGCTTTTTAATGGAAAACGGTTATTTTGCGCACTATACCAGCGAATAGGGACTGATGGTAGGCCTAGGTGATGGTCGGACGAAGTTCAACGCATGCTAAGTCGGAGTTGATGTTCCTTCTCACGCTTCCAAACAGGGCTGCAATGAGGATGCCGAATCCGGCGTGCCGTGTTGGTGCCGTGCGACTTCATTCAAGCTTCGACACATTTGGAATGCAAATGACTGTGGATATACAAGAAGTCACGCCTAAATTGCTACGCTTTTGAATCAAGATCACGTATCCTGAACAAGGATCGCAGCGCCATTTGCAGTCGAACGCGAAAACTACCCGCAATATTTTCTTTCCGCCACTGGAGGACATGTGGAAAGACATGGAAACCGGGGTTCGTTCAGTTATGTCGATTGCTATGGTGTAGCACTTTCGTTGAAGGACCCTAGGCTACGGGCGTGTACGAGTCTCAGCCAATGTCTATTTCCATCGCTTCGGAAGAAGTCCGTAGACGGTCGCATTCAGCATCATGATCCTTGTGGTATGACCTAACCCTCTGTAGGTACGATCGACGGAAACTGAAACCGTCTCCGGTTTATCGTTGATCAGATCCTCGAGCAGAGTCAGCTATTTCTGCTACGATTTGTCTCCTGATTAACCAGCGCTGAAAGGTCGTTTCAGGACGAATACCCATTTCTTCCTGACTCCCTAGAACGAATGCTCCCCGACTATATTGATTGCAGGGACATTGTCGGTTCAACATAGTGCCTCTCATTGTTTCTCGTGTTTCTCCTACCCATCGAAGTCCGTCGCCTGGACTTTCTAGTAGTATCTATTTATAGGTCAACGGTGAGCATGATACCATGCGCGATATTTCGGAGGATAGCATCTAAAGACGCGGCTTGCAAACAGAAACTTATACTCAGCCCGCAGAGAGGATACGTTGACCTGCAATCCACTCGTTTGTCACTTAACACGCAATGCATCCGCTGTTCTACCTGAGTTCGGTGGGGGGATGTCGAGTTAGTGGACCCTAGCACTGTCTGCGGAATGTCGTGCCAATGGCTGGTCGTGCGTGCGTTCTGGGTCGGGCTGAGCAGACAAGTGATTCTCGAAACCTCGGATCTATAACATCTCGCAGTCCCCTGATACCGACACGGCGAAATAGTCCCTTCGCAATCACAGCCCCGAGCGACGCGCTACTGTATAAAGGGCTCATCGACCGAGCTGCATTCCCCCAACAAACTCGACTACTACAGAATCGGTGAGCTGATACAGGCTAATACTCATTCACCCTCCTCCTTACTTACCATCGCATTGGCACTTACTAGAATCAAGATGATGTACCAGCTCTTCCTCGTCGCTATCCTCGCCGTCGCTGGCGCGAACGCTTCCGCCCTCCCTTCATCATCTCCCACAGTATGCCTCAAAGCATGCTTCCCCAGCAACCACGTCTGCGCCGAAGGGCAGTTTCTGCAGGCACCTTCCAACGGGGGTCAATGCTTCGCGTGTTGCCATACCCCGCCACCACCACCATCGGAGGTCTGCTTGAGGGCATGCTTCCAGAAGGACGATGTTTGCCAGCAGGGCCAGTACTTGAAGGCCCCTGCCAACGAAGGCGGGTGCTTCGCGTGTTGTTCGTCGTAAGCGCCTAGGCGTCGGTGTAGCACTGCCTAAGAGTTTGGTCGAAAAGTATATCCGGGGCGTGATAATTATACTGGGTTTTGTGATTGAATGGCAGGCAGTGGTGATGAAATTGGGACGGTATAGAACGGGAAACACATAGTGCGATATGCAACAAGAAACTCGTCCACCCTAGCTCATTACTGGGGCCATGTTCGGTTTAATGGAGCGTCGGCAGAATGTCTTTGATCTAGATACAAAGCCGAATCCTTGCAACTGGTCACCTAAGCCGCGTTTAGCGCTTTTCTTCTTCTTCCTGACGTTCGTGGTGTATCATCGTTATCATGGGCTAGCTAGTCTCGCATTTTATGGCTTGGGGCACCCGATCGTAGCCTGCTCTTTACGTTTCGTTGTGATGTTTTGGCATGCGATTGGGCGGGACGCCACGGGAGGGAGGGAGAAGACTCAGGCGCTTTCCTTGCCGGCGGTTGATCGATTGATCGATTGCTGCTGCCAAGGGTACGAGAGGATTGAAGTTAGATAGGCATTTACTTCCTGGTTGATGCGCATCTAAGAGTGACGAGAAAGAGAATGTGTAAGTTTGAAATGAGATATATATTATAGCAGATAGCTACTGTCACAATGTACTACGATGCGTACATAAAATTACAAGGCATCAATGCGCTGATTTGTTCGTGCGGTTCATTGAGGTGGGAGGAGATGCAAGAGGATGTTCGTGCATGCATATGATGATGGAAGTGAAACCCCGAAAAACAAAAACGGAAATATCCATTTTCTCAATCCTTGGACACGTTCTCAAGTGATGAGTCCGAAGTATCTTTCTCGTGCTCGTCGTACCTGACCTCGGGAGCGCCGGCTTTTTCGGCCTGGATATGCTGAGTAGCTTCTTCTCCGTCGAAGAGGGCTGCGGTTTCTTCGAGAGACCTGTTCTTGGTCTCGATGATGAAGAGGTACAGGAAGACGAGTTCAAAGGCGAGCCAGCAACAGTAGACAATCTACACATAAGAGTGAGACGCGAGAAACCGAAGTCAACGAAGCGACGCACGTAGTATTTCCATTGGATAGCATCAAGGGCGACGGGGTTGACGTATTGATTGAAGATGAGGGAGAGCGAAATTGCAAAGTTGAATACTGTGAAACCTTTGGCTCGCAGTGCGAATGGCAGGATTTCGACGGTATATGAGACGATGAGAGGCGAAAAGGCGATGCTGGGAGCGAGTGAATAATAAGTTGAGATGAAGCTACGAATAGTATGGAGGGTGCTCACTCGTAGGAAGCGTAGAACAGGAAGATGAAGGCAATGACAGCATGTGCGGCGGCGTCGCTTCCGTGAATAGCAAATTGTGCCGAGCAGACGGTTTGCATCACGAAGAAAATTAACATTCCAACTGCTGAAGTCAGGAAGAGGATGCGTCTGCCAATGCGATCAACAAGGAAGGATGCGAGGAGAGCCCAAATGAGGTTCCAAATTTGGAGGATACCGTTGATGAGAAGCTGCGAAAGAGTGAGTACCCTGAGACACTGGCTTTCATGGGGGAAAACAGAATGCTGACTAACCTGGATCGTGGGGTCGGTGATACCAATGGCATCAAACACCCTGTTGAGGTAGTACGATACGAGGCCATTTCCGGACCATTGGGAGAAGAAGGCCAATGCAAGGATGATGCGCATGCGCTTTCGGTTTCCAGGAGTTGAAACAAGGGCTTTCCAGCCGACATTTGCGGCAACTGTACGATCAAACTCGATGGCGTTCTTGATTTCATGGTATTCGTACTGAACAAGTGGGTCGTTTCTGACAAGAGGATCATGTCAGTTATCTGGTTGACGAGGCAGAACAGCAGGGGAGATATAGGAGACATACACGTTACCATCGGCGTGATAATAAGCAAGCGTCTTCAAAGCTCTGTCGTCTTTGCCTTTGCTGAGTAGCCAACGGGGCGACTCTGGAGCGAATAGCACAAGGAAGACCTGAGCGACGGAGGGAAGAGCCTGGAGGGCTGAAGGAATCCTCCATGACCATGTCGATGGGATCTTGAATGTACCATATGTGGTCCAAGCAGCGCTAAATTGATTGATCAGAATGATTTCTGTGGCAAAGGAAAGAGTGGACGTACACGATAGCACCAGAATACCAGAGAGAGTTGTAGGCGGATGTAAGAGGTGCACGATAAGAAGGATAGGAAATCTCGGTCACTAACATTGGCGCAGCTCCAGCTATGGATGCGATTAGCACCATGTACTCATGTTTTTACATGTTGGGCCTACCAGCAAATGTGAGACCAAAGCCAATGAGGAAACGCGCGCCAATAAACATTCCAACAGACTGGGAGGCCGTCTGGATGACCGTAGCGATGCACATGATCAAGGCGCCAAGCATGACAGTGTATTTACGGCCAATGCCGTCGGAGAGGTAGGGGGAGAAGGGATAAGCGGCGAGTGACCCAATGTTCTGAAAACGGTTCGTGTGAAAACAGGAAACACTACGACCTATGAACATGAAGGCTCACTTGAATAGCGTTTAAAAGACCAAGCTTGCCGCCAGAAGGCGAGTGGAAGTAGTCTCTCCATTGGGGTAGAGACTGAAGGCCGTTCATCATACTACCATCGTAACCATTGGTTGATGAGGTGATGAGGCTTGGGGCCAAGAACGTCAATGAAGCCAAGTCTACACAATAACAGGGTAACTACTCACAGGAGGACAATCCAACCATTCAGAGCGATGAGCCTGAATACCAAGAGTCCAAGAGGTCAGGGAGTGCCACGTCTAAAAGGCAAAACACATACCTCCTATTGTTGTACCATTTCCTTCGCGGGTCGATAAGATGAGTATACCCGCTATCGTTGCCAGAGTTGACGGCTGGTCCTCCGGCCATAGTTGTTCACTTCGGTTTGAAGGCGAGGGGAAAATCGGTGGATTGAGAGAAGTGAGAAAGAAGCATACGGGTCGTTTTATGGATGGAAGAGTTCACAGGCAATCATAGACCACACGCGAATGAGAGAACCCCCTATGTTTCTCCGTGGTTTCCCCTACGGTTGGAGAGGGGCGGAGGTTGATTTCACAGAAGTGCCTGGCCAATGAATAGGGTGCACAATCGTGCTTGCACTGTCCGGCTTTCGCGGCACATGGGGTACCCGCGTGGATTTGTGGAGGAGTGGGCGCAGGTGGGTGCACGATGGAGAAAACCTCTGCAGAGGTCAGTGTGTGGAGGAGAACTTCGTCATTCGTGCTTTTGACCGTCGATGAGACCACCAGAGTCGTATAGATAATCCTTGGGGTCCGGGGTACAAGTCGGCCAAAGTGAGAGCGCACGTACGTACGGGAGGAGCTAGTACGGTTCGGGACATTTGCGCCCTAGGCGTCGCGAGGGAAAAAAAACAAACGTTAGTCTCCGAAGTTTTGCCTTATTTCACCGAGCAACATATCGTTCATGGCCGGGCGGTCTGTTATACGCCAACGGGGTCATAACGATCGCGCGATTCCTCTTTCTTGGTGGTAGCAAAGAGACCAGATCTGCCCAGGCTCAGCCAACTTCACCCAGCCTGAAAAGGGTCCAAGTTCGGGCGGTAAACGTCGTGGATTCTTGGCAATCATGCTGACGCCAAGTCGAAGAACGCCTTGAGACGATTCATTATGAATGACAACCCACCGCTATTCATATTGACGGCTGGTTGTGAACCTATCGTAAATGAGCCTCTGGCGTCTCCTTCAAGTTGTTGGTACATTCTGATAGCCATCTATATCGGACGTTTTTGCAAAGCCGACATAAAGGCCCGAGGTCTGGCAAGAAGAAGATTCAGAACATCAGTCGCACACTTAATTTACGAACGCAACTTGGAAAGGGTGCGTACGTGACAAAAACTCCGCGACGAGGCGGCGATATCCTTGCCGGGGCCGCACCTGGCCACCCTCGACCTCCCTGCCACCATATATAATTACTCCAAGTGCACCCGAGGGCCGACAGACCTCAAAGCGGCGCTCCGAGTAAAATGATGCCCAGCCTTCTACAAAATCCGACCATTGAGTGGGCTATTTGGTGGATTATATTCATGATTACCTGGGACGAGACCAGGCTCGGGGGATACTCGAGGAGCAATGGCTCACTACTAGCGCGCAGGCCGCGATGACAGTCACAGAGTGGAATCCTGCTTCCGCGCCTCGCCCAGGCCACGAGGCTGTAGAAGCTCTTCAGTCTCGAGCTTAAGCTTGATAGCACCTCTCTACTCGCGCTCGCGCTCCCATAGTGCCCTTCTGTCAGGGCATAACAATCTAATACCCACTCCCAGAAAACAATGCCCTTCTTTAATTCCGCCACCAATTTCGAAATCCAGAATAGCACTTTCAACGACATCGCAGGCAATTACACCGCCAATAGCACTACTACCAACCGCACCCTCACCAACTCCAATAACAAACGAGCTAAAACAGTAGAGAATTCGTATAATGATAGTTCAATGGGCTGGAGCACGCGGGGTGATGGCGCTGAGGAGATGATGGTAAGATCTGGTCGTCGTGCACCTGGTAAGTCACTGATCGCTTTGGTTGAAACGATGGGCGCTCAATCGATCTATAATTCGCTTGTACTCAGCCCAACGGACGGGTCGGGCAAGTGTAGATCATGCAGCCTTGGTTCCTCCAGCCCGTGGCAATACTGGATCTAGTACTAGTCGGTCGCCAGACCGTCCTCTAAATCTACTCCAGCAGCACCTCGATCACATGGGTGCCAGTGAGGGCTCTGAGTCGATGTCGATCCCCGCAGGCGGAATCCATTCTGGCAGGGCTCGTCGGAAGGATGGTGTTACTGTTGCTAAAGCCGATCTACACTTTGATTCTTCCGATGATGACTCTACGTCCGAGTCGACCACATTATCCGATCATCAGGATACAGACCTCGAATCCGAGATTCCACCCCCCAACGCCATGACAGTACCGTTCTCATCCACTACGCAGCAACCACAAGAACCCCAGACTCTAGAACCAGAAGCCCCGGAGGAGCAAGCTCCATCACGGCCACCATCCCCTCCAACTATTCCAGTCCAGGCAGCTGCAGTTTCGCCTCCTCTCACTTCACTCCCGGTCCAACCGTCCAAGTCTGCCCACCATCACCAAGATGGTGATGACGAGACCGGTAATGATGATGTCGGACTCGAGGCTGTCGCGGCGAAAGAGAAGATAGACGATGACCATGAGGCAGAATCCGCCTATGCATTACAGGTCGCACCAGCACCAGAGCTTTCGAAGCTTGCCCCCACAAACACGAACACCAAGCCTGAGAAGAAGTCCAAGATCAGATCTTTTTTTCACATGAAAAGGCCTAGTTTTCGACGCGATAGTCAGTGAAAACACTGCGGTCGGATTTGAACGCCTTTCATGGTTTATCTTTACGGCCGTCGCCGTAGCAGCGACTGGATATAGTGTTTGTTTGTGGATCGCCAGTTGACATTCGTCGCGGATTGTATGGACGTTGTATTTTGTACCTCCTCTTGCACCCTGCCATAGTACATCAGCGCTCAGCTTTGCTGCAAAGTCTTATCGCCACACAATACGCGTACCATGAACGGAAGTTTACGACCCACGCCCAAGTAAGCGTGTAACGCAACACACTCTGTGGAACCTACCCTGCAATGCATGATTGGTTCGAATGGCATTGTGTAAAATCGCTCTAAAGTGAAGCCCACCTTGGACACGTCCGCTCCCAAAGTGGTTCGAATCCAGTCTGCCGTCAGCCGAGCCTACTTCTGCGGTGCCCTTGACATTCAAGACCACGTCTCTCAGCTCTCCACATTCATGAAGTTGCTAGAGAAATTGCGACACAAACATGCAAGCGTCCGAAAGGAGCGGGGAAATCGAAGACGGTAGATGCAATCCTCAACCCAAGTGAAGAAATCGAAGTACGGGGCGTAAACCTCTTAATTGAATTGTCACTGCGGGCCCTTGTGTGGTGTTTGCGTTGATTTGGCCTTGTGGGTCACTCTCTTGTTTCTAGTACAACTGTCAATTGTGTCGATGGGAACATACTTTCAGAGGGCCTTGTTGTTGCTGTGGGTCCATTATCTGATCGTAGTATAGTGACTTTGTTCCAGCTGTTGCTCACAACGATCTCAAGTTCTGCACATAACAGGGGGACTCGTCGGGCTTTCTTGCGTTCTCGCGTTTGACCCTCTAAGCACCCAAATCCTGCGATCTCTCCCTACTCACCAAATATCGAGGCAAAGGGATTGAAAGGACGATGCACGACTTTGTCAACCGTTTGATTGAAGACAGCGCGAAGAATTGGGGAGACGACAGTACGGTCACCATGACCAACTGTGGCATGAAAAATGTCAACAACACGAACTGTTTCTTCTCGGAGTCGAACGATACCGTAGAACATAATAGAGGGGATACCTACCATAGTCCTCGCGGCCCAATAACAACCCACACCGCTCCTAGTACGTTGTGGTGCGATCTATATGTGCCGAAGATTGACTAAAGCCACAATCATTTGTAGATGGGAACCAAAACTTTAATAATGGTAGCGGCACGTTCAATACTGCCCGTAGCCAAACGTTCGCTGCCCCAAACGGCCAACCTGAGAGAGGTATGCGGCGATACTATCCTTTACACCTCCCTCACATTGAGTACGACTGTCTCAGAGGGTTCCCCAATTCCGTACTGGGACCCGAGAGGTCAAGTTCAAACCCAACCTTCGCCCTGGTCGCGACATGAGGCCACCGCACAGCAAGGCCCTTTCGAACGCAGAGGGAAGATACGCCTGGAAAACTGCGGTTGGAAGAATGTGGGCAATACGAACTCCACCTTCGTAGAGTCGAAGGATAGAACGGCGTACACCAGCGGTGACTACTACAACAACCCACAGGGCCCGATCAACACATACAGGACTCCCGGTAAGTGGCCATGCGCTTGGCACTCACTCTGTTTCCGTTGCACGGATTGAAATAAGTCTATCGCGCCTAGGCGGAACGCAGAACATCAATAACGGTAACGGTATATTCAATAATATTGCTGGCTCGCAGACCTTTTGTCCTACCGGTGACCAGCAAGGTGCGTAAAACGGTATGCCCCATCCGTAATTTCGTCGCATTGATAGACATTCACAGTCAGCGGTTATCCTAACCCATGGCAAAACCAGCATCCTCGAGCTGTCCCTGTAGCCTCTCCCTTAGCGCAGAGCCAGTACAGTCATGGCCATCAAGTCCTTCCAGGCAATGGAAACTGTTATCAACAACCTGGGCGACCGGAGCCGTGCAGCCAATACGACCCGCACGCGCCCGCTGGGCTGACCCGTTATAATCCCCGTAATCCTTACAATGCGCAGATGTATGAGCCCTCCTCTCCGATGGCTGGTCCAATGGGTTCAAGCCCCTTCGTACAAGACTAAGGCCCACAATACATACCCTCTCTTAGTGTGGATGTCCGCGCCGACGTCTGAACCCAAAGGCATCCAAGGCGGCATGGAGGCGGGATAGGAAAGCCGCAGAGAAGTGGCAGTCGCATGACACGAGCTCCTTGGACTTCGATTAGTGAATATGTATGTGTATCTCTTGTGTCTTGATCTCCTGTTCTTCTCTTGTTGTCTGGAATAGGATGTCCCATTCAATGTAGTATCTACCACCCCAGTCTTGAGCTTGAGCTGATTGATTCAATGACAACGCAAAGTCATTGCCACTACGTCTTGGCCAAGCGTAGACAGCCTCACTGTAGGGTATCTTCACTTTCATTAAGGTCCCGTTCTGCTACACAGCTCCGAGCCTGAGGTGCGTGGATTCAGGCTCCTAGAACCAGCGCGCGTCGTATCGCGAGTTGAGAGCTCCGTCAGTTTTTTATCCGACTTCACGTGAGAAAAAAGACAAACAAAGACAAAGAGAACCTAAGAGCTCGAACTCGCGATAGAGCGGCTGGCAAGACTGTCAGAGACGCCCGCCATGACCCTGGTCTTGGCTACTTATCGTAGTCCTTAGCTGTCGTTATCACTTATGTTTTTTGTTGTTTGTTCTATACCTTTTACCCATTTCGGGTCATAAACTACAAGTCTTGTGATTCGAGTTAAGGTGTTAGCTTAGTATCTAGGGGTAGGCTAGGGTCCAAGTACAGGAGCTACGGGGCTCGCAGCAATGACAGTCTGTACAATATGACTCGTAGGATGTACAATTGACTGGTCCAGTTTCATTCCGCAGCCTTGAAAGTAAGATATAAAGCAAGTGACAGTCAGCAATTGGGACATAAGATGGCACACTGGCACTCACCCACCATCATTGAATTACTCCTACAACTCGACGGCGAGGACATCGGGGAGCTCGTCGTTGCATACCTCCAGAGGTTGCAGTCCAGCGGGATACCTGTTCACGTCGTCGTCATTGAAATCCTACAGGCGTTGCTCGCCCACTCAACTTCCGAGGACACTGCGCGGCGATGGGCCTGTGATGTGGCGTCAAGCATGTATGCGACTCAAATCTCAGCGTTGTCAAAGAAGAGCTCAAACTTACATTTCGGGGCATCATCGGCAAGAGCTGATCAGCTAAAGGATTTTGATCTCGATAACTTGGCGATCCAGTTTCAAGCAGGCGCGCCAGACCTATGGAGATGCTATGACCTCCTTCTCGCAGCCGATCCAGCTGTGAATGCCGCTCGTGAACGTCGAGAGCATCAACGTTGTCACACTCTCCTAAGATAGGGGAGTGTCCGGGGAGCACTGGGTCTTGCTAGTAGATCAAGTGAGAGCCCGGTTGTTCGAACACCTAGTATCTCTGATAGGGGCGTATAATTTGTCTTGCCAAGGTATGCCGATAGTGAAACAAGACTACAGGGGTAGTACAGGAGTAACACAGGGGTGGTACAGGGATAGTACAGGGGCCTGTGTGAGGAGGTCCAATGACTGCTTCTTTCAGATAGGGGACGCGAGCGTGAGTGGTCACGAGCACGAGCGGAGACAGTAACGTGGAGGAGGAAAAATAAACAAAGGTGCAGATACGCAGTAGAACAGGAAGGGGTTAGTATAAAAGGAATAGAGAGTGAAAGAAAGGAACAAAAGGGGTACCGGGTAAAGAATTTGAAAGATAGGGGGATGATAAAAGATTAGAGAACGAAAAACTACCGTGACAAACTTCTTCAAGTACGCAGTACTTGAAGTTGAACCAAGTGGATGACTAGAAGACCAGAATTCGACTGGTATGACTGGATAACTGACTGATTGATGATCTTGCGGACTGAGAGTAAGATCGACTTTGACTCGACTGGATGACTAAAAAACTTGACTAATACGACTGGCTGACTGAGACTTGACTAATACGACTGAATGACTGAGACTTGACTAAGACGACGGAATGACTAAGATCTGAGGACTGATACGACTAGAGGACTGACTGAGTGAACCTTTTACTGGGGGGGAAAAGATTTTTTCTCAACTTAGCTACACTATTGGATTTTTATATGTAAAATATCTAGGCTGTGCACGGAAAGTAGAAAGAACGGTTGTTAGGCCGTCACAAGAATCAGAAAGTCCGGTAGAAAGAATAGTCACATAATTCTGTACGGAAGATAGAAGGAAATGCAGAAGAAAGGAAAGGAAATGCGCAGCTGCATTCCGTATGTTCCGATGGATACATAAGGCTGTGCAAGGCTGTGCAAGGCTATGCTGGCTGTGCTGGGCTGTGCAATTTGCACAGCCAAGGTCCGAATAGAACAGCCCAGCTGTGCGAATGAAAGGAATGAAGGAATATGGACTATTCTGATGAAAAGGGAGTTCCTAATGGAATATCTGATGGGCAAAGAAATGGTCGGGGGGGAGAAATAGAATTCCAATGGAAATGGGAAGAGAATAGTGGCATCCCTAAAGACTTAAGAGGGGCGGAGAGGCGAACAGGGGTAAGATCCCATGTGGTATATTATAGATAGGGGTGAGGGGTAGGATAGGGGATGCTTCCCTAGAGCCAGATAGTTCGGGGAGGATAGGGGAGGTATTACAGAGAGAGAGAGTAGGGAGCTTGGGTGTTTGATTGAGCATAACCCTAGATTTCCGACATGATTACCATGTTACAAACATGGTTCATGACATCTGCGGGCGGCATTAGAATTCAACCGTCCTCGGTTGCATGCTCGATCAAATATCACAGGCTCCTATTATCAACGAAGATTAGGGGACGCTTCTAATGTTTTGAGGAAGGACAGGGTTTGCAGCAAGGATCGAATATTTTGATAGGATTGGGAATGAGAGAGAGGCTGGTACTGAGGTACTTGTCGAATTTTCACATGTGTTCAAAGTTATCCCAAAGGCGAAACAAGCTGGTTAGAAATGAACGACTGGGGGTGCTGAGAGAACATGCGAACAATTGTTAAGGAAGGGAATGGTATCGGGCCTCATATAGACGATAGACGAAAGAATAGGAGGATGATGAAAAGAGGGAAGGGGCCGAGGTGACGAAGACATAGAAAGGGGAGGATGATTCAAGAAAAAACGATAGGAATGGGGACCGTGAGGGACTTTTCAAGTGGAAGATGGAAGCGAGGGTCCCTATACATGGCAATCAGCGCCCTCAACCTATCCCTCCAACTCATCTTGACATCCCATGATTTCACCCACATTGACCTAAACAGCGGCATGCGAGGGACAGAGCCATTGGGGAAGATTTGCAGCTTGAGCTGCACATATCGACCCCGGAATCTGGTGATGTCGAGAACAAAAGCCATATCGTCGGGCTGGCAGTGCATCCATGCGCGAAGAGCGAGCGTAGGTGAGTCGAGCTCAAGGAGGCGCTCAGCTTCTCCAGAATCCGGGGAAATAACCCAACGGATCCGGGCTGTGGGGAGGCTGCCTATGTCGCTTCGCAAAGGCATGCCGGACACCATGACTGGTGGTAAAGGGTCTGCTTCCTCGATCTCGGCATCTAGAAGTTGATTGAAATCATGGACTGTGAAGCGTCAGTATGGGCGCTTCACGGGATCGTTTTGATGGCGGACCGAGTATAGTCTCAGGGCTGCCCTGGACGTCCGAAATCCGTATCTCCTCTTTTTCTATCTTAATGGTTATGGGCGGTCTGAGTAGGGTTGTGCTGGGGACAGGGGACGAGATAGTGCGCATCATTGAAAGGGCGAGGTAGGTAGTGAAGGAAGGAAAGAAGTGGGGATTTTCGCATAACGAGCGTTAATAAGTAAGTTCCTCAGGGTCATAACCCTCCTCATTGATTTCCTGTTCTGGTTGCCCATCGGCTCCGTCTAGTTCCTCCGAAGAGTCTGACGAATCTTCTAAAAGGAATTCAGGGTCATCTCTTGAAAGATACCCAATAACCCTGAAGCCGGCAATCGCGTCTCGTAGAAGAGTTCCGTCAAGCTCCTTAAGCACATAATTTCCCTTCTTGGTTCTTTTAACCACTTCATAAGGGCCTAGGTATCGTGGTGAGGTCTTTATCATTGAAACGGATTCTTGAATTTGGCTATGTCTGACCAGCACAAGTTCTCCAGACTCGAAGGTGTTTCGTTGAATTCGATGATGAAAACGTCACATGAACTGGTCTCGGGATGTGCATCTGGCTCGTTTAAGGGTTTCAGCTGCAGCAGCTAGGTCCTCTTCTCTCCTTTCCAACTGTCGCATTCGCAAGGCGACAAGTTCTGCCGTAGATATACCGCTCCGAAATCCTGTGACCAGGAAGCTTGCTTCTGCATAGTCAAAGGGCAGGGCAGGATGAGTCCCATGTAATAGATAATATGGGGAATATCCTGTCACTGAGCTGACTGTGACCCGGTCAGCAAATACCGCCAGCCCAACTGCCTTGTGCCAGTTGAGGGGCAGTCCGTTGGAGCTCTTTTTACAGGAACGAACAATAGCTTCTCGAAGGATGTAGTGGCCACGTTCAACAACTCCATTGGCATGCTTGTTGTATGCTGTGATTTTTATCTGGGGTATTCCTAGTCTTTCCGCTAACGAAGAGAAAGCTCCTTTTACTTCGGACCCATTGTCGGTGACGATTTGCTCAGGCGCCCCATATCGACAATAAAGGTTGTCCCATAAGAACTGGGATAGGTTGTGAGAGTCATTTGTCCTCATGGGCTTAGCTTCGGAGACACCCGTTAAATCATCTTTGGCTGCTACTATCCATTCATATCCTCCAGAGGCGGGCCGCATGGCCATGACATCCAGATAGACTTTCTGGAAGATTCGAACAGGGGCGGAGATCTTGTAAGGCATTTGCATTTGTGCGGTGTTTCGGATCTGACAGTCATGACATGTAGACACATGGTAATGGACATCCTCTTTGAGTCGAGGCCAATAGAATCGGAAGCGAAGCAGCTTTAGGACAGAGTGCTCTCCTTTATGGCCTAAGGATTCATGTGCCTGTTGAAGGATAGATAGCCTCCGGTCAGCTGAAGTGACAACCAGCTGGGGAATTTCTGCTGAATTCCGGAGGTACATATGATCTTGATGAACAAAATATCTTTTGGCTTGCTGTAGAAAACGCTTCTTATGCAGAGCACTCGGAAGTATAGGAAGGGAGTTGGAGGTGAGATAGTCATGAATGTCTTGAAGTAAC